GTGGCCTGTTGAATTCCAGAAGGATGTGCAACGGAGATTTTATGGTCCACCGCCTCTGGTGCCAACATACGACATTCGAACGCCACCCTATCTGACGGCTGAACCGGTCGTGACAAGCATCAAGATCGACCCTGGAAACCCTTCTTTCCTGATCATGGCAACAGACGGCTTGTGGGATATGCTTTCCAATCAGCAGGCAGTCGATCTAGTGGGGAAGTGGTTGGGATTGAAAGCAGCTGAGAAGAGGAATAGCAAAACAGAGCCAACATATGAACCATTCGATTTCGGCCAATTCTGGAAAGGAGTAAGCTGGAAGTTCGTGGAGGGAAGAACAACAGTCCAAGATGACAATGTCGCTGTGCATCTGGTGCGTAATTCACTGGGTGGAAATCATCACGAGTTGATAGCAGGCCGACTTGCCTTCAGCTCTCCATCCTCCCGGCGTCTACGAGACGATACGACTGTGCAGGTGGTTTTCTTTAATGTCTCAAATCTGGAAAAATAAAATAATTACAATCACAGCATCCAGAGCGGAGCGTCTAAGCATGCCGAGAAGACCTGAGGCTGTTATGCAGATTTTTTATCACCCTGCCGCTATTTTGTTGAATTACACGATGACTTTTAGTAGAAGATGAATGAAGCATGCATACAGTATATTCCAGAGAGATGTTTTAAGTATGATCTCTTTCTCAATGAGAAAGAGACCGTATTTAAGTGGAAGGATTTCCCCTGAACTATACCCTTTTGGAGGAAGGATTCAAGCTGACTTTTTCATGCCTGATATATCTGGTATACAGTACAAAGTCTATTCGTGCAGGAATAACACAGTTGAAGAACCAAACTGATTGGAAAACAGCTTGGTCTTGCCGCTGTATATAGCCTCGTATATGCTCTCAGAAAATGAATGTAACCAATCCTTCCTCCGAATACAAAGGAAATCAAATGTTATCGGAAAATCAAGCAGGGCTGAAACTCGCGTCCAAAGCTGATAGTGTAAAGTGATATCCGATCACGTACAACATACGTTGATTGTCTACCTTCAGATGCCGTCCTTTTGGGTCCACATTAATAGTACAGCAAGGAACAAAGCATCAAGGCATCGATTCAGATAGTCTATTGTCTCGGGAGAGGACTTTCTCGAGGTATTAAAGCAATTCGATCTGCCCGCCCAAGAAAGTGGCTTTGACTAGCCTTCACACTGGTAGGTATATGGTGTACAAACCGCAATTGTTGTACGCAATATAGGCTGTAAAGCAGCGACTTCCTTAAAAGGTTCTCCTGACCAATATTCATTATCAAAGGTAACTTAGTCTTGCTCGAACCCCTGTATCTAATCAAAAAACCAATAGTGACAACACGTTCCAGTCTCGGACTTAACCAAAACTAGGATTCAACACACCAGATAGATTAGTCGGCACTGTTGCTCTGCCATTGTATCACAGTGTAGGAGGTTCGATGGAGTCGTAGGCATTAAAGGGCGATTTGGCAAAGGCAGAAGGGTGGGCTGTTGTAGTCGGTATGGCGGAGTACTCGTTCTTCGATTACTACGCATTAAAGGTCAGTTCAAATCTCAAACTTGCACTCTGGAAGTCGGGCGTCGTACAGATTGAGGAGTCGGGGGGATTGGTGGGGTATCTGGCAAAGGTGGAGGGGGTGTTGTTGGTCCGTATGGTGGAGTCTGAGGAGCACTCATATTTTCGATTACTGGCCATGTTAAAGGTCAATTCAAGACTCAAGCTAGGTGTCGTACTTATTGAGTGAGAAGTTTCTGTTGAAATTGTAAATCGAATCCGCTTCATGTATATTATGGCAAATACTTCAAAAATACCGAGGTAGAGCGCTTATCACAAAATTCTGATTCCAAAATCATCGATGAAATAAAAAGCTTCGAGGCATTTGAGCCCTCTTTATATATACCGACGGGGCCCGAGAGCTTTTACTCCTCACTTTCTCATCCTTGTAATTCACAAAAGCTAAAGCGTGCTGACTGATTCGTTCATAGAGGTGCCTTAAGGCCGGAGTGGAAAGGTACGACTGGTGCACAAGCTGTGCCCAGGCTTGACCCGCAGTCTAGATGGCGGTCACATTGGCCAGTACCGGAAACGGTATCTCTAGGTCGACTTGCGTCTCTGTCCGATGGGATCCTGGTGTTCCCGGTAGATTACAGATTTGCAAAGCAACAGAGGCTGCATAGACGTGAGGAGCGCGGCTTGCGTTCAACGATAGTGATCATCACCCCTATCCCCTAAGTAGTAATTTCTGAAGGCAATTATTGGGAGATCAAAATTATTCGGAATAAAATTTTTTAGAGCCTCAGCAAAGAATCAGAGCTCGCCCTGCAGCAGTCAGCTATTTGGGGTATAAAACACTGAGAGCCGACAACCTTACCAGGATCAGTTCTACGTAGCGCGGGTGGTCTACTTTACCAGATTTTCTCGCCTATTAGTAGAGGATGTCGAACTGAAGGGTGGTATTTTACCGCGAAGGACAGGGTTATTCATAAAGTACCCATTCTCTCTTTGTCTTTGTATCGTAAACGGGGTATTCTCGGATTACCAGCGTCGTAACACGCTAGGAACAGCTCCTGGGATCTGAGAGCGCCTCAACAGCAAGATCCAGTGGGGGGAGGGGACACAGATCAATGTATCTCAAAAATGCAATACCTTGTCGGATAAAGGAAAGTGGATTCTTACTAGTTAGTGTACTGTATGATCCTTTTATTCAGCACCTATACGTCATGCCATAATGTCTTGGATAAGGGATCAAATAAGTACCCCATGTGGATCCTATTTACGGTAAGTAACGGCAAAAACCGACGGAATATTCAGCGCCGACTAATTATATGGAATTGGCACCACCAAGATGAGTCGGCCGAAGTGGCCCGCAACAACACTGAATGGCTCCCCTTGGAAGGGATAGCAGAAATGCCATGAGACCTTGTTTTAGCCTTGGTTACTTTTGCTGAAATGGGTGCAGTGATTTTAGCTACCGTTTGTCCGTGGTAATACGCATCTGAAGGTTCCTTCAGGGAGCTGTCTGGTAAATATGGTTTAAGCTCGGTCATAGGTAGTTGAAGTTGATGCAACTCGGAGGACTTGCTGGAATCTTCTGGGAGACCCACGATGTACCCTGCCGATGGAAACACGGTTTCACTCATCCAAGTCTTATATGCGCCATTATTGAGAACATCACCGTCCGATGTGGTAATGTAAGATAATGGTTCAGTGGGCTGCTCGGTCACATCAGTCGCGCCATGTCTGCTTTCCCAATGCATCAATGACCCAGTAGCCTCATACTCATCTGCTGGAATCGTCTTTCAGGAAGAATAACTCAGAGGGGTGCCTGCTGGGTTTGGCATTGTTGATGGTAGTTCTTGCATGGAAGAAGGTCGTACTATGCTGCCACCTTCTGGTTCCGAAAGCATTATAGAAAACACGTCTTCATGGCGTGATCGTGAATATGGGGATGGAAAGACGAGTTCCGGAGTCACTTCTGGTGAGGCACTGTGTACATGAACTGCTTGCGTACTACTGACTATTCCGGGTTTCAAAGTGGATTGTGAAAAGAATGCAGTGTCCACTAGTGTCGAGAATAACCCTGGTACTATGTGGGAAAATGAGCTTCTGGAGACAAATTAGCACAATGATCTTCAAAAAATAGGTACTGTAAGCTCAGACAGTTTCTGTCTCATTGTGTGGAGCTGCACCATCACAACTCAGCATATATTCCCAATTATGGTATCAAACCCAGCAAGTGGTACCAGCATCTACACTGGTCAGAGAAGAATGGCTTTCGAGAATGCAGCAACGGCTGAGACTAGTGAATTAAAAGGAGAAGAAAATGGGTAAGCAATCCAAGAAATGTAGCAACCCCATTCGCCTACAAGGTCCAAGAGAACAAACACATCAGTCATAACTACGACGCAGGGACTGGAAGCGCTTCCTAACCGAGTTCCGTGAAAACTGAGGGAACATGTATTGCCCTCAATTCCGATATATCTGTTGCAGTTCAAAGGTAGGAATTGATGATTTATTTAGAGGAAACATGAGGCTATATATATACAACGAGAAGATCAAGTCGATTTCCAATCAACTTGATTCTTCGTATACATACTTCGGGATTACTTCCGATGGCTCGGCTTGGTTCCTGGTCTGTACAAGCCTCATATCACAACAGTATCCCCTCTAGGATGTAAGCGCCTTTTTAAGGCGGTGTTCACTGACGAGGTAAGATGAAATGCTTACGGGCAAACGCCCACTGCGTCTATGGAGACCAACACGGTTCTGATGATAAGATGTTTCAGGATACCATGATTCCTCAATTTAACCACTGCCATATATGACCGGCTAGGAATCGCCTGGTGTGTGTTGGCATGCTTTGTGCGTGGTTTACCCTGGGCTCTTAGGGTCCAGTTGATATCAAGATTGCGGAAGTCATGATGCCTATATCAATGGGTCAGGACAAACATCCATTTCACAATTGATGCGGAGCTAAGGCCGTGGCGGGTAGGTGTCCCCAGTTCGACGTGCACCGTCGCGTGTCAAAAAAAGCAAAACTACGCTACCTTACCGACAGCCTATGCAGTATGCGCAGGCCCGCCAATACGCGAGGCTGCGATGAAGACTGTATGACCACATACTGAAAGAAATCTTCGACTAACCATTTTCGATCCCGATATGAGTCCGGCTTCGGATAGTGGAGAGCCTGGCAGTTTCGAAAACTGCAGTTGCCAGCCAGGCTTCACCACAAGAAGCCTCAGGAGCAGGGGCGAATAAGGTATTTCGCCAAGTACGACGATTTCCAGCGGACAGCCGAAAGCTACAGTATTCATCCCCGTAGAAAACAATACGCAAACCAAAAAAGTCGAAATGAGTAATCATTCGAAATGGGTAGAAAGTAAGCTGGTACAGGGGCACAGATAGTCGACAATCACAACCACCAAAATTTGAACTTCTAACGGCGTCATTCTGTTCCCTGATAGCATAGTTCTAACACCTTGATTAGATCCCCTCAAGCGTAGCAAGGGTCCAGTCCGGTTCGCCTGCCTCGATTGACGCGACCTCAGCAAACTTGTCGGCTTTGCAGCGCGTTAGCAACCATATCTTCTGCCGGCAGTTCATGTATCGCCGGGAGGGTGCCATGGGAGATTTGGACCCTGGCTTTCTTCGCCGCACAGCCAGTTCGCCTTCGCGAGCAGATCCCTTCTCGAGGGAACATCGATGGATATATTGAGTGATTGATATGATGGAAGGATGACCGCCGACCATGGCAAAGCTGGCAGCGAAGTGTGCCGAGCTCGGGTAGGCTGGTGTGTGCATTTGGTCCTGTAGATCTAGCACAATCCACAGGAACTGGACGGCTTTCTTTTCGGAAAGATTTCGAGGGACATGAAGATCTCTTGCGTCTGTTACTCAGGAAGTTATTAGTATATAGGATGCATAGATCATGAGTTCCTCATGCTCATACCTTGCGACCACCCACAATTTGGTGCCAATAAACCAATTCATAATTATATGCGCAGAGAGATGAGTTGAAGGCTTTCAAGAAAGGGTAATCCCCACGTAGCACGGATTATGAAATATACGAGAGAAAATAGAGCGAGTTAGACAATAGTCCGTGGAAGGGGTTTTCAAGACAAGCGATACCGTTGATCGAACGCAAATCATATTGCATCTGTGGAACATAGCAAAACGCTTGATAGGTGGCTACCCGTGAACTTGTCTTCTAGTCTGAACGTGAGTAAAGGAAAAATGTCTTCACAATGTGCAAACGGCACCGTTCAACTCTGCTTATTTGTTCCCGACCGGTTGGAAACCCGGTTGAACCGCATTTTGAGGCCCAAATGCGTCCAACATGTCGGACATCTCATACTCCCTGGCCCTCCGCTTCTTGGCTCAAGGCCTAGGTGCAAGTGCAAAAAGCTGATACTGTTATTTCTAGAGTGAGATCCCTTGTTCAAACCGAACGAATTTAACTATGACGTCATTATTGTCGTGATATAAATCGGACAGCATGCCACGACAGGTCGAGAAGCCAGATAACCAAAAAAAAGCATCAACCAAGACACCTGAAAAACAGCCTACAAAACAAAAAACATACAACAATAAGGATTCGCTAGTGGTCACCAAATTACTAAGTTACCGGCGTGTGGCTTTATGTACAACCAGTAGTCCGGTGGGTGTCGCCCGGGTGAGTTTAGGGTGAGAATCACCAGAGTCGCGCGACCACTGCACTGACCCCTTCAGCTTACCAACAACAGAATTTTATTGGATTATTGCCCCCCGAGTGAAACGCTTTGCACCTTGGCATATGCACATAGCTATCAAGTAAGACGTGAATGACAATTAGCACCGATCTTTGCTTCTTAGGTCAAGCGGTGGCCACGCGCGATATTGTGGTATGTTTGATTAGTTTGTTGCTACTATATTACTTAGTTTGAATAGTTTCAATATTTTGGATCATTTAGGTACTTTGAGTGGTTTGCATCGTTTGCATAGTTACCCCTTCAATATATTGGACACCAAAACTTTTTTCACATCTCCTCTTCACAACATGTCATCTATCATACGCGTTCTTTGTTCCCGGGCTTTTCCCCTATTCCAAGCCATATGGTTCCATTTACATATCGTATTCGGCTCAATCTTCAAGGCCTTACGAGGTCGGACACATGCCAGTGATTCTGACGCGAATGATACGTCTTCTCTACATATTTCCGCAATTGTAAGTACCAAGGGGTAATTTTGAGTTCATTGATTGCTTATGGTTACAGAATGACTCGGCTGAGCCTGTTAATGCTGATTCCCATGTTGAATTTATAGAGGTGCCACGATATTATCCCCCCGGGGTTACGGAGATTATCGGTCGCGGTGGCGAGTGTTTCGTCGGTGCCATTGATGAGTTCACAGTCTTGAAATATCCATGTATCCCTGGCAATTATCAGAGCATTCAAATAGAGGCCCAGCTTCTTGATGCTCTTGGAAGCCATCCCCGGGTTATCGCCTCAAAAGGCCTCACGGACAATGGTCTTGTTCTACAGCGCGCATCCAACGGTTCTCTGATCGATTATATCACATCACAGTCATTCATACCTCTCAGTACAAAGCTTCTTTGGTGTAAGCAAGCTGCCGAAGCAATCACTTATATCCACGGAAAACGTGTCATTCACTGTGACATAAATCTTCGTAATCTCCTGCTTGATGAAAACCTCAATATACTACTTGCAGACTTTCAGGGGATGCTGAAGTCCGTTGATGGTGGCACAATACTAGATGGGCTCTCTCGGGAGTGCTCAAAGTCATATCAGCCTCGAGCCCATGGGGATTATGCGAGTGTGGCAACCGATCTTTTTGCGCTTGGTTCCGCCATTTACTTTATTATGACCGGGCATGAGGTCTTTCCTGAACTTGACAGCTTACAGGATGATGAAGAGATCTTGTCACGATTCCAAAATGGACTCTTCCCGACTGAAAATCATCCTTGCTCTCAAATTACAGAAAAATGTTGGAAACAGCAATACCGGCAGGCTGCTGAGGTTGTTTCAGATCTTTCTCTCATTCGAGTTACCTAGGCGCTAAGATAGATTTGGAACATCGATACATTATGTACGTCTCCTGGTCGTGTTGCTTCGCATTGTGTCTCTATTAGTACTTGAGAATCTATCATGTTCTCGGCCTGTAAGGACGACTTGAGCAGCAGTTTAAGGCATACGGTGATCTCTTTTGACAAAGCATACTAGGATGGTCAAGGTAAAGGCTGACAATGAAAACAAATACGAAAATGAAGCGTGCAGGTTAAGCAAGTGAGATTTGCAATTTCAACGATTTACCTTAGTTAGTAGCGGAAAAGACTGTTCACTGCTGTTGCAGTCGTTGATTTCCCCCAGCTATAAATCAACATTCAATGTATTCAGCACATTCGATGTGCCATCCAGCAGAAACAAAGATAGCGACAGGAGCTGCCAGATTTCCTTCGTAACCTATCACCCAACTTTATGCCGCCATCATTGCCAAGTTATGTAGACGGAGAGAACATACGTACAGATCAATTTGAATATAGAATAGGAAGCTAAAACTGCCATGAAGGGAGGAAACGTCGAAATCGCCTTCTCTAAGCCTCAACACTTAGGACATATGCCTCCCTTCTTGGTAGACTGGCCCATGTGCTGGTCCTTGTATCCACCGCAACACCGCAATTTGTGTTGCCGCACGGCGGCTGACGATCATATTTTGTGATGACGTGCTTGGGCAGTGCGGTGCAGTTGACAAATTTAGTGGTATACACAAATCGAATGCACATATTGATGATTTCCAAGCGGGTCTGGCTCCTGTCAGATCAGGTTTGAGATTTGGGTGATTTGTTCAAAGCTTACTTAAGAGGCAAATCAGACTGTGAACTGCGGGACAGACGTCTTTGTTGGAACAAGAGTGAGATACCTACAAAAAGGAGAGGGAAGACTACTACTTTATAATGCGAGCTTGCGCACAGTCTACACGACACAAGCTTACACTTTGTCAAAATCTTAGAAGGGTTAAAATAAAGATAAGTGGTGGGGTTTGTGGGGCAACACTGCATTTAGCGGGATAGTCCAAGTCGGATTAGAAGCTCATGTGATCTCTGGCTTGGAATATTCTTGTTGTCTCACACTGCCTATTCTATCAGGCAGCAGTTGCCTAGACAAATACAATTGCTCCGAACATGGTCGGTTGACGTATCTTGTGAGGGGAACCCTGCATCTTGGCATTGACACCAGTGTCAATGCCAAGACGCAGGCAGGGTTCTAGTCAAAGGATATTGTTTTCTAATGATCCACCCCATCACTTTCACCATAATAATCGCCTATAATGCGGATGATGAATGAGATTTTGCATGCGGTTACATTTTTAACGGAAAATTTGCACGGTACCGATACACAGGAATTGCTGTGCTACCACCCTAGAGCTCACAGACCTGACTTGTTGTTGGGTTTTCTTGCCATCATTTGTCGACCCGTCTGTTTTGACCAGACTGCCATCGAGCATCTCCCATTTCATTGCATAATAATTCCTTCTATAATATTGCAGATAGATACATACTTGGTAAAGGGGGTATTGAGAGGAAGTAGCGCAAAATTTAAGTATTCCGGATTAAAACTTGTTACCCAAGCCTTACAGTACTCATCTATATGGTGCAGATGATCAGACTTTCCTCCATAATGGCCCAGGAGTGTAGTATATTCGAGATGCTATACCATATATTGTAGTGGGGAAATCACGACACTTGTATGATTACTGCCTCAGGCAGTGATATCCTCGAGGAAGGGTTATGGGCAACCTACGACTGTAGAGAAGGATAGACAGTTACAACAATGCCACTCATTTCCTGATTCAAGATTTATGATCGTTATGCTCCTTGATATAGCATCTGATTATCCCTGATAGGCATCATCTGTCTAGAGCTCACAGACCTGACTTGTTGTTGGGTTTTCTTGCCACCATTTGTCGACCCGTCTGTTTTGACCAGACTGCCATCGAGCATCTCCCATTTCAATATGTGAAAAGAGGACTGATTCTTCAGAACGACTGGAATCGCGTTCACAGGCCGTGCAATATTATTAGCTCGACATCATTGGTCCTACGCTACTCCGTGCTCCACTTTGGAAAAGCACAAACCTGTGCAGTCCCTTGAGAGGCATTGTGCTCTTCTCCTAGGATAATGCCAGCAGAACTAGCGTAAACTGCTTGGGTCATAAGAATTTATCTTCTGCTGACCAACCAGGCGCTATAATTTAGGCAAAGTGCGGGGTAGATTGGTCTTCATCTCCACCAACCTCGACAAGTAACGTTAATCGATAACTATTTCACACTTCTTGGGCTTCGTGATGAAGTCCCAAAAGGCGATTATCTAATCTTATACTTTTTAGTAGACTTGATGAAGACTGGATTGGAATGTCTCTATGAGTTTTAAATACGAGTTCGGGTTAGTCTTGCTTGAGAAAGACAACGTAATGGGCATGCTCAAGATATATGCTGGCGATAGATCTGATTTGGTTCAGACAACCGGAGCAAAAAGCGGCTGCCGAAACCGACCAAAGTGGATAGCAGGCTCTTAGCATTTTGACAATTTACCTATCATTTATGTATATTCTCTCTCCGCGGATGGGATCAACCAAAGATAAGTCACTCTGGCGCACCCCACGCAATGCCAACTGTACCTCGCGGAGTAGATCAGCACCGAACGAAGGATACTTCTGAGTCAGGTCTGCAAATTTATATTCGTCGCTTCGCATGTACCCTTCGACCGAAGCAGCAGCCAGAAGGCGTCGTACAGCATGACCACGAGGCAGATTCAATGCCGAGATGATGTGATCGGAGTTGATAAACCATGTGTTTTGATCAATGCCGTAGAGTCCAAAATCAGCGTCAAGAAGTACATCTTTGATATATTTTGCCAATTCGGCTTCCAATCCAGGTATTTCATACATGTCTGCAAATCTTACCAGCTCCATGGCAGCAGAGATATTCTCCTCGCGGCTCTCGATATCGAATCTGATGATGCCACGGTATAGCCATTGAAGAAGTCCTTCAAGGGCACGGGTTGAGATAACACCATCCATCTCTTCTAGGTCGAGTGCTTGGTCCTGTGATTCCTTGAAATGGCCGTTTTTGAACATTTTTGTGAAGACAGGTGATTTTTCGCACAGCAAGTCTCTTGAGATTGAAATCTCAGCATCACTTGTCTTGACTCGAATTTTGACAGTAGGCCCATGGTAGAGAGGAAGCATCCTAAATTAAAGTCAGGAAAAACTCCGTTTTCAGGGCCGCAAGGTGCACGTAGTGTTTGACGAAATCTTGTGCACTAATATTGGATATCTCGGCCATTGATAAGAAGTGCACAAAGTGAGTAATCGATAGTATTGCTGGATACGCCTCAGTGAATGCTGCTGAAGACAAAATGGCGGGGCAAAGGAACATGGAAATGGCGGTCTACATGTTACATCTACTAGGGTCACCTGACCGAACAAGAAAGATAAGCGGCAATCTGTCTGACTTAATCATCCGATTTTGCTCAAAGCCTACTGTTAAAGGTGATTTCTGGTTTACAAATATCTAGCCCATTGAATACAAGCGCCCGCATGTTAATCTACCAATGTTGAAGCGTCACCTGACCTTCTGAAAAGAGCACGAGCGTGAATTTCCAACACTGGCAAGGGTTGCACGGGATGTTTTCACTATTCCTGCAACCGGTGCAGGCGTCGAGCGTGTATTCAACTCGGCTCGAGATGTCTGTCATTATCGCCGGGGATCACTGAATGCCGCAACAATCCAAGATATTATAATATTCCGATGTATCTCATCCTTCAACAAGCAGGATAGAGAAGACGATAAACTAGAGGACGTATGTCATACTTTTGAAGAAAGGCAAGAGGCAGACGAGCGTCAAGAAGCTGACCTTCCTCAACAAATTCCCGATCCGATTAGTGATGATGAAGAGGATGAATCACTTTCGTTTCCGGATGAACCTTCTGTTGAGTTACAGACACGGCCCTTAACTCAACGGGAACTGGGAAAAAGACGACAGTGTACTCCCGAGCAGGGCCAGGAGGGTGGTGATGAGGCGAAGTTTGATAACGATGCTCAGGCTCTGCCTGAAAGTAGTACACAGACACGAGTATCTAGTAGACAGAAGCGTCCAAGACGAGAGGATGAGGATTTTACGTATTATATGTGAAGGTTGGACGAAGAATCAACCCAGATTATTAATGTTTTCGAACTGTTTGCTTGGACCCTGTTCACTAAGCCCTAAGCCCGTAGGCTGTAAGCCTAATTCTGAAAGAAACAGTCAAAGGCTGTATAAGTTATGCAAGCCACAGGTGGCACGATTCTGCTGAAACATAAGTCCCATGAGAGTCCCACAGGGCTGGGTCCCATTGCACTCCCATTTAGTCCCTTGGGAGTTGAAGAGGTCTAGGCCCTAACTCTATTACAGTGACGGGTCCTGGGCAGGACCCACTTTTTAAGGGCTGTGGTTGGCCAAAAATCGAGGGAAAAGCGGGTCGGGGTACCCAGGACCCGTCCAGCGAAAGTTGAAAAAAAAGGTCCTGGGTCAGCGGTCGCAATTTTGCTTCAAGCTTTTGGAAGTTCTATTTAACTACCTCCTCTATAGACTGTGAAAGTTTGAAGTCGATCGAGCGATTATAAGTGGCGTGGTGGGTGACCCTAATTTGGCTGAAAAGTTTTGATGGGGTGCGACCGACGGATGTCAATACGGTAACTCTAATACTGGTCTTCACCACGAGGGTCGGGCCTTCGTTATACAAAATAGATTACGGGGTATTGGTAATTTACGACATAGTATTTTTGGCGGCTGGGGTGCGTTTTGGTCGATTAATTAACGTATCCGGTAAGCGAGTGGTCAGTGTAAGTGAGTGGTCACCCCCCAACCAATTTTGTACTACAAACTGCGATTTCTTAACCAAAACGCCAATTAATTAAAAAATGAGGCTATTTAGACATATCTGGGCACCTATTTCTCTTATGGCCAGGTAATTTACATAACCCACAACGCTGCGGCCGCCTCTCATTGGTCTGAATCGGTGTCGGCAACGTAGGGCCAGGTTGCTCAGATACAGCATTTTCGACATCTCTATCAACGTTAAAACGCGATAAAGCTTCCTCAACTAGTAAGCCTCCTTCATGCGCCAATCTAGCCTTCGTACGCGTTTTTTTACGCGTGACCTTAGCATTAGCGGCCAATAAATCAGAGATTTGTTGACGCGCTAGGGTAAAGCTATGTATCGCGATCTGACACCCTCTCTCCATCTGATCTATAGCTTCGGCTAGGCGTTGGGGGTCAGTTTGAGCTATTTTCTTAATAGCCGAAGCTTGCCTCCGTAGATCTTTAGATGATTGAGGCGTTTTTGGGGTGAAATTCTTGCTTGAATCGCTCCCCTGGCTAGTCGGCCGTGGGGGGGGGGGGGGTAGTAGTAACCCGTACGTTAATCTTCGATATAACGCGGTCAGGGTTAAAAGGAATAAGCCCAGCGCCGGCAAAGCTATTGATAATGTTCTCCTTTTTAAACGCTTCCTCTCTTGCTATCAAGAAAGCGTCTAAAAAGTCGGATTTATCAATACTTACCCGGCGGAGTTTAGTCTGCGTTTCAACAACCTTGCTATAGGCGCGTTTGAATACGCTAAAACAGCCAATATCAAGAGGTTGTAAAAGATGAGATGAATGCGCCGGCATGCAGATAGGAATAATCTGATTTTGAGAGCAAATTTGATCAAATTGAGGCGTAAGGTGACTGCCATGTCCATCGAGGATTAAAAGCCGATAACGCCCCTTCGTACGGCTAGTAGTCGAAGGAATAAAGATTTTTTGAAGCCATTCGAGGGTAATTGCGTTATTAGTCCATCCGTTATCACTAACAGTCAAAAGCCAGTTTTTTGGAAGGGCTATAGAGGTAAACCAGGCCTTCATATAAACCTTGCCTTTAAAAATGACGCAGGGCGGCAACGCCCATCCTAACGCATTTACTGCCTCAATTGACGTCACCCATTCTCGATTTCCAGGCTGTAGAAGAGATCTTCGGCCGTACGTAGCCCGGGTAACGATTTTTGCCGTAGTAATCGTACCGAGGGCAAATCCAGTCTCATCAAAGTTGTAGATATCGGCGTCGGTAATACCGTACTTCCCAATCATGTTTTTGACTAGCTGGAACCATTTCCTAATTTCAATTGGGTCCTCACAAAGAGCTCGCCGATAGTCGTAAGCTCTAGAGAATCGCATTGAGAGATTTGGATGCCGTTGGATAAAGTTGTAGACCCATTTTTCGCCGATAGACACGGTCGGAGAAGGCCCACGGTCGGCAAGTAGTAAATTAGCTGCCTCTCGTACAGTAGCCGGTCTAGGGGCTGCTCCACGATCGTCCAAGGAGAAAATCCAATTCTCAAGAGCTATCTCCTCCGTAATTGTCAATTTATGGCTGTTTGCGCGGGTATCGTCGCGACTTTTAATGCCTGCTAGGCGTCGTCGAAGGGTTGTGACCGGTACGTCAAAATCACGCGCTAAACGCGCAAATGGGGTGACTTTTGCATCTTGAAAGGCTTCAATGGCTAACAAAAGCCTACCCTCTTGCTGGGCACGTTTTTGAGATTTTTCAGTACGAATTGGAGGCATGGTAGGTGGTTGAAGTTGATGTAATTAAAAGCCAACGCGAACATGACGCGGGGGTGACCACTCGCTTACACTGACCACTCGCTTACCGGATACGTTATATATCGAAGGTCTTTCTTCTCATACAGAGCTCGACAGTACAGGATGGATCGAAATTAGTTTCACCACCTGCACACAGAGATTGTATGAGTACATTCATCGTTGCAGTACAGTAGTTTTCGAATTCAGTTTGACCTCCCACTCTTTCGACTTGATTCCCGGAAAAGAAATCCTAAATAAGTAGGTTATGATTGGATGTTATTTTTAGCATTGCTGTCCAGACCGCCTGCTGCAATAGTATATGTATCTTTCCAAACGTCTTCAGTACCATTAGTGGTGTATTTTACACGAATTTGGAACACGGTTTGGCAGGTATGGTACTTTCTCTTCCTTCTATGAGTCTGTAACTACCTGCGTAGTAGCTTTTGACTATCATTGATATCTTAGACCGGCTGTTCTCACTTATGATGCGATAAAGAGTGAATCTGTCGCCACCTCTTCGTGTCGGTGCAAACGGAGGTATTTCGGAAACCTGTTGAGTCTCGAACACTTCCACCTCCAATATGAGAAATCTTTGGGTGTGGGACAATGGGCTTTGCCGATGTTGCTTTTTCCCCCATGTAGGCTCAGAGCCGTCCTTAGATGGCGGGGGATGTAAGCAACCCTCCTTCCCATCGCCGTTGGACGAGGAGATGGAATATGAAAGTTCACGAGTGAATTGTCTGGCAAAGTCACAGTTTCATTGCCGCGACGCCTATACACAGATCAATGAAAAGCACAATGAAAAGCACACGTTTGTTCTGTCGTTGACGACATTGAGCTTTCCCTTTGAGACATGTCTAAAATCGATGACTCATAAAGACGAGCTCCGCAGGCACATACTGCAGCGCCTAGCAGAAGGCGAGTGATACATACCAACTTATCGCGCCGGCAAGTGAAATAAAGGATTTTGCAAGTTTATACTTAAATTATATTGTTTGTGTTCGAACGACCATGACTCAATTGTGACTAGCCTTGGACTTATGCGAGATAATAGGACAAAGAAGCGAGCTAGTCTACGTTCGACAACGCATCATGAAAGATATGTTCTGATCAAAGCCAAATCACGATCGAGGTAGCCAGACACAGATCCTGAATCATGAACTAGTGAACTGGTTCAGTTCTAGTCCTTCCACAGTTTCATTCAGATTCTGAAATATAGATGCACAGGAGGCGTTAGGGCAGCGGTGCGTATAGTTGGTTCCATAGGTCGAATATCGAAAGGATGAATCATACCATGCTGGCGATGTGAATGCCATGACGCTCTGCACAAAAGATGTGTAATTCAACCCCGGGAATGGAGCCTCTGATGTCAGCAAAAGCAGATCACTCGATTGCATCTGCATAGTTAGAGCCCCATACATGATTGAGCGACATTCATAACGACAGCCCCGAGTGCCAAGTAAAAATCCGTCACGTGTTTCACTAAGGAGGACAATCAAATCTTGGATAGCCTTCTCTCGACATTCATTTAACGCGTCTACGATGCTGTGAGTTTTGAAGCATTCAAGAAAAGGGACTTGTCCTCACCTATGACATATCTCGGGATTGGGAGCCCGAAACTATCAATCCAGCCATTGCTCTGTGACATAGCAATAGAAGTCGATCTTTTGAATTGGGTAGGAAGTTGGAAAAACCAGGCGATCCATATCCATAAAATCAAATTCCTAGAAGATTTTGGGGTAATCTCCTCCACTTTGTCAATCCACATATCTATCAGAAGACACAAAACATCCCGGCATTCATAGTAGTCTGCTATGACGGCAACTTGCACCAGCATCTCCAGATTCAGCTTCTTAGGAATGTGGTTGAATTGGCCGTGAATAGCCCGAAGTATTATCATGAGAGCTTCAATATCCCAGCTCTCTGCGGTGATCTCAACTTTACCCTTCTGGGAGTAAGTAACACTTTCCCTCCAGCCTCCAGTCAGTAGTCTTTTGAAAAACGGGGAGGCGAACATCAAATGCTTCGCAGAGACCTGAATACGGAAGCAGCTGTCAGCCGGGAATGAATCGAATTGTTCCTCGAGTGCAGCCTCCTTCTCAGTGAACTCGCTGGCAGGAAGTTTTTCAGCAGCGGGCTCATCATCAGCAGCAGCGGGCTCATCAGCAGCAGCGGGCTCATCATCAGCAGCAGGAGCGGGCTCATCTGAGAGGGAATGTTCAGCAGGGACCTCTCTTTTCTTTTCCTTCTTCTTCTTTTTATTTTTATTCCCCCCGCTCCGTTTCGCGACACTCGACTCTAGCTGGCTAAAATAAAGCCCCGATCTTCCCAGCGCCGCCTGGGAGCTTCGGACGTTGCCAAACAACAATGGAAAGGTGTTGAAGGTGAGAAGAGCAAATGAGTTTTCATCTACTTGTGCGAAGGGACTGCTTGCATTGCGTAATACTATGGTCACTTCCCCATCTGGATCTATTATATGAGATAAAGAATCCATTCTGATGCGAAGGTTGGCTCAATTTTGGAAGCGTTGAAATCGATGAACAAAAAAATGGATTATGGCGGAGTTGCACAACTATGGCCACTGGGTAAGTAGCGGTGGAGAAAGGCAGTCAGACCGGACCTGATCAATTATTGTTGGGCACGAGTGCATAGTCGGGTTTGGGCCTTGCTTTGTTTGCTTTTTTGCGCTATTTGTACTGTATGAAGTTACTCTATACGCGTGTACTGTAAGCACAGCCTTCTGACAAAGGCTACGCTGCATGTGAGGAGAAGTGGCGGTCGTGTGAGGTGATCTTGCCAAAAATTACTAAGCAGCTCTACGAGATTCAACGTAACAATACAGTACTTCACATCAACATGAAGACTTTAGTACGGTCATTTCGACCACAATATAGCGATGATCTCAAACGTCATTAGCGTACATCCGAGAATTTATCATAAATGTACGCGGTCTGATTGGATGTTATTTTAAGGACAACGATATACACCGCTTTCTACAAAATGAATGTATTTTATAATACGCCATACAAGCTGTAATTTACACGAATCAGGAGACGCGGTACCCCTCTTTGGGTGATATCGTATCCTGCACAACGGCTTACTGATTGCAGTTATTGGCCCAGGCGACATGGCTCCAAGACTCTCGCCTTCAAAGCTTGTTCTCATCCGTGATATGATAGAGAGCAAATCCTTTACCACGTCTGAAATGGTTGAACAGGCTGAATGCAGCAAGCAGACCATCATCAGTATCCGCAACAACTTGCGACAATTTGGAAGCTTATACGCACCACAAACCCGAGTAGGACGAAAACGGACCGTGACACCCCTGATGGTCGAAGCTCTCTGTGACCACCTATGTGAGAAACCCGGCCTCTACCTCGAGGAAATGGCTGTATTCCTATGGGATGAGTTTCAGGCCTTGGTTACAACCTCCAGCATCAGAAGAGCCCTTGTCGCAAAAGGTTGGTCAAAAAAAAAACTGCACGAACACAAGCTAAGGAACAAAACGCGGATTTACGAGATTATTATCTGCACAATCTTTCAGACTTTAAATCCTATCACCTGGTCTATGTTGATGAATCTGGATGCGATAAACGTGTTGGGTTCAGACGGACAGGCTGGGCACCACGTGGCACATCCCCCTTGCAAGTAACACAATTCCATCGTGATCAGAGGTACCAGGTATTACCTGCGTATGCACAGGATGGGATCATTCTATCGCGTGTCTTCCGTGGTTCTACGGATGCCACTGTGTTTGAAAGCTTTATAGCTCAGCTACTCCAGCACTGCGGGCGATGGCCAGAACCTAAATCTGTCCTAGTCATGGACAACGCATCATTTCACCGGTCGGAAGGACTTGAACAAATGTGCGCGGACGCAGGGGTGAAACTGGTCTACTTGCCCCCGTATTCACCAGACCTCAACCCAATTGAAGAATTTTTTGCTGAGCTCAAGGGGTTCATTAAGCGTAACTGGGACTACTATGAGAAAGACCCCGAGCGAGGCTTTGATACCTTCCTTGAGTGGTGTATTAATATGGTGGGTGCGAAAGAAGAGAGTGCCAGGGGACATTCTCGACATGCGGGCCTGAACATAGAAGTTTTCGATGCTTGAAACTCCTTAACCATGTCTTCATCATTCCTCCCTTCAATTAATCATTGACCCTAAAAGACCCCTCAAACAGATTTCGCTAGATCCTGTGGCTGTTTTTCTTGGCAAATTTTTTTCTTTAGTATTTTGGACATCCTCGTTTGCTTATAGAATTATCAATTGCTAGGCGTTACTACATTAATTGTTGTAAGCATGTAAGTTCACAAAAAAAAGCTTGTCTTCCCCGAGTGACAAGATCGATGCCGCGGTACCTGTACTGTGTTTTCTAAACAGACTCCTTGGCCTCGTCATTAGTGTCGCTGGAGGGCATGGATATCCTCCACTACCTCTCTGGCCGAGACCGGTGGCTACAGTGTGTACATAAAAGGCAAAAATGCTGTTCTGGCGGCTAATAAAAGCTCCCCTCTACCCAGTTTATTCGCGAAGGATCTTTGCCCCGGCGGTATAGGTATTGTAGGGGTTGCCACAACTCATTTGATGTTCCCACGGCGATATAGTTACGGCCAGGGCTCTCAAGGTCGTACATGATCGTGCGACTATATGAATGTTAATGGTGGCAACCTATCAATTCCAAGTGAACTGTGCTTACACCCAGAAACGACAGCCAGATCCCCCACCGGAGAACTGATATTGATGACGCCGATTTCGGTAGATTGTATCGGCGACATGTCGAACCTCAATGGCCATAGTAACCGGGAAATCCCAGTGTTGTATGGCCGAAGTGGTGAGGAGGTATGCAAGGTCTGTCCATTCCAGACGCCCATTTATGTCTCCGTAGTCTGTCACCATATTCACACGCACTGATCCACCAGATTGAAGGAGAAGATATATCGACCAGTGGTTATCGGATCCATCCGTTGCAGCACCAGCGTGAACCACAACGCGTATGTAATTGACACGCCGGGTATCCGCTAGAGCTTGACTTGGAGTTAAATTTACCATCTTCCTGGAAGAAAAGTCGGCTGACCAAGAAGGACCGGAGGGGGTGTGGTGCATCGCTTTCAATGTGTTCTGGGAGGGGTTGAGCGATAACGGATTATTTATTATCCGAAAGGGGCGAAAGCGGTCGAGATCATAAACGGCTTCTATCCCTTCGGAAGACCTCCCACGCCCCCCCAACACCCCCTGCAGGAGTCTCCCTCCGCCTGTGTCTTCTTTCAATTCTTGATACCGCCATGTCTGTTCAGATAGACAATCACCAGTCGGTCATTGATTTTTGCCGCTCTTGCTCAGATGATCAACTTATTGGAGGCTCGAAATATGGCAACCGAGTCGTTAAGCTACCAAATTATGACTTAGTAGTCAAGTTCGGCCAGCACGTCTCCTCCTACGAGGCGAAGAATCAAGAAGAAGCGCACAGTTTAATTGATTCCAACGTCGTCTTAGTGCCTCGGGCTTATAAGTTTTTTGTGGACGATGAGGGCTGGGGCTACATGGTCTCGGATTATGTCCTGGGCAAGACTATTGACCCTCTTCCGGAATCTCACATTCAAAAACTTGCCAAAGTTCTTGAATATTTTTGCTCTATCACTTCGGAGAGAGCTGGTAGCCTATGTGGCGGCCCGTCGACTGGCTTGATCTGGCCAGATACAAATGATCTATTCATCAGCAGTGTCCAACAAGTGGAGGACTGGTTCAACAGTCGGCTTTTTCCCGGAGACGGTGAGGTTCATCTTGATCCTAGTCCATTGGTGCTGTGCCATTTAGATATAGCCCCGAGAAACCTTATATGGTTGGATGATGGCCGTGTCTGTTTGCTGGACTGGGCATCAGCAGGTTTTTATCCAAGACCATTGGAATTTGCCAGCTTATTCTTTCAAGAATATAATTTTAGCGAGGCACTTCTGAATGCTACGGGGTTCGGCTCTGGGCGTGATAAAGAAGAACAACAGAAGATGTGCCAGGCTTTGTATAACAATGAAAGGTACTCCTTGTAAGTCAGAACCAACCAAAGTTGACCACCTCAGTATATAATTCTAATCCACGAAACAGTCGTTCGCGGGATACTAGAGAATCTTCTCCGCACTATTTACCAGCTGATTGCATATTTCCTCTTCCACTAATCCCGGAACCCCAAAAACTTCCAATTTGATAAATAGATAATTAAAAAAACGTGTATCGTGCTTTTTATTAAATTATGCCTAGAAATTGATAGTCCGAGCTGCGTGCCAAATATGACCTAACACACTCTTCATCAATATAGCGTTCAAGCAATTATCCAAACACGGGACCTGGTGTCTGCATAGCTCTTTGTTACGTATACCAACCGATGTCACGCTGTCTAATCTGATCAGTGATACAACATACTCGCCCAGAAAACGCCTTAATCCATAACAAATCCTGTCCAACCTAGAGTATTTCGTAAATTGGTATCGCTTTCTTGACTTTCTCAGCCCATGATCCGCTGTCCTCGACGACACGTCGAGCGATGCCTATTTTTATCCCTTTCTCAATAAAGAATTTTGGGTCCTGGTCCTTGTAGACCTGCTCAAGGTCAAGACCATTGTCGAGCATCACGTCACATACTTGCCGAAATGCCGATTTCAGTGTGTCATTTTCGACATTCGACATTTGCCACTCGCCGTACTCCTTCACGGCTACATCCCTAGGACCCGGAATTTCCAATGAATTCATGGCCATTGTTTCAACCGCCGCTTTGGGAACCGAAAAATCTAAGCCTTGGGCAGCAGACTGAGAGGGTAGAACATTGATTATATTGTAAGGAGGATATGGCATCCCACTCTCCATGGTGTGCCCTCCTTTACGCTTGTCTTTTCCCAGTCTCTTTTGTCTCTCTTGTTCTTCCCTGTACAGTTCGTCGCGTACCCCTTCCGGCACATCCTTATGACCCTCGAGAGCCCCGCCTTTTTCAGCGTGGGATATAAGGCGTTTAATGTGGTGAGATTTAAGTGGGTAATGTTTTTTCCTCATTGGATCCACCCAATAATGGGGGCCATGTGGACATGTCGATAAGTCACATCGCACCAAGTTATAGACACTTCGCCAAATTGGCTTCTCGCCTGAAGCATGTTCCTCAGCATCAAGCTGTGCGTCTCGTTCACAGAGCATTCTTTGCGTAACTGAGGATTTCCCTCTCTTTTCTCCTTTCCGGCCTGTAGATTGGGAAGAATGATGATCATCTTCATAGTTGAAACTTATCTTCAACGTGAGTTCCTTACCCTTGGAGAAAAGATCGGACCACATCAGAAGCTGCTTTTCTATAGCAGACCAAGTAATATCAGTGTCATCAAATCGCTTTGTCAGTTTGCGTTTAGTGCGATCGCTTGTTGATGCGACGATAACAGTGTCATCGGATCTCACCCCGCGGTGGCGGGCGGTTTTTCGTCGAAGCGCTTTCTCTAGCTTTTTTTCCAATGACAGCTGCCAGAAGGTACTAGGAGCCAGGACCACATCCTCCTCAGTATCCATCGATACTTCTCGGTTATTGAATGTCACTCGCCACTCTATACGGTAGTGGATACAGGCTGGCGGGTTCTCATCATAAGTCCTTCCCTCTTCCCACTCGCCCAGCGGCAGGAAGTGGAGTGGACGTGGGTCACGATTACTCTTGGGTACAACGTTATTCTCAAGTACACAGGAAGGAGATGGGCTGAAGGCAGACAGCGCGGCGTAGGGGCTGACACCGTACCCAGGGGTTGGTACGTAATCTGAGTTTTGTTCCCACGTTTCATGCTCAGTACATTCAGATACATGATCGTCGTGATATGGACTCATTCTGAAAAAGAATCACGATCCTAGGAGAATCCATGTTAGCTTGCGGGTTGAGCCAGATTAGATTCAACACTGGCAACGAATGAGACGCGGCGCGGATGAAAAAATCCATGGGAGATAAAGTAAACATCCTTCCCTACCAGGATTAGCTCTATACAGCGTAAGCATAGCCTTCTGTGTGATAGATGACTGGCGGCCCTACAGATACACAAAGGCTGTGCTGCATGTGGGAAGAATGAGGGGTAGTGCTAAACTTGGACTGGTGGAAAGGCGGGAAAACAGGCATACGACCTTGCCAGATCGCCAGATCTACCAAGCAGTTCTAGGGGATTCCATGTACCATTACAGATTATTACAATACATCCAGAAACATGGTATACCGATTACGACCATAGTTCTGCCCAACTAATAGAGCGGTGACCCTAAACAGGACTAGCCTGTTTCAGAATCATTTTCTGGGAATCAAGTCTAAAGAGTATGTGGTCAAACTGATTTCGAAAACTACTGTATTGAGTGTGGGTACCCGGGCACTGCGACGAGCCCGGAAACGACACAGCAGATCGGCTGGCTAAGGAGGCGGCCATACCGGGCCAAACCCACCCATTTTCCCCCTTGCTATCGCGAGAGAGGGCCAATATCAAGAACGGCATCTACGCCCAATGGGAAAGCGAATGGAAAGGATCTCGCAATGGCAGCCATCTTCGCAAGATCGACAATGCACTGCCAGCCAAATACACGAGACAGCTCTATGGAAACTTACCTCGAAACCGAGCGTACCTCTTGACGCAGTTACGGACAGGACATTGCTGGTTATCAACATACGCCAAGTTGTTCCGCCATCGCGATGACGACCGGTGTGTCTGCGGCGCGCGGGAAAGTGTGACCCACGTCCTCCTAGACTGCCCCGCGCTGAGGCACCTACGCAGGGAACTGCGGGAGAAGGTTGGGGACGGATTCAACAACATATCAACTCTATTGGGAGTAGGAGGACCCAGAGGAGGCGACGCTGCTCCGCGAGCCAAGACAGTCGAGGCTACCTTGGACTTCGCAGAAGCATCACAACGGTTCCAAAGTCGCGCGCCATGAGGGCAGCAATCCAAAATAACGGCTGAGAGGCCACGGCAGGCCCCAACGAGGCTCTAAGTTCGTTTAAGAAGTGATACAAGACACATGTACCTACATTGATATATAGTTGTGGTAGGCTGCATATCGCTTTGCGAGGGGTCAGCGTAAATGAATTACACACACACACATACTGTATTGAGTGTCTAGCCAATCTGAAGCATATTTCAATGTATGGCAACAGATTGGCTTTTTCTTTTGTCCTACCAGACCAATGGGATGAAGATTGGACACATTCATTATTGCTATGGGGGCTATCATCTCCCTCGTTAAGTACAGGTCAGTTGAGTAAAGTATTGATGTGTCGGCTATCCTGAAAGTGCTCGGTCAAATACAACACGTGCGTACGCACTGGCTACTTGCTGCTGAGTACTCTTTTTGGTCCAAACTTTGCGACAAGCTCTTCTGAGCTAGAGGTTGTGATTATTAGGTTGCGAGATTCAAACCGGAGGAGAACAGCCATCTTATCAAGGTATAAAGCGGGCTTCTTAGACAGCCGGTCGCATCGGCGTCCGGGGATAAGAACGTCAGGATCCGGGATTCGGCCAGTGGCCAGCGCTTAGCTCCCCAACTACGCGCAAATTAATGAAATCTATTCCAATCATCTACATACGTCAATTGGTACATTTGATATAGTATTCACTGATACTGTAATGTCGTCTCTTCACTGTTCGACATTGCCAGAACAATACGGGTATGGTTTGAATACTGACCGTTTATGGATAACCTATATGGAGCCAAACTTGTTTGGCTGCCTGCCGAATATCGACCAATTGATCTCCCTCCTTGAAACGAATTTTGCGATTGGTTGTCCATCGAGTTTTGTCATAGATCTCGCAATTACAAAACAAAGTCCCATTACTGGTCTTTGAATATTGTCTATAATGATTTAGACATTCCTGTGGCTTTTGTATACACGTCTCATCTTGAATAGCCTATAGGCTTATGCCAAACTTCATACTTAATAAAAAGACGTCGTGCAACTGTATAAAATCCCAAAATTGGACTACGTGCGGGGTAACTGGGTGTTTCCTTCCACACAGAACGAAACGCCCAATTTGCATTTTTCATGTCAAAATTGTGCCCCATCTCTAATGAAAGCCTGTCCTACCAAGACTTCCTTTGAATGTTCTTTTTCATATCTCAAGTTTGCCGCTGAATCACCGTTGTGTTGCCCCCTATGGCAGAATCCCAAAATCCGGCTCCTGGCCTGATTGGATCGACCGCTTTCGCGATTTACTGGAGTGCTTCCCTCTTCAAGATGATACAGAATGTAAAGTCCCGCCGGAAGCAAGCTCGTGACTTGGCAAAGGAGCTCGAGTCCTTGCAGGAAATTCTACAGAGGTTCAGGAACAGCATCGATGCCACCCCTGAGAATAGCCTCGTTGATCTTGGATTTCCACTGTTGCAATGCGGCAATGCCTGCAAGGTCTTTGAAGAGAAAATTGACAGAAGCTCAAAACTGTCGGGAGTCACCATAATAGATTTTCGAGATTGGGCCCACCTAAAATACATGGACGAAGACATTGATGCTTTTAGACGACTGTTAGCCAGCTATAAAACAGCATTTATTGTCGCTCTGGCTAATGCGGATGGGTGAGATCTAATTTGGCCATATTTTCGAATGTCATGCTAAGTTTCTTTTGCCAGCAGCAAAACCAACATCCCTGCCGATGGCCGTGAACACTACAAAGACCTCGCCGAGAACGCGGTCGTTGATCTTGAAGCTCATTTGGAGAGCATTGATCGAAGGCTGAATGACCTGCGTACCGAAAGTTCAACAAAGTCAGAAATAAATACCGAAGAAATTCGTTTGACAACGGCGGAGCGAAAGAGCTTACAGAAATGCCTCCAAGTGTGCATACATTTCTCCAGTCGTATCGATGATATTCCGCACAATGTAAAGAATAAAAAAATTAGCTCTCATTGCTTACCAGAGCGAGCTGATGTGGGGTTGAGGGAAGACATGAAGAGCCTTCTAAATATGGAAACCAAGCTTGAGAGCCATATGAAAGCGTTGATGGACAGAATATTGAGCAAGTTCATGGCGGCTGCCAATTCCCCACAAAATATTGAAGATATGATCAGGTTGCAAGAGGAATGGGAGACAATTCGCCAATGCATGCGTATCTGCATCAGAGCAGAGAATGATCTTAACGGCAATGTCAGCACGATCCACAATTACGCAGCGGGTGATGCCATTCAATTCATAGTTTCAACAAACGGAAATGCTATCAAAGGTGAAAACAGAGCGTCGGGATGGAGAACGAGGCAGGTCGGTGGCCATATAAGTGATGCTTCTCTTCAACCGTTAGCAAAGGATATGGCCAGTGTCAATTTCTCGGACGTCGACGACGAGACTTTGTCCCATGCAGTCGAAGAGAACCAACGCAACTCAGGACTTGAAGAACGTTATGGGCGAGGCTTCACGCTGAGGACTAAAGAATCTGTGTCAGATGGTGGTTTTTGGACTTCATCGGCCAGAAGCGGACCTCGGCACACTCCAGAGGCACACTCCAGAGCCTTAACTGGAAGTTTTATTCTTGGCAGCGATCGACACGAATCAGAAGAATAAGAAGCAACTTTAGCTGCTGGACAAATGACTAGCACTCAAAAGTATTATTTATTTACAAATCTGAAGCATATCATATAGCAATGCAAAATCATCGAAATGTGCTCGGTGAGCTTTGTCTGAAACACGTCGCAAGCGCAGTGGATAGCCTGTGTATACCGTCAGAAAAGATCGGCCTCTCATAAAAGCTATCCGTGTCATGCTCAGTGACCTCCAGTTATCGCAATATGATAGAGCACTTCGTAGAGAAAATACCCCGAGCCATGCTGTGGAGGACATGAGAAGCTGTCCACTATCTTAATCCCTTCCCACTTACTCATCTTGTCCTGACTCTGACAGCTAACCATATGCATAATCGCGTGAATATCCGCAGTATTTGGGAAATTCGGAGCTTCCAACCCTGCATGAGTGCATAAATCAAAATTTACGCTTTTCTTATCTCAAACCTTTGCCGGAGAATAGGATTTTAACCTTAGGACGAGCCCACTTGATCAACCAAAGATTGATTAGCCTAAACCATTCCCAACTAGACGAAAAACTACAGTTACAGAGTCAGATACAGTGTCCTCGAGCAAATGTTATTTGGGCCACATCTGGGCCATTGCCCTGGAACACTCCATGATCTCCTGCTGAGTAGCTAACCCTGCGAATTGTATTTGAAGCCCGCTTCCGTTGCCTCGATTAATCGCGTAGACTTTGGGAGAGACAAATACTTGGGAGATTTTCCTTCGGGTCGATTCCCATGCCTCGTCGGCCGGTACTTTCTTGCTGTGACTCGCTCGGTCCGCTAACGTAGCCTCAACCTGATTTAATTCATCGAGGAATGATGCACAAAGATCACGACAATAGTCAAAAATGGACGCTTTTTGGTTTACAGGTCGTGTCTCCCCAGGAAACGCAACCTTTGCAGATAAGCTCGATCGTTCCTCGGCATCGTTTTTGAGATCCTTCAGATCTTCGATGGTGTTCGTGATCAGCTTCTTGATAACTCCCAAATCGTCCATTGTAATAAATGGGTCTTGACTTCAATAATTCAAGGCATAAAATTAGAACAGCCCTTATTTGAGAAGCGCATAGACTTACATCTTTGGGGCAGAGAGCACGACTTGAAATGTCGACGTATACCCACTAAGAATCCGCCTCAGATTATCGATATGTCTCCGATAGCTTCCGACCCTATGTCTATCAGACGAGCCTCTTCCACATCTACCACTCATAACGGCCTGCCCAAACGGTTCGAAGCCTGCTCGACAGAACCAATTGCAGGTCATGCGACATTCGTTTAACGGAGGAACAAGTTTGAGAAGGTTGGTATCTGTAGAAGTTTGAATCGTTTTGCCGAGCGATTCCAATACTGCCTTTAAAGATTCAAGTTCGCTCGCCAAATCACGCAAAGGCTTCAAATTTGGTGTCAAAGTTTGAATCCCTTCGAGAAGATCGATGCTGGCCTGGGTTGCCGAATCTACTGAGCCCGTCAAGTCGCAGGGAGGATTAACCGCATTTGCCATTGATTTGGAGGGACATGTGAGTAACTTAGAGGAGCAAACAATTCCTCGATATAACGGGAACCTACGGTATTTATGGGGGCTCTCAGCCGCCAAGGTCAACTGATCTGAAAATCTGACATGCTTTCTTTCTTGACAGGTTGAGAGCTGCCCCGCGGCGCGCACGGACAAGACATAGGGAGGGGCGGAGGCTACTCAGCCAGGCTTTTTGTAGGCTTTTTATAGGGTACCTTTTAAAATGAAAAGTGATTCCTGTGTAGATGAGGGCGTACCTGGTGATGTTGTTATTCATGGGAAGAGATATCTTTATAACCCGCTTCCTTTCTGCCCCGTATATTCGCCGACGGCGTGTGACTGTACTTTGATCGCGGCAGATCAGGCCAAAGACTGGTCGATTGGGCTTATTTCTGCCATAATGTAGTATATAAGGGCCACCAGCGCCTACTGAAACTAAATGGGGTCGTCTAGTCTCGTCGCAGGCAATGTGTTGCGCATTCTTTGCAGGTATTTCAGTCGTCAACTCATTCGTGAGGCTCTTTTGTCAAATCGATGTCTCATGTCTAAGACTACCGATCGGAGTAACTAATTACTAGATTACTTGCTCTACATTGAATCGGATAGAAAGTTGTTTTTCACCGAGGGACTAAGGGGCGGTCAAGAGCCAACCTTCTCAGAATGGATCACATTGATCAGGATGAAGCTAATAATCAGAACTCTTTTCCGTCCCCGTCTTATTCTCGGAAGCCCAGAAACCCCCTCTCACCCCTACTGAGCGCTGAAATACACCACAAGAGCTACATATGAGAGCAAGCCGAACCCGGCTTACAAAATAACGGCACATGGTCCTCTGGAATGAACTGAGACAAACACAATCCCATTATCTATGCATACGATACCGACCAGATAATCTCCAGCTAGGATCAGCCACCCAAATAAATGCCTCAGACAACACTCACATGTTCTTGATGTCCTCTTCCTTCATCGAGCCAACGAACTGCCGTGAGTTGCCACTAGAGATTGCTGTCCTGACCACGAAATGGCCCGGGGAAGTAGCCACTAGTGTCTGTTCGCTGCCAAGGGCAACTACGTTCCCAAGATAAACGTTGCTGACGATGGCATCTCGAGTTTTCGGGTATCCAATACGAGACCCAGCATATTCACAAATGCGAATGCATTGTTTGGTTACTTCCTCCTCGTCCTTGAAATTGAGATTGATGTCTGAGGCATTGTTTTTGAGATTGGATTGGACTTTCTCCTCCACTAGTCGTAAGTGGGCCATCAGGTTATATGTTGTGTCCTTAATCATTTCATTGTACTGTTGAAGAACTTCTTGGGGGACTTTGGAGGTGTGCCTAACGAAAAGATGTCAGCAGAGTCTATGGTAGACACGCGATTGCGACTCACATAGTAAGTATGCCTAAACTGACTGAGATCGTTGACCGATATCCTCCAATAGTGCCTATAAATTCATTGATATCACCTCCCACGAATTGCATTTTGGTCCAATCCCGAAAGCCAGTAATTGGGGTTTGACTGAACACTATCATCAATCGTTCGATCTTGCAACAAATTTCGCCACATCGATGACAAAGACAATGAAGAGATGCCAATATTGACGTTGCAAAATTGTCCACTTTTTTCAACGATTCTAAAACGTTGGTGACAGCTTCCAGCTCAGCCTGAAGCCTTTGTATACAACGGCTTCGATCTTTGAAGCCACTGACGGTTTTATGAAGCGATCTTGTGGATTGAATGGCGATTCCTATAACAACTGGAAATGAGAGATTCATGCCCGATTGATCCATCATTTGAGACATTCGCTGCGAGGTTTGCCTAGTGGCCTTTGGTAGAGCCGTAGCGGGAAGTGGATTTGGAAGATTGAGCGAGGCTGACGAGGGGTTTAAGTAATAGCCCCAACGTGGACCATGCCCCGCTGGGCATATCTAACTGGCTAAAGTAATCGCCGTGGCTGTAACATACAACTTGGTACCGTCCTGCCATTCTGTAGGGGTCTATCAGAGCAAGATTTTGAGTGTACCAACTAGTACTCGATCAGGGGAAATGGGCGTGCGATAGAGGGCAGGTTGAAATACCCTAAATTGACTCTTGCGAGACCTTATTCGCCCTGAACGAGTGCTAGTTGGTACACCCATAGCTTGCTCTAATAGTTTTAACTTCTCAATACAAGTCATATAACTGATTACGATGGCAGCAATGACTACTTACTTGGCTTCTTATTGCTTACGCACTGGCATAAAGGCTAATGTCATTCATTCTCCGGGGAAATGACTACGCGGGAGCCGCGACGAGCTGACGTCAGCACCATGGAGACAACGCCGTCGAGGACCTGACTAGTCGGTCGCAAATCTCAGGCTTCATCCGGCATCCAAGCACCCAACATGACGACCGGGCGCTAAGTGGACTAGTGACAAAATTTTTAAGTTTAGACGCTTTTACTTCAGACTAATGCATTAATTTAGATTGGTATCACTCCAGCGCATATGACTGCACCAGAACCAATGACGTTTTGGGGTTTGCCGCCGTGATTTGCTAATTAAAAAACACATCATACGCAAATGTTCTAGAACGCAGACATAGGGTTTCGCCTGCTTTGAAATTAATCACGATGTAAGAGCGGCTGTAGGTTTCATTAGTATCCTCATGGTTAACGATATATTAATACCCAAAATTTTAATCACGGCTTGGCTTTGTTGAGATTTATGGTGGCCGGCCATGGTTTATGCCATGAATGAGCCATGACGGCAACCGAAGTGATTCATCACCTGGGAAATCTAATCAGTACTAGCTCAAGGCTGAGTTTTCTGGTATATAAGGAGGTTCTCATACAAATGAGAATCTCTAGACTTAAACAACTCGGTAATTTGTCAAAAGATTATCTATATTGTACCTTCGTACCCGTCATCATTCCCTACTTGCATCGTAACTTTTATTGCATCCATGTTACTGTAGGGGAGGGCTTTGGATTATATATCCTTCCGACTACGGAGACCGAGATTGACAAAGACTAACTATCCACCGAGGTTAATGGAAAGTAGCGGGGTCAACTCCGCTGGGGCAGGAATGTTGATGTTTCGAGATTGGATTCATTCTTGGTGGATGAGAACACTGGAGCTATGACAAAGTGGTTATACGGTCAATCGTGTTCTTATGACCCAGCAAGTACTGTACTCGAGATTATTTACAGGACTGTTTGTCGAATGTTGATCATTAAGCTAACCTCAGTCGAGATAAAATAAAAGTGGTGCCATTTGGTGTTGGTAGGCCCGCCCCACTTAACAGCTCTTCCAAAATTCGCTGTCATTTTGCCTTCAAAAAGCAAGCAGGCCAAAAAAAAATTTTTCTTTCGCCATGTTCCCTTGTATGATCTACAGAGCATCAATTTATTTCTATTTCTAAACTAGGCGTCTTTTGGTGAACTTATAATCACCAGTGACTCCGACCGTGGTTTATTATCCAATTGCCTGGCCCATTTGACCGGTCTTACTGATGTCGTCTAAACCGCGCGGGTTACAGAAATCACAGCATTTTAAACCAAGCCATTTTAGGTGCCAGGGATTACCGCCCGCGGGGCTCGTGCGAAATGGCCAGGCTGTTGGCGTGACGCTGGTCACTCAAACATGCAAATTTCGGACACACTTGGAAAGTGGTAGCCAATGCCCTAATCACTTGATAGTATAAGTGACGGGAACTCTGACCCCATCCTGTCAGAGTTGATTTCCCAACTAGACTAAATACGAATCTGTACCCAGCCTAGTGGGCTGTGGTTTAGAATCCAACTGTCAAAGCGATATGCAGACTACAACCAATGTGCAAATAGATGCGGCCGAGCATCCGTATCAGACCAACATGAAAGCGTCGAAAAATAGGCCTTGGCAACTTTCGGATTTGTCTTGCACTGTCGAGTTCAACTTGTATAGCCATATTTCAATCTACCCCTTTGGTTAATTACCCCTCCAAATAAGTCTCCTAAAAGGTTTCAAATACCCTCACATTGCTGTGTGAGCGGTTAGTAAATGGCTCAATGCTTCTTCCTAGTAATTTCCTGGCACTCATCGACATGCAGCCCCGGTCTGGCGATGTCACAGCCTAGCTGGCCATGCATTCCTTGCCACATATTTGATCGGATCCCTCTTAAATGGACACAGTTATTACGGCCTTGCGTTAGCGAAGCGTTTCCCAAAGAAGCTTTGAAGGACGGTCGATTTCAGCCACCTTGAACAGTAGCTTGATCACTTCCTGATGTCTGCTCTCCGCAATCAGTGCCAGAGGTGTTCAATCCCAATTAGACAGGCATTGAGCTCCTATAGATAAGCATTCTCCGACCTCATTTCGCAGATTTCTCGAACCTACATGATTGACCAAATACCCTGATATGAGGATTGACCCAGGACCACTCATGTGACTGTTTCTGAACACGAGATCTGATTAAAGCCGGTTACAGTACCTATATCAATCGAAAATTGTAGGTGGTGGCACCAGTTTTCGGGGCGTACTGTATAGATTTAAAAACAAGGTTACAAATAGCTAGATATCCAGAAAGAGTGTTGCGGACGACTGAAAGAAACGAATTTGCTCCCCCGCATTCGCGCAGGGGTGGGGGAAAACCCAGTGGGGAAAAACCCCACCAAAAGAGGCCCAGAAGATTACAAAAGTATGACTAAGTGGATAATTCTCGTAGACTTGCCTCCAGCTTCTGTTTCAATTGAACCGTCTCAACACGTTGACGGCTAGTTTTTTGTGACTCGCCAGCAAGACGCATTAGGTCCTCGTCTGAAAACTTACTCACAACTGTTGGGTGAAATGCCCCTCCCAATTTGGACAGAATTTGCCTTTCAATCACCTGTCGGCACACATTGTCCACAAATGTTTTCATGGCAACCTAAATCACCACGTTATAACCGGACCGACCAGTGGGACATGCAGATTACTCACCTTGTAATATGCATTCAGATCGGTCAATGCCTCGGAGCAGGCTCTGTCAACCATATTAACCTCCACGCGTTTCTGTAGAGCTAAAATCATTCGATTCATTTCATGAGAAGTGTTGCTGAAGTGAACATTGCTACCCCAATCCGATTCAGCTGCTTTCTTGACGGACGTTCGAATGCTTTCCTTCGCTTCGTCATGTCTCGCTTTTTGAATGTTGTCGGTATAGTAGTGATTGTAGGTAATTGGGTGGCCTCTTTCATCTTGTATGAGCTTGGAGAGTTCCTCATGAGCATTGCCGGTATTCTCATTGAACGTAGCCATAATGTGCTTCTGCAATTTTTCGTAGACTCCGGCATCCTTTACTACGAACTTCAAGGCCTGGCGCATAAACTGAGTCACCAAGTTCACGACGGATTCAATGTGGGCTCGAGATATCTCTTTCCAGCGACATGATTGGATGTGAAACAAACGTTGAAGGAGAGAATGGTTGTAATTTCCTGGGAGCTCGCGACCTCTGGTTTGGCGATACATCTGTCATCGTAAGCGATTACCTTTCCGCTTGAGACTTGACTTACCTCTTGAATCCAAGAAAACATCTCTTTCTCTGTAATCAAAAGCTCTTTATGTTTGTCTTCCTCGCTTTCCTCTTTGCTTTCCTCGTCGCTTTCCTCGTCGCTTTCCTCTCCCAGATTATCATCGCAATCAGAAGCGACGACTTTTCTCCGTTGGCCATGGTTCCTCATGTATTCGGCAAAGTGCTCATTTTCTTTATGGATCGCAGCACGCAGACGGCAAGTTTCTGGACCAGTTGCAAAAAAATCGCCGTCCCAACTATCATAGTTTCCCTCAAGGCCATTCTTGACAATTCCATAGAATTCAGTACTGATCCGAGTGAGAAATACTCGAACTTGCGTTGCGTTTGATCTCTCAATCCCAAGGTTAATTATTTCATCATCCACCCGCTGAAGTAGACGTCGAACCTCCTGTTGGACCTTCGGTAGCTCTCGCTCGATATGGCTATCCAGCAATTCCTCCAAGAATGAACGTAAATTGCTCATCCCAATTCTCGTAGAATCAATTCCCTGGGCCTTCCAACGTTGACTGGAGAAGAACTCCATTTCTACCCGGTGTCGTTGCCGAAAACTGATTCCATCCACTAATTCATCCGGTGAGGGATTTTTGACGAGAAAGAAGCCAAGATTCAACTTTGTGCGGTCCAGGTTTTTGCCAAGCGAGCCACTCTTTCTTCTGTGTTGCTGTTGATGAGGTCGGGTTTCGTGATGATCCCTACAGTCCTAACACCCTCCTTGTCAAAATGACGCGCTCGTTGAATAATGCGTTGGGTCTCTGCATCGCTGCTGGCCGGAATAACAGCAAGAATTATTGTACGAGAGCTCTCCAGATATGAATCAACCAAACGTTGCACGATCTCAACGTCTTCCTCGTCCTCCGAGACCGATATCAATCCCGGCAGATCAACCAAAGTCAGATGAAGCCCCGTATTGCCGACCAATTCGAGTCTAAGAACATCTGCAGCAAAACCAGGTGCATCGGCAAGTTCGCTGAATCCTCGAACCCCCATATAATAGGAAGCTTCGCGGATTATCGTTGGTAATTCGTTGAAATCTTGAAATTCTCGTTGAAACCCCGCGAACTTTTTCCTTTCCTCAGGAGAACGAGATTGACTCGGCAGAAGGCTCGCAGTCATCGAAGTGACTTGAGTGTCATGGCGCAGTACTATCTCGGTAGGAAACTGTGTACAGAGTCCGTCCTTGCGAGGAAAAGGGTATCCGGTGATACCTTCAAGAACAGAGCTTTTCCCCGCCGACTGATCACCAGACACTGCCAGCTGGGGAAGCGCGATATGATCGCCAACCCCGTTGGCTCGAACACGGTCAATCTGATTAAGTCTTTTGGATGATTTCGCCGAACTGAGTCCGGGGTTATCTTTCCCTCTGTCCAAATCAGTTGAATCTCCGTCCTCGTCAAGAGGCATGGTAGTTCGCATTTGGTTGCGGAATCGGTGGTAAATTCAGAAATAAGTTGGTGATTTCCAGCGTCATCGGGTTACTCGATGGAGCATGATCGTGCAGAGGAATGGGCCGAGTGAGGGTGTTAGGAGGACTTCCTGGGTGGTTGGTTCAGGGGATCCACCACCGGATGCAATACGTGATATCAGCCTCATCTTGTGGTACATTCCAGGTGCCAATCCACGAGGACAGCAGGCTGATTACAATCCAGACGCAGTGTCAGGTCCGGCTTCCACGGTCGCATCGGATATTCCAAGCTAGGACGTACCAATTACTTGCTCGAGGCATCCAGGTTACCAAGGACTTTGTTGCGCTTTTACTACTTTGCGAGCCGAGCAAGCGAGGCAACCGTGTTTATTGGGATCTCGATGCAGAAGAAGACATAGCTACTGAACAGCCGGAGCAACTGGCGTCTGATGATGCATATGTCCAACAGATGTTTGCATCATCTGCTACGGTGAATCTCGTCGCTTGGCGTCTAATCGCCTGAAAGATATTCCATTTCGTCCCAGTCCTCACGATCTTCCACGTCATCGTAAACCTTCGCATACATCGACATTTACTTTTGCTGCGTCACTGTATATGGTATATATTACTGTTATTTAATCTTCTTGGCGGGTTTTGGGTCAAAGGTCGAAACCCGACCCACGACTTTGGCGAGGTCTATTCAGATATATATCTTACACTGTTACCTCCCCTGCCACCAACTTTGGTAGCAAGGTCTAAAACCTGTGTTAAACTACCTAAATTAGGTATTTGCTTCTTTGATTTCTCCCTTTTTCTTGTCTGCTTTCGGTTTCCCTCCCGTAAACGCTTGAATCCATCACGCATTAAGATATGCTCGTGGACTAGTTTGACCGACATATTGTAAAACTGTTGAAGATCACGTTTTGTAGGTGAAGAGATCTTATTAGCAGCTGAATATAGACTAGAATTGAGCCTAGATTTGCGTTTTTCTAGCTGCTTAGTCGTCCGAGGAATGCCGGTAGAGATATTACTACCTGGTGTTGAGCCTTGTGATACTGGTCGATCTGGTAGAGGCGGAGATTGAAGACGAATATTGAGCTTTGGTAACACCCGATCGGGGTCTAATGGTACTAAACCAGTAGCTGCGAAGGCACTCTGAACGATAGACTCATTGAATGAATCGTTACGAGCTGCTGGAAAGATATCAAGGAAGTCATCTTTTTCGATAGAATCGATACCTAATCGGGTGTATTCTCAACATCAAGAGGCTGTAAAAGATGAGAGGTATGAGGAGGTATACAGATTGGTATGATGTTGTTTTCCTGGCAAATCTTGTCGAATGTTGCTGTAAGATGACTGTCATGGCCGTCGAGGACTAATAGACGATGTTTTCCTTTCGTCTGACTTATGGTATGCGGAATGAAGTGCTTCTGGAGCCAATTAACGCCAATTTCATTGCTTGTCCAGCCATTTGGACTAACGTTAAGAGCCCAATGCTTTGGAAGGTCGTCGAACCATCGTAACATAAAGTTTTTGCCTTTAAAGATAACCCCTAAAAACCAAAGCGACATCGCAACTGCTAGAGTTATCGTTCTATTCATTGTTTTATCACAGCAAGTAGTATAGGCCAATTCAATTGAGCTACAGTAAACTCATACTACGACACTTGATCTTCCCGATATCTGAAAAAGGGGCAGATTCTAGATACAGTAAACACACTCAACCTTGATGAGCTTCTCAGACCCAAGAATCCCATCCAGAAAGCTGCCGATATCGTCTTGTAGATAGCGCAGAATGTCGTAACTGATATCTCCTTTCCGAACGCTCAAAGATTTCATGAACCGGCTTGGATCATTCGGGGTCTCATTTTCAGCCAAAGTTTCTGCCAGAAGCTGTAGAAGTTTCTGACCGCTGGGGCTAAACATGATTTTATAAGCGCCTACAGGCCTCTTAAATGGATACTGGATATCCAAAAGTACTGAGTATTCCTTCACTCGCGCGTGTGAAGACACAGAAGTTGAAGGAGTCAAGTCGTTTTGTGAAACCTCTGTGGCGGGTCCTGGCAGATTACCACTCTGTCCTGGAGGTATGGTAGCGATATCGGTTGATCCTCAAGATAGGTCAGTGACGTCAAGGCAGTTTTAAAACTGTCAAGTATTTCACCATACCTTTTTCAAGGTCTGTATGGCCATGCCCCGCCTCTGAGGTTCGGGCTTTCCCGGTCACGCTGATCCTTCCATTCCGCACAAGGCCGGTAGAGTTTTTCTATTATGCTGTGGAGAGTTTCATCAAGACCTGAACGTATTTCTGGATCTTCCGTGCGTTCAATATACATAGGATGAAACCCTTGAACAACATGAATGATGCGCTCATTCACAGACAGTTGGGCCACTTCTCGACGTCGTGCACCGCCAACCGAGGAGCAAAGGAGCGCAGCAACTGGGTGTTCCACAATACCCCAACGATGGTGGGATGTTTTGGTCGCACACTGACACGAGACCATCACTGGTGGTTTAAACCGGTGGAGAAAACTGACAGTCAGGTTGAACACCTCGCTGGATAATCGCAGCTTCTCAGCATCTTCCATAGAATTCATATTCCGATCCGTCAACAGAGGAAACGTATCAATGATGATGATATCCCTCAAAGTGAAGCCCCAGGGCTCCAAAGCTTGTTCAAGCCATATCAATGTGGGTGAGTTCTCAATCATCTCGTTCCACGGAAGATAGTCCCAGCCACTTGGGTTGAGCAACAGAATAGCCGGAAAGTTCAATATCCCGCAAAGCAAAGTAATGTAGTTTGATAGGCCTTCTCCATTCCAGCCTTCCCTTTCCCAGATGTGTCTTGCCTCCTGGAAAAATGGGTCATCTGGTGATATTCGGGATATACGGCGGCCGCTTTGTATGTTTGGGAGAAGAAAGTCATGTATGAGAGTTTCCAATTGGTTCCGCTCGCCTCTGAGCGAAAGGGCGGAAAGTGCCTCCAAGGTGACATCGAGTGACTGTGTCGAGGGATTCATCTTAGGTCTTAGAGGAATGGCAAGTCTGATTTTGAAACAGAAAAGGGGATTGGGAGGAAGGTAGAAGGTAGAAGAGCAGGCGTATTTGATAAAGAAAAGACATATATTCCTATAGCTATATAATTAGGCTTCCGCACTAAAGACGGCCTGATATAAAATATCGATCGATAAGAACTTAGCGGTTTCAGAGCTGTTGGAATCTCTAAAAGGATGTTTGCAGCCTTGTCCATTTCTTTGTCCAAACAAGTTCGGCAAGATTGTCGAAGTTGAGAGCGGTAATAAATAGATCTCTCGAGTGGTTAGAGCTGTTCCCGGGGGTTCGGAAGGCCCTCAGCATTGCAGGCGATGGCCGATTGAAACCGATATGGGGCAGTGGTCTAGTTGGGGGCTAACGTGGAGCACCATTCCAGATTGGAATGTCGCTAAGCCATTATGGGCTCTGAGCACGAGTGTTCAGAGCTAAACCTACTATCGTAAGAGTTGCACCTGGTTTTTCACGAACTGTCCCTTGTCGACAGAGGGACTTCCTTCTCGTATGCGCCGCTAGGGATGTTATGAATTTTCATCATCCGCAATTCACTTTCGGTATCTGGTAATGAATAAGATATATATAGCCATCTGAGGATATTCTTTTCTGGTCTCTCCACCAATCGCATAATGAGTTCTGATCTTCCATATCCCTTGCATCAATCCGAGCATTATATCGATGAGAAATTCCGCTTTCGATAGCTAAATTTAGCAGCAGTGAATGGAATGGCCTAGCACCCTTTTCAGCCTACTGTCATATTCCCTGGTGGTGGACCTCTGATGGCCTTGCTGCCACGCTCTGCGAGTGAGGATGGAGGGACTTTAGTTGGGTGTGAGTGGGAACTGGGAACGTGATTGCCAGACTTACATTTTGGGTCGGAAGAATGCGATAACGTAACAGACCCCCAAGCTGCGCAGACCCCCAAGCTGCGCACCCCACCCAACTTGATTATTTTAAATGGATTTTTCTCAACCAAAACGCCTTTAAATTGAATAAACTAAATGCGAGATGTAGTGGGACATGACCTCCTATTATGACCCTGAATTCCACATTCGGAACATCTTGGTACTGCCCTCGTACGTGACTGAGAAAGGGCTAAACCCAGATTTACCTCATTAGATCCTTGCGGTAAATCAGGTTGTACTAGCTGCGATATCAAGGTTGATGCCTCTCTAACTGTAAGGCCTTCCTCACGATGTATTTGCCTTGTAATTCTAGCATTTTTGCGCCTTTTTTTTCGTTTTCAGCGCGTAAATCGCTTACTTCTTTCTCGAGAATAGCAGCTGAATGCATTGTGATTTGACAGGCTTTTAAAACCTGATTTATCGCTGAATTCAATGGACTCGGTGGGCTTTTTGAGCGCTGTTTTAACAAGACTTTTATCGAGGAAGCTTGTTTTTGTAATTGAATATAATTGGAGGGCGTTTTTGGCTCCCACTCGCTACCCCGGCTGGAGGGGGGGGGTCGGCGTACGCGTGAGAATATTGACTTTCGAGAGTACCCGAGATGGGTTAAAAGGGAGTAAACCGGCGGCGGAGAAGCTATTTTTGATATTCTCCGATTTAAAGGCCTCAATTCGCGCGGCTTGGTAGGCATCGAGGAAATCAAGTTTATCAATATGACTGATTTTAGCCCGCATTTTCGATGCGATAATCCGACCGTACGCGGCCTTTAACACCGCAAAACAGCCAATATCGAGAGGCTGTAAAAGATGAGATGAATGCGGAGGCATACAAACTGCGATAATATTGTTCTCCTCGCAAATTTTGTCGAATTGTGGTGTTAAATGACTGCCGTGGCCATCAAGTATTAAGAGTCTATACTTCTCCTTCGTACGAGAAGTAGTAGCCGGAATAAAGAGTGTTTTAAGCCATCGAAGTCCAATTTGATCAGAGGTCCATCCATTAGGACTTATCTCGATGCTCCAGTTTTCTGGAAGGTTATCGAACCAAGATTCGATAAGAACCTTGCCTTTAAAGATCACGCATAGAGGAAGCACCCATCCCGTTGAACTTATATACTCGATTGTGGTTACCTACGCGCGATTTCCAGGCTGTAAAAGTGATCGCCGACCGGACAATTCCTTTCTCGCTATAACCTTCATAGTCGAGATTATGCCCATTGCAAATCCCGTCTCGTTAAAGTTATAAATATCGTCCAAATCAATCCCGTTTATCAGAATTGTTTTTTGAACGAGAGAAAACCATTCAGATAACAGCTTCGGGTCCTCGTATTTAGCTCGCCGATAATCGTAGCGTCTCGAGAACCGAGTACATAGTAGGGGATGCCGTTTAACGAATTTTTTAACCCAATTTTCGCCAACCGTAGGTAGCGGATACTGATCAGGCCAAGACGTGTTGAAAAGCGTCTTCTTCCCTCGGCCCCCACCTCGGACCCAGATAATATCCAACGAGACCGACGCAAGTTCAAACAGATCCCATTCCCACCAGTCTCGCTGCCAGAAGTGTGAGATGCCATTTACCGAGCACCGCCAGACAAAGCAGCAGGGAACGGTGCGGTGCCGAATAGGGTCTGGCGGTTGCTGGCGGCAGGTGACAACTCCCTTCTCTGCGATGCGATTACCTCGATATTTGACGCCGGTATTCGCACCGGATACACCCCACGAGACCTTCAGTCCTCAATCACGGTCACCCCTTGCAAGGGTGGCCCCAAGGACTGCCGAATTCCGAGATCGTACGGGCCAGTGGCCCTGCCGAAGTAGGTCGTTGCAACAAGGATAAAATGAGGGCGGAGGAGAAAGAGATCGTGCCAAAGGGCCATCTAGTGAACGGAACGATGGTTCGGTCAATCATGCCATCCAGTCGATCCTGAACGTGGTGCCTTCGGGGGTCGGTTGAATGTTGTCCTGTGAAGACAGCGAGACAGTGATGGGTTGATCGACCTTTGGACACTGTTTATGCAAACAGCGCGGTGGGCAACCTGTCACTAGATCCAGAAATAAGATTGCGCAATTTATGACGAGCACGTGGCACCCCTAGGACAGTGTCTAGCAATGGCAAGCATTTAGGGAGTGAGTGTGGCCAGGGACTGTTTGGTTGCAAGACCTACATTGGCCCTAATGACAGGGTTGCCGTTGACTGGCTAGCTTTTCGAGAGCCTGCTGCATACGGCAGTCCCAAACTAAAGAGCGAACAAGGCTTATTTGGAATATGTATTAATTGGATGTCGCCCTACTAAGTCCAGCTTTGAAGTGGTACTGGCGAAGATACTGACAAAGCCTCGGAAGAGCTGACACGACGTTTGGTCTTATATACATTCGGGTAACCTATATAGAAGATCCCAAAATCGACCCCTACAAATAAACAAGTAATATGAGGTATGGCAGTGAAGATTACAATGAGTAGTTTCAGGACGCTGAGAACTGGTGAGGAGACCGCCGGGATGATGTTTCCGGACAGGAATGCTTCCAGTTGGGGAACAAGTAGCCGTGGAATGAGGCGGTATAATTTATTGGCCGGGTTTACCAATGAATAGAAGAATTTCAGTTGAAAAGTCCCCGAGAGTCCAATCGTAGAGGCAGGCAAAACGTGGGATCCTTCGCAAGACAAACGGCGTCGGGATATTCCGAGTTAGCGTTCTACAAGTCTTGGTGGCCAACCACCCCTTAAAAAAGCGCTTTAATTCTCCGAGACCGTCTCAAGCCATTAGGCTTAGCCGCTTTTCGGTGAGGAGTCTTGAATCCAATCCTCCTAGTGCTCGTAGGGGCGTTGGTATGTTGATAGTATGTTCCCACGTCAATCAAGGCTCTAGCGAGACACAGACCTGCAGCGCCACGGGGTGGCACAGGGATGAAGCTATCGCACCTGGTAAGATCTTGAGGACGCTGAAAAGTGTGTCCCTGCTCTTCATCATCGGGGAACATGATCGGGTGATTGGGGTTCTGACCTAAGGTCACGCCTTTGGCCTCTGGCACGGCCCCGTCCGCATTGATATCCATTGATGCGTTTGCGTGCATTTGTAGCATATCAATGGCCCATTGTGGTGCACGCTGACTCTTGGCACACTCCAATGGGGTTTCCCCACTATTGTTCAGTGCGGTTTGATCGCAACCCTTGGCGATGAGCCACTTGAGAAGAATCTTATAGGCTTCTTCACGTTGGGTTGGCCACATAGAACGTGTAACGGTGATGTGCAACAAGTTGTAATCTTCTTGGTCTCGGATGTGAATGGAACTTCCCAAGGATGCTAGTAGTTGCACCATCTGAACATCGGCCTCGAAAACAGCCCATTGTATTGGTAAATGTCCAGAGCAGTCTTTGACTTCCCTCAATCTCGCAAATTCCTGGCTCTCTTGCAAGTTCTGAACTATATCATAGCATCCGAAAGAGGCTGCTACATGAAGTATTGTCCTTACCAAGGAGTCGTAGCTGAGAAGCCAATTGATAAGCCGAATATCTCTGCGATCGCATGCTATCCGTAGGCTAGAGAGTGGTTCGCCAGTGACCCAGTTCACATCAATCTGGGCTTTCTTCGCAAGGAAGAATTCAATCATGTCAGATTGCCGATGTTTGACGGCAAGGGTCAGACCGGCGGCAAGGTCTTCTTCATCTCCACTGTGTAATAATGAGAGAGAAGATAACTCCTCATCATTTTGGCGGATAGCTTCTTCCAACAACAGTCTCCTGAAGTTTTTCTCAAGGGGTACTTCCATCAGTCGAAGGAGAGACTTCAGCCTATCCAAACGATTATCACGCTGCATGTACAGCTTTCTCAGAACACCCAAGCGTTCCTGATCTTTCAAGTCAACAAAATTAGGTCTTCGCAAACAGAGTTCCCAGGCGAGAATAGACAGGATGTCGAAAGTAGACTTGGACATCGCCAGGGCGTAATTGCAGTCCGAAGGTAGAAACTCAACAATACACCGCCATATCTCAGGGGGTAAATTGCCACGAGTATCGGTGATGAGGTTTCCTTCTCCTCTGAGATCCTCTAAACAACACTTGGATCCTAAGAGAGACTGCATATTGTGATATGAGGCTGGGAAAGTGAGAGTTGGAGAAGAATCTGGTTGCCTCGTGGCTATTTCTAAGGTGACAGGAGATGGGTCCGTATCAGCGCCAGATATTGCGGCGAATAGCGCCATGCGAACGACAACGTCTCAATGATTACATACAATACGCAAGGGTGACTCAGGGTGGGGGCCACGCCGGGTCAGCCTAAAACCTTGATTGGTCAACCGGTGGACCCCGGGCCCAACCCAATTTCTGCTGCTTAAGTACTTTGAACCGATGGTGCGGTCCACCTGTTGATACAGTAAAACCGGGTTTAATACGATACAGTTGGTCTCGCCATTTTACATCGTAGTAACTAGGTATCGCACTGTAGTAACATATATATATATTTCAGGTTTACATACAGAAATAGCCCCTGATATCCTTCTGCTTTTGTGCATTTAACCTCCTATCCTGTATTATCCTCTGATGTTTATACAGACTGGTTATTAGCTGCGTTTCGCCTCGCTCCTGCTGCTCTTCATATAACCGAAGCGTCTCTAATGCACGAATAGCATCATTTATCGGAACCAGGGGGGTTTCAGGTATGGTTTCTGCATCTGCATCTGCATCTGTATCATCATCATCTCTGGCAAACTGGGCTAGCACTATATCATCTATAGTCTCAATACCATCCTGCACCACCTCATCCATAGGATTGAGGAAGTTCTCAATGCTCATTGGGTCTAGTACAGGCCTCAGCATCTGCAAACCAGCATTAAGTTCATTTATTAGCTGCTGCTGTAGTTGATAATCTTCGCCCTTCTCCGTTAATGCCTTATTAAAGCAATTAACAATAGTTTGAGCGGAAACATCAAATTGCCAGGCCTGAATTCCCCATTTTAATGCCTCAAGCACATTCATAGATCGAAGAGGATCACGGCCCGCGTCGAATTCAGCTACCATAAACCTTACCCACTGGCGTTTCCAGTAGGCCTTCCAGGTTCTGATAATACCCTGATCTAATGGTTGAAACCGGCTCGTTGAATTAGCCGGAAGCCAAATAATCAGGGTGTTTTGAAGCGGTAGAAGACTATTATTTATAGTCTTTACTGCGGATTCATGCGCAGAGAAATTGTCCATAAGAAGCACCACCTTCCGATGGACCATCTGGCTATCAAACCATCGAAGCCATTCTTCAAAGAACTTGCCAACCATCCATGCTTTTTTATTCGATCTCCATTGAAGATTAAAGTTATTGATATTGATATGAGCGGCAGTAAAGGCGCGGGGGTTTCGAGCCGCTCCAATAAACCAGGGAATCAATTTCTCAGAACCGTCGGAGTTACAGCAAAACAATGCTGTGATCCTTGATTTTTGTTGCTTCTTTCCCGATAGATTCTTCGTAGCAAGGCTCCGAACAGGGGTTCGTCTCCAATAAAGTGCAGTCTCATCACAATTAAAGATATCCCTTGGATGATATGCTCCGAGTGCTTGCCGGATAGGAATCATAGCTTCACTTGCGGACTCCGGTGTGCTTCCATCTTCACCAGCGTGTAGCCGATTCCGAATTGATTCCCGGCTTTGGAAGGCTTCTAGCCAACCATTGCTAAATGTTGGCATCGGTTGACCTTCGTATGTTGGGATTTGGGTCCAGAAAAACCGTGCTTTTGCCCGGATAACGTCTTGTGTTATTGGAATCTTCTCTTACGTAAGAACGATCCAATGTACAAGTGCGGCTTCGAGGTCTGGCCACTTCGCAGTGCGGCACCGCTTCGCTTTTATCGAATGCTCCGTCAGATATGTATCGAGGTGTCGATATTTAGGGGAGAGGATAGCGGATAGGGTGGATTGTGTAGGGCGATGGTTATAGACCTCGTTGAACCAGCTAGCGAGCTGGGTTTGGGTGGCCGAAGGGTGCTTGCGGTGCTGCTCTCTGAGAGCGATCTTTTGCTGGTTCGTGATAGCTTGACGGGGCATTTTGATTGGTTGAATATTAGGTAATCGTACGATATTTGTAAGAAGGGGTCTGGAAATGTTGCGATATTTGTATGTGAAACTGAATTTTTCGCTAAAATATTATCGCACTAACTAGGATATCGCACTAAACCAGGATCGTACTAAACCGGTTTTACTGTAGTACATCTGTTACAACCAATGTTACGACTGACTGTCAGGAGATGTCACGATAAATACTGTATCGTAATTCGGTGTTCCGGAAATATAAAATTTCCCGGAGTCCAAAAATGGCTCAGTCGGTCAACCACGGCTCGGGTACTCTGGCTTATGTTTTCCTCGAGTTTCCTTCCTGGTAACTCCCGTGTCCACTTCAACCGTCCATGCGTACCACAGACCCAGCAACCTTAGCACTGATTGACTCAGCGCACGGCCTGACCTGGTCTACTAAATCGGAAGTTTCTCACGTCCCAGCATCTACACTGTGGCACCGCGCGAACGGACGGCCATCAAAGGAGGAGAAGGCAGCAAATCAGCAATACCTAACTACATCGGAAGAAGATGCTCTTGTGCATGATATTCTACGTATGTCAAAGAACGGCTATCCCCCGGCGGTCAAGTTCCTACCCATGTTAGCTGGGGTCCTGCGCCGGCGACGATCCCCCTCTGACGATTTTACGGCCGGCTGCCCTGTTACGCAGCCAAGTCCGAGTTGGGTCCGAGGTTTTCTCAAACGGCACCCAGAAATCTAGGCACGGCGATCTAAACCTATTGACTGGAAGCGGCACGACTACAATATTCGTAGCAAAGTTGAAGAATGGTTTTCTGTAATTGGATCTGAACTCCACCATGCCGCCATCGACCCCGCCAATGTGTATAACATGGATGAAACAGGGGTCATGCTAAGTGGCCCTAGCTCATTGAAAGTCCTTGTTGGCAAAGAATGTAGTGGGTCTAGAGGAGCAAGATTGAAGCGAGAAGTAGTCACTGCCATTGAATGTATCTCAGCCGATGGTCGGGCCCTCTACCCTGTGATCATCTGGCCTGCTACCACCCATCGCAGCACATGGACCACTCACCCGACACCAAACTGGCATTTTGCTTGCTCAAAATCTGGTTATACTGACAGTGCGATTAGTCTTTACTGGATCAAACATGTGTTTGACCCGCAAACTAGAGCTCAGGCTGGCAACAAGCCACGCCTCCTCATTAGTGATGGATTTGGTACTCATGAATCGATGGAAGTGTTGGAATTTTGCTTCCAGAATAATATCATTCCCTGCCGGCTGCCATCGCATATCGTGAATTGGCTGAATCATTGGATCGGGGAGGAGCTGGCAACATCGGAAAACAACACTTTACCTATCTCTATAGCCGTGCTCGCAATGAAGCCTTCACGCGTAGGAATATTCTCTCGGGGTGGTCGAAAAGCGGGCTTCATCCTTTCAACCCAGAAAAAGTTCTTGGAAATATCCAGAAACCACCCGAAGACATAGCAGAGCTCCAGTGTGATGCTGGGGTCAATGCTCCTCACCCTTCTTCTGATGAGCCTCCTGTCACGCCCGTCACGTTCGATGGGGTATGCCTTCTACGAAAAATCATTGAGGAGGATCTACGTAATCTAGATGTGCGTGGCAAGCTTTGCTTTCAAAAAATGCTCAACGCTACCGAAAAGGCATTTGCGGAGCGTTCCCTTCTTCTACAGCGAAACCAAGAATTATTCCAACAGAATAAGGAGAAGAAAATCCGGCAAGGTGTGAAATCGACGGTTGTTGGGAAGGCTAAGGTCATGAAGTACGAGGATATTGTTGAAGCAAAACGAAAGCGGGAGGAAAAGGAGTCCTCCCGGGTGTTGAAAAAAAGAAAAACACGGAGAAAAACCACAGAACCAAGGGAGAACATCCAAGCACATGCTCCTCGGCCAATGGAGGAGTTTTGCTCTGTTCTCCAATTTTGATCATATTAAGTCCCTCTACGATTCTAGGCCTAAAATTAGTGAGTTTTGTCTGTTTTATTCCTAGGCATATTTAATTTGAATTTGCATCCTTCATATTATAGGTCAATGTTAGCGCTGTTGAGTAATCCCTCTCTTAAAGTTATCGTTCAATCCCATCAGATTGTCCAATGTCGCTTATGAGACAAGAGCATAAAAGAGAGTCCTGGCTGGATGGGAAGCTTAGTCATTTACATAAAAAGTCACGTGGCTCATACCTGCCGACCGTACTCACTAGGCTGCAATAGATGTTTAGCTCCCAGCAACCGAAGTAACAAGAACGGACTGTGCACTTTTCCTACTCCTTTTTGGGGCTACATCCATTTATTGCGTCTGAAGACATGGTCGAGATGTTTATTCATCCATTGACAGCCGACCAAACACCTGCTATCCTTTTTCGCGCCGAGTGCAGTAGCAACTCAACCTTCAGAGAAGGCTACTTATGTGCACGGAGCACAACTCATGCGGACCCGCCGTCATGGCAAGACTTTGACGATCACCTCTCTTGGAAACGTCAAGACACGCGATTCATATCCTTCGGCACTTGGAGGCGGGCCATGCAGCGACGCAAACAACTAGAGAATGAAAACAAAATCGATATCATTGTGATTGCTGTGTGGGCAAAGGGTTTGGCAGGCGTGTACAGTGCAGAGGATGCTGCATCCAGGCTAGAATATTCTGATATAGGTCGAAACAAGTTATATCCCCACCATGACGAATACCTTCTTGAAGGCGGCCTTGCGGCTGATGAATATCGAATTGTTGCCGTCTTCGAGGGTGGAGGGCGTGAACGGGATGTCATCTTCGAATGCCCTTTTTATCGCATCAGATTGACGATCCCAAATGGATTCTTCCTCGAGCGGAGATCAAACAATGCACTGGGGGATATAGAAGATGAAATATACCGTCATTCTGGAGTTCGTGATGACCAGAAGCGAGATGAGCTTGTGAAAGCGATCGCTGGAATCACACAATTTTTTCCAGCTTTGCGATACGAGTACTCAGGCCACAGCGAAAACCCTTCCTACCATCAATTATAGTCTATGGCTATTCCAGGGTGCCGGTATGCTAAATCTACCACGGCTTGAATAGATTCGGCATGGTGACTGGAAATTACGTTATATAATATATCTGCACTTGTCTGTTGGGATCTCGATGTCCAAAATCGAAACATAATCCAAAATACGGGGGTAGGTATTTCTGGATTTGGAGGATCATTTATTTGTGGTCTGATAGAATGATCTGTGCTCTCAATACGAAAGGCGATTTCGGGTCCTACTGTAGCATTTCGGACAGGTTGGCCGGACGATCCCTTGTTATGATTGGTATTATTGCGAGGCGTTCGTTACTGCATTCCATTTCCAAAGGCTCATGGTCCCATGCAAACTGAAAAAACTAGCGACCGCATTTCAATGACAAGCAATCTCTCATATTTCTTCAAGTCCACAAAATGTCTCGCAATCGAGACTGATGTCAATTCAGTGTATTCCCAGATTTTCAATTCTTTCGCAAATAGGCCTATTGTTGCTGGACTCTCTCTCCAATTTCAGGGAGAAGCGGGAAAATGCGTTTTTCTGCGCTTGAATATCGAATTCAAATGAGTTGCAGCTATCTTTTTCCCTCCAAAATGAAGTGTTTAGGTCTTTCAAAAAACTGACGAAACATTTTTGAAGGCGACGAGCGAAATGATCAGAAATATCGGCAGTGATTTCCTTGAGGTACCGATGTTGAAAATGAGCGCGATTTTCATCCTCTTCGCTGATTATCTCGGGCTTTTTGGGCGCACAAGCTTCCTCGCACCAGGTGTGAAAGCTATCCAAGAGTATGCCAGCATACTCTTCGGTATCGTAGGCATCTCCAAACCTTTCAAGAAATAGAAAGGCGTCAGCGCAATGCCAGGATAGATTGCTCTTTATCAACCGCGTTTCAATTCGGTGGTTGCTGATGTTGGCTCGGAAGAACTGTGTTGCATGAAAGGCCGTGTTTAAAGCACTGATAATGCTTTTCCATCGACGCATATTTATATCACGTCGACTGATTTGTTTTTCTGCTTGCAGCTTCTGGTCTCCTAATTAAGGTTATTATAGATGTCACGCCACTTTAGATAACTGAAATGCCGCTTACTGGAGATTTTTTGCGCAGTTGTACGACAAAGCGATCGTAAAACCTCCATCCACGGATCCTCTTGCCATTCTCCTGTCCAATTATAAAAGGCATGAGTGAACTCGAGAAGAAGAAGGCGGCGGAAGCAACTATAGGTGGCGTTGTAATTTACCGCATAACTAGGATGAAATGCGTTAGTCCTCTGAACACTGCAATCAGCGCTTATCGAGAAGACATGTGGGTCAAAAACCTGGCCCACTCCCATGCTGCGAAAATTGTTGACGAAAGAATTAGACGAATTGCCTTGATAGCAGCATAGGATGACATCGGGCTTCTTGGCTTTAACCATGCGACTGAAAGTGGCTTCGGCCTTTCTGACAAGTTCTTTATCGTCGGATCCTTCAGGCGAATAGGGCAACGTGTCAAAAACGCTAACATCATCGATGGTGAGTTGGCCATTTGTTGCTGTGCTTATCAAATCATCCACTGCCTGCGTTGTAGTTAACGTGATTCATATCGAAGCTGCGCACATACCGAAGCTGCGCACCCCACCCAAAAACATCAACCACCCACTATGCCACCAATTCGTACTCAATCCTCTCAAAAACGTACGGAGCAAGAGGGTAGGCTCTCATTAGCAATCGAAGCGATTCAGAAGCAAGATTTTACCTCTATACGTGGAGCAGCGCGCTGTTTTGACGTACCCGAATCGACCCTCCGTACGCGTCTCAATGGGGCTCAAAACCACGCAATTGCACGCGTTAAAAAGCTCAAATTGACTGATATTGAGGAGGAATCTCTTGAAAAATGGATTATATCTATGGATTCTCGCGGAGCAGCCCCCCGACCGGCGACTGTACGAGAAATGGCAGATTTACTACTTGCGGCGCGTGGATCTATACCCCCTCTTACGGTCGGCAAATGTTGGGTTACAAACTTTATTAAAAGGCATCCTTTATTATCCTCCCGTTTCTCAAGACGCTACGATTATCAGCGAGCTAAATGCGAAGACCCGAAGGTTCTTTCTGAGTGGTTTTCTCTCGTTCAAAAGACAATCTTGATGTACGGTATCGACTCCGACGATATCTATAACTTTGACGAGACTGGCTTTGCGATGGGCATAATCGCGACTACGAAGGTTGTAACGAGAAAGGAATTCTACGGTCGGCGATCACTTTTACAACCTGGAAATCGCGGGTGGGTGACTGCAATTGAGTGTATAAGTTCGACGGGGTGGGCGCTTCCTCCGTGTATAATCTTTAAGGGCAAAGTCTTTATTGAATCTTGGTTCGATAACCTCCCGAACGATTGGAGACTCGAGGTTAGTCCTAACGGATGGACCTCTGATGAAATTGGCCTTCGATGGCTCGAGAAGCTCTTTATTCCGTCTACTTCTTCTTATACGAAGGGGAAGTATAGACTCTTGATACTTGACGGCCACGGTAGTCACTTGACTCCGAAATTCGACGAGCTTTGCGAGAAGAACAATATTATCGCAATTTGTATGCCTCCGCATTCATCTCACCTTTTACAGCCCCTTGATATTGGCTGTTTTGCCGTATTAAAGGCCGCCTACGGTCGACTTATTGATTCGAAAATGCGGCTTAAAATCAACCATATCGAGAAACTAGACTTCCTCGATGCCTACCCTTCCGCGCGAATTGAGGCGTTTAAACCGGAGACTATTAAGAATAGCTTTTCGGCCGCTGGTTTATTACCTTTTAACCCCGATCGGGTTCTCTCGAAGGTCAATATTCTTACGCGTACGCCGACCCCCCCCTCGAGCCGAGGGAGCGAGTGGGAGCCAAAAACGCCCTCAAATTATATCCAGTTACAAAAACAAGCTTCCTCGATAAAAGCCTTGTTAAAACAGCGCTCAAAAAGCCCTCCGAGTCCGCTAAATTCAGCGATTGATCAGGTTTTAAAAGCTTGTCAAATCACTATGCATTCAGCAGCTATTCTCGAGAAAGAAGTAAGCGATTTACGCGCTGAAAACGAGAAGAAGAAGCGAAAAAAGGCTAGATCTACAAGGCAGATAGTTTCTCAAGAAGGCCTTTCAGTTCAAGATGCCTCTGCCTTGCTATTAGAGCGAGAGCAGGCTGTTTTAGCGCCTATATCCAGTGAGGCAAATCAGGGTTTAGCACCTTTACAGCCACGTACGCGGGCGTTACTGAGATGCTCAGAATGTGGAATTCAAGGTCATAATAGAAGGTCCTGTCCTACTAGATCTCGCAGTTAGTTTAGTCAAATTTGATGGCGTTTTGGTTGAGAAAAATCCATTTTAAATGACTAAGTTGGGTGTGGTGCGCAGCTTCGGTATGTGCGCAGCTTCGATATGAATCACGTTAAGGTTTACCGTTCAATGGTCAAAGAGTAGAATGTAATTACACGTCTAAAGCTTTTCCTGTAGCCCCTCATCTTAATGTGGCTTGTTCAATAATTTATCCGTGATAAAACCTTGGCCGTGGGAGTAGAATAGAGTCAATTAATGTGTATTGGTCAGGCCGATTTTGAGAATTTACTATAAGGCTGGGACACCAGTAGAGTATTTGTTACTAAGCAGACTTGGCTCCATCATAATAAATTAAATAGAAGACTACTGCACCAGAAAAGACAGATTATCTACGCATTTTCATTGATGACAAGCGTACCGAGGTATATGACTGGGGCATGTAAATGAGGGAGAGTGGTTAATTGGGATATAATAATCAATAGGGAGTGGTTAATTTGGAGAGTAGTGAATTGGAAGAAGGAGCTCAGTGACGTCTTAGTTGGAACAGGCATAGGTCTAGTCCTTAATGTCTGTAAGCTTGTCTACAACACGTTCAGGCCCATTTCATCGCTGGTCGCGTTTCGGGTCGCGTTTCGGGTATCGAACTTACGTTGGAACACATGCCAGCACAAGTGATACAATCGGAGCTTCCGCCTTGATCGAAAATGACACGTCGAATCGGGATGAGACCACGATCAGACTACCGGAAAGCCCTGGTGCAAATGACGCTCAGTGTGAGCCCCTGAGTGAGCCTCTCTGTCCACTAGTTGTCCCAAACTCAGGCCTGCTCTGTTCCACAACTTCTACGAACTCTAGGTAGTGATCTTTTTAACCATTATAAGGAAGCTACCCAATAAGTGGGCATCCATGTCATATTTGCAATAGTTTGTGATCCAAAACCCCTAGATATAAAGTTTTGTGGACTCAGGCTCCTTGCGAAACCAGAGGTTGCTGGCGTCTATGATACAAACGTAGTCCTTTCAATGCACAGCATATCTCAGCATCATCAGAATAGCTTGGAAGGCTATAGGCATCATAATCAAGCCACATTCGCTTTGTTCTCGGAGATTCAGCATCTGCCAATGGTTTTCTGGGGAGTACCCTGGTTAGACAGATTCAAGGATCGATGATAAAAGCGAACTTACTCATTGCTGTTGAACACATCAAAGCCGGTGGAAATAATGAGCATAGGGCGAGCAAGATCGGCGATAATCTGCTTGACTGGGACGGCAGCAAAGGGTGATATTATGATTGATTCCTCGTCAATTTCCACGAATCCCCCTGCGCCGTGGGTTCCAACAATTTTAAATTCCTTCTTGGTCAGAATCTCTTCTGCGACCTCTGTATACTCAGGGTCCTGAGCAAGTAAGGGCACTGTGTCATTGCCACGACAAATTTGAGCGATAGTGAGAGCCATTGAATGCTGGATCATGCAGCCCATCACATTTTTCACCTCCGAGTTCTCATCCCAAGAGTCGTGTTGCTTTTTTAACCATTCAGGCGCGGAGCGGCAAAAATCACCGAGCCCGAAGCAGATAACTTTCTTCACAGTGTTTGAACCGAGTAAATCTTGGACCAGGGCTGCTAAGTGCATGCAAGTCTTGCTATTCCGCCACAACAAGTCTTTCTCGTCAAAGACTTGCATAGGCTGTGCGATAAGCTCTCGAAAGTTCCGTGCGGTCTGATTGCTCCAATCCACCATGTAAGAGCACAGGTAGGTTTCAATTGGACCGCTGGGTTGTGCTTTCACAAGTTGCCAATATTCTTGGTACTTGACATGGGGTTTCCTTAAGACAAAATTAGATTGCAGGCTGAAATTGGGACAGAATACTATAACCACGTACCAGATAGGATTCTGTATTTGAAACATAGGATTGGAAATTTGGATTATGCTTCCATCGATTCGACGGACTGAAAATCGCTCCATCGAATAGGATTGGCCCAATTGTTGTTCAATGTCTTTCAGATCGTCTCTTGTCCAAAGCTGGGTACCGGAACTGTACAGATCTGCGGCTCTTTGGCTACTGATGCGCCAATCCGAGCATCCATAGTTGAGGGGTCCTATAGTCTGTGGCATGGTCTCGTACTTGCTAGTCGAGCGAAAATGAGAAAAAACCCCAAGATTGTTTGGAAAGGGGAGGGATTCACTCGTGTACAAGGATCAGAAAAGAAAAGGCTAGAACTGAGCTGTTGACTGCTTTTAAGTATGGGTACCAGTGTCGAGTAGAGTGACAATGTTTGCTTTGAGGGATCAAGAAAATTTCCACCTTGGAAGCTGTGCTGCTGAATACTTGACTAATTACTTATGTTAACTTAAAGTTTAGCACTAGGTAGGTAAGGGGGTCCAGAGAATGACCCAGGCAAAAGGAAAAATAAAATTCGATCGCCGCTTCACGGCGGTCCACCACTCTTCCCTGGGTTACTACCATACACACACACACACAATTCATTAACGTCCGGCGGCTGTGTTGAATATCACGGTGGTCAAAGCTTGTGTGGCGAGACTAGCGATGTACATTTAAGTAGATGGGTTTCCCACTTTTGATAGTAACGTCAACAAGAACACTACAACTATCTATCTCAACAGCGCTTTTAAAAAAATTCATATATTCATATTCGCAGTCCGCGAATATGAATATGTTGTATATTCGCATTCCTTTATTCCTTTCGGAACCCTACTTTTACGTGGTTTGCCCAGACTGCAGCCCCAAGTCATACAGAGATATGGTGCGCTCCTGTTCAGAATAGCTGATGCTATGTTGTAATTTATTCCATTTACTATGGTATTTTGGGTGCCCAGCTCGGCTAGGTGTCCAGCTCGTATGGGAATTACGTTACCCTCTGCCAAGCTTTAAAGCCTTATGGGCCACCATAAACCGGGCGATCTTAATGATCTTAGATAAAATCGGTGGGTAGCTCTCCGCAGTACGCCAGCCAGCCTCACCCCGTCCGAGCACGGCTATGGCGCAAATCAGCGCGCTCTCGTAGTCTTCGACCTTGATTCGGTGGTTCCAAATCTCAATGCAAAAGTCGGGACACGTGGCATCAATGGGAGCTGGCTGGAACGGGGATCCGTTACGGACCCGACTCGCTCTCGACTCGCTGGTTCTTCGCGGCTGATCACTCTCGTCGGAACACACGCTGCCGTCCGAACGGACACTGTCGGAACCGGCCCTATCGGGGCTGGGCGATGGACTTAATCTAAGTTAGCCCAGTCGCCACAGCGAGTTCTAAGCCGCCTGCTGGCGTTGGGAAAACCGATATCGTAGACTGGCCAATTCGTGCGGGGCCTGCGTCCGAATGAAATCATCAGGATCTGCTGCCACGGGAGCGTATGTCTCTCGATGTTTAGAAGTCCATGTAAGCTTGCAGCGGCTGATGCGGTAGTCAATCCCGCTCCATACGGACCGCTCCGGTTCGAAATACAACTCAACCGGTTAATTCGAGCCACCGTAGCCGTCGATTTCCAGATGGCGCATGCAGCCTGCTCAGTGGCCTTGAGCGACTCGGCGTCAGGTGTTTGGACGTTGTTAACAATGTCTTGCGGATTGATCCTCTGAAGATACACGGCCCACTGGGTCCGTCGAAGCCATGGATGTGTCTCGTCCCGCTGGCCAGTGTCGATTGGCTGGGGCTGTTCTCGGCTTTCCCGATATGCTTGTTCGATCTGATCTAATAGCCGATCACTGGGTACGGTCGGGGCAATCGGTTCGGGCTCGGGAACTGCCTATGCTCCGACCGTACGGACGCGAATGTAATGGGACCCGGGCCCCTGGGTAAATATGTGTTGACACTGTACTACTTGCGTAAATTACTGAACTTGCTGCTCAGCGGCCGACTGACCTGGCTGCTTCCTCCCGCCACCACGGTTAGTCGAGGCCAATACGAAAATGACACCGGAATTCAGCTGCCACGTCGTGTTGGGACAGCTTAGGCGCATCAACCCATGTATCTCACAATTTAAGGGAGATGTTGGTTGCTTGTATACTATTGGCGCGGCTAAAGTTGCCACGTCACTGGCTCACACGACGAGTGGTGGTTGCAGGGTTTAACTATGGCGAGGCATCGTATTCACGGGAGGCGATTTGTCGTGCATTCCCACTTAGAACATTGCCCCAAAAAATTGAGACTTGAGACTCAACGTAATTCGCCCTTTGGAGGAATTATGGATACAAGGAGGGGGCCCGCAGAGAGCGGGAGCGGCCGCCAACGATAGGAGGAAAAGGTGTAAGCCTACCTGAATGGGTTAGCGTCTGGTAAAGACACTGTAAATACGACGAAGTCAGGTGGGTTATCACACACCGCCTTCCTAAAGGCGTATAAAACGCTAGCAGTCTTGGCAAGGATGTAAGACTGCGAGAAAAATACTCAAAGCAGTAATTCTTGGCACGAAGTGGCATTCGCGACACGTGATGTTATCGATAAGATAAAAGGAGGGGTGATCCCCTCGAGCTATACAACAATTTTGAAATCAAAATGTTTAACCGATTTAGAATTGAACCGGTCAGAGTTTCCACTAAGTCCAGTGTATCTGGCTCCTCTTCCTCTGGGGGAAGAAGTTCGCCGGCAACGGTTGAACCCGAACCCCGCCTCCACCATCGTTGGGTATTTCTTACATATTTCCAATGTTCCCTTGAATCGAAAGATGATTTCGAAGAAGGCTTTAGCGATATGCTACAGCGCAATGAACTTACGGCATCAACGTATTACGGATGTCGAGAACACCATGCAACCGAAGGTATCCATTACCATGTCTTGGTAAATCTTGGCAAACAGCCCAACTGGAGTTTCAAGACTGCGCGGTCGAACTTTATCGTGCTGAACAACGAGTGTGACTCGTTGCACATTGTATCTACACCCCGAGCGGAGCAGAATATTTCTCGATACATTGATGACCACGTCAAGTATTGCGAAAAGGAGAAAGGAGGCGACTGTTTTGGCCAACGGCCAATCGCTTCTGTCGAGAAACAAGAGCTGAAGCGGATATGGGAGGAAATAGGGTCCCAGCCGGATGCACCAGCAAATATTGCGAAGCTCAAGAAACATTTCCCTGGGGTTATTCAAGCTTTACAATTGCTCCGTGACTGAACAACTGATGACCTGGGTGTCGGATGATTGTATCCGCCCGTCCTTTTGGCCTGGCCACTTTGGACGTTCTAAATCATCTCCGTTCTTTTTTTAACATATAAAAAAAATATCAGCTTGGCTGGAGTTCTAACCCCCCTTTCTTGGGATCGGGCTTCGGCCCTCCATATCCTTGATATCGTTTCATACACTTCCCACATAAGGTTGTCCATCGTCGAAAGTACCAAATTGAACTGAATGAGCTCTCGCGTTTACTGCGCCGCTTGATATTCGCTACAGCGAAGTAACGATGCAACAACCGAATTATCAATGCCTTCAGTAGGTTGTGTGGTACACTTTTTCCAACTTCTTTTTCCAAAGACAGCTACCAGAAGTCGCTAGGTGCCAAAATGACATCTTCTTCCGTGCCCCCTATTAGACTTCCGCAGAACCCAGTACTGGGTCGAATCCTTCAAACCAGAACCCAACCCAGCACTGGGTTGGGTCGAAACCTCATAACCCGGACCCAACCCGGACCCAGTACTGGGGCCCCAGTAAACCCAACAATAACCCAGTTGGACCCAACTTTGGCATAAATCCTGGCATAAACCTGCTTAGTTATCTAAATAGAATACCGTTTTTTTTCATGTTTTGCTTCATACCCAAGAATTCTACTCTTCTCACCAAGAAGCCGCTTGAAATCTTAAGAAATCTCTATAAAGTATGTATTTTCTTATAGATGTTAAGAGTACAAAAGATGTAATCATTTCTTCATTTGTGGATAATATTAATTGATCAAATGATCAAGTAGGTTCTCTTATTTATCTTTACATCGTGGAATTGACATTTAAACCATACTGTGTGTCGAAATGCCTAGTCTTAGCCCTTTGGAGTCCCTATGGGATGAAATATTTTGAAGGATCTACATGAAACTGGGGTGGGAATTGGGTATTTGCTGGGTTTTGACTGGGTTATCGCTGGGTTACTGGGTTTTGACTGGGTTATTGCTGGGTTACTAGGTCAGACCCATATATCATGAGCTTAATAGGCCAATCGGAGGAGTATAGTCATCTAGCCGGGTATAGTTCGTTTGATCTATCAACTACTGAATTCACTAACAACCTTTCTAATATGTTCATGATCTCTGATTCCTCCCTTACTTGATCATTTAACTTGATGCTAATCTATCATTATGTCTCAAAGCCAGTTTTCAGACTTCGCATCGTCATTTTATGGGGAATTTAGTGATTCACAAGTGCTTACTCCCCCCGCAAGTACACAGACCCAAGAACCCTGGGAATCTCGTATCCTCCGATCGGGTGATCTGACTCCTACGCCGGTCCCTTCTTCCCTTACGCGCGTTGGCTCCGACCGTAGGAAGACATTTCTTCTTTACGACAAGATGGTTCATTCGGAATGGGTAGACTGGTGGCTAGGAACTGAATATGGCTCGAAAAGCAAGATTAATTGGGACTCAAGACGCCATACAGAGGTCTGGGATGGTTACCACCAGGTCGCTCAAATCATCGATGGGGCACCAAAGGTTATGTGCAAACGTTGTGGCAAGATCTTGGAGCATCCTTATTCTACCAGCCCAGGTAGTATAGGGAGCAGAGTGCAGTACCATGGCACATCAACGATCATGAAGCATCTTAGGACAGCTGGATGTAGACGCTCGGATAACAAGAGGAATTCGGAGATCACAAAGTTTCTACAGACTGAGGTAAAGTACAGCCCCTAGCTCTATAAGTCTATAGTTTTACTGATTAATAGCGATTCGACTTCCTAGGCAGAAAGTTCAGCTACGCCCTTCTCATGCCAAGAATGGGAAGAAGATATTCTTCAGTTCCTTACGCTTAACCGCCTGCCATTCAATCTAGTCGAATATACATCATTCAAACGTCTATTCCACAAAGCTCGCTCTGCCCCAGCCATTTTGCCATTCCCTTCCGCCGATACTATACGTCGCCGACTCGGGAGCATAGTCAAAGATCGACAGCAGCGTATCCTTCGCACGCTACCCCCTCGCTCTAAGATATCCATTGCGCTTGACTGCTGGACGTCTCCTTTCTCGCAGGCATTCATAGCTATCACCGGCTATTTTATTGACGCCGATTGGGTTTATCGCGAGGTGCTTCTTGGGTTCAAACCGGTTTCTGGTTCACATACCGGTGATAACCTTAGTGGTGTTCTTTTAGAAACCCTCGTGGAGCATGAAATTACGGATAGGGTCTTTGGATTAACAACGGATAATGCGTCGAATAACAAGACGTTGGCTACTGCTCTTCAGCAAGCGTTACCAGATAGAGTTTTCATTACCCGAATCCCATGCCTTGCCCACGTTATTCAGCTCAGTCTGAACCAGCTTCTTTCTCGGATCAAGGCAGGTCCCACAAATGACTCGACTGAGACAAAGTGGACAGAGAAGCAGTCAAACCTCGCCCGGCAAAATGCGAAGCAACAGTCTGATTCATATCAGATCTCTTCCACATTAAACAAGATCCGCTTTCTTGCAGTTTATATTAATGCGAGTCCTCAGCGCCGAGAGACATTCTGTGGACTTCAGATAACCGATATCAAGATTGTTCCAATCCAAGATGTAAGGACTCGGTGGAATTCGACATACTTGATGCTTCGCCGGGCAAAGCGACTACGCAGCATTTTTACTCTGTTCTGTACGGAGTATGACTGTGAGGAGATGCTTCCTAGTGAACAGGAATGGCGCCAGATCGACTATTTGCTGTCTATTACCGAGCCGTTCTTTGATTATACAACACAGCTTTCAAAGACTCGAGACATCACAGCCCACTACGTGTTTATGATTTATAATAAATTGTTTGCTCATCTTGAACAATCAATGAAGCAGCTCCGACGAAAGCGGGTTGTATGGAAGAAACAGATGCTTGATGCACTTGAAGCTGGGCGGATAAAGCTTGATGAGTATTACTCTCAAACTGATAGTATCCGAGGGCATATTTATGCGATTAGCACTATGCTTGCACCGGTAAACAAGTTCCAATTCTTTCATACCGCCGACTGGGATCAGCATTGGCGAGATATTTATCGATCTTCATTCCGCGAAGCCCTAGCTCCATATCAAGCGATGCTTGCAAGTGATATCCAGGCTTCAGGAACGTCTATAGCTATAGCTGAACCATCCTCGGTGCTTGATTCAATGCTTACCGGGCCTGGACCTGGCGGACATCCAGCACGGCTTCCAGTTTCTGATGAAATAAGCCAATACCTTGATAGCGGTAAGTGAACCTAATGATTGAAGCCCTTTAGTAACCTAATACTAATTGAATAGATCCTATTTCTATAAATCCCCTCACTTTCTGGAAAGAACACCAATCTCGCTTCCCAGCTATCGCTGCACTTGCACGAGATGCCCTTTCGTTCCCAGCAACTGGCGCAGGGGTTGAACGTCTATTCAATACCGCTCGGGATATCTGCCACTACCGTCGTGGTAGAATAAAGTCGAAGACTATTGAAGATTTGATGATGTTCCTTTGTACGTCTAGATTTGATATGGAGGAGCAAGAGGCGAAGCTTCTTAAGGAATTCTTTACGTGGGACGAGATCGAGGCGGCGAAAGAAGAGAAGGATGGGAAGATTGATCTGATTGAAGTTGATCTGATAAGTGATACAGAGGAACAGGAAGATGAGATAGATCATCAGGATAAGAACCAGGATCTTATAGAGCTAGATGAGACGTCTGTGAGTGCCGGTGAACATAATGCTGGGCCTGATCCATCATTGCCACCAAACCAGACGCAGATTCGGGCCTCAGGACGGAAACGGAAAAGCAGGGAGGATGATGTGTTCGAATACCATTAGCAATGAGCATAGATATAAATCTAATCTGATGATCAGGCAGTCGAATTTAATCTACTGAATCCTGGATTCACCGTGCTGAACGTAAGTCAAATACTCAAATTTAAAGCCGATGGGTCCGGGTTGGGTCCGGGTCTAGTTGGGTTTTGCGGAAGTCTAATCCAGACATCAGCTTACAATACTAATGTAACGTTATAGATGACTTGTCTACATGCTACAGCATTTGACTGTCCTAATACTAGGAAGAATAAACGCGACTATGCGGCAGTTAATAAGTGTGGCCTCCTTACAGAGGATATACCACTTCCGTGTCCCCGGAAGAAGACGGCGGTCTGATCCGCCCTGAAGTCGCCGGCGCCTCCGATTTCAACCCCTCCTACGGCTCTCAGCAATGTGTCTATGAGTTTATCGAATCTCGATACGAAGATACATCCATCGCAGTCAATATCTCAGGTCGAATGCGTGGTAAAGAGGATCGAAATAAAAGAGAAAGATGAGACTAGGTCGAAAGAGCGGAGCTGGCTTTGGAAACACTACCTTAGTACACCTGAAGCTGGTACCTGGAGATTAGGAAATAAGGAGCGGTCCGAGATTAAGCACCTGTGTATTGTGTCGCCATCCACCTGCCGATTCTTTCGATTGGCATCGAAACTGCGATCCTCAACCACAGCGTTGAAACAGCACCTGCAGCAAACCCACAAGCTCTTCCAGGACGGCCATTCAGGGTGCCAAGGTCCGTTGAGCTCTTGGATCTCTAAAGAAAAGAAGCTCCCATTCGAAGAAGCTGCTCTGAATTGGATTGTATCAACCTGCCAGCCGTTTACATGCGTCGAACAGCCTTCGTTCAAGGCTATGCTGAGTTCTGCAGGCTTTCAGGACTCCGTACCAAGTGCGGACACCGTGTCGCGGCGATTGTGTCTTCGGCTTGATGCTCTTGACAGTGAGCTCCGAATCCTAATGTCTTCAGCATCTTCAATTGCGCTGTCTTTGGATGGCTGGACAAGCCAGAATTCATTGTCGATGGTCGCGATTAAAGCTCACTGGATGTCTTCTGCCTTCCAGCAATATCGAGCTTGTATTGAGTTTGTTGAAATTGAAGGTAGCCATTCTGGAGAGAGCCTTGCTATATCGTTGTGACCGCTCTCGAGAGGTTTCATATATCTGATAAGGTTATGACAATCACAGCTGACAACGCATCGAATAACGATACCTTACACCGGTATCTTTACCAAAAACTGTCTCAGCGGTACGATGAATACCTGACCGAGACTATCATCCGAGAAGGGACGATGAGATTTACCCAGAACTCCCGAATCCGCTGCTTTGCTCACATCTTGAACTTGGTGATGAAAAGTATATTCAGATCTCTACGCGCTAGCACGCATAAGGAAGCCTGTGATCTCCTTGATGATGTTGCTAAGAGGAGCTGGAAGACAGTCAGCACTCCTACTTCACCCATTGCAAAGCTTCGACTCCTGGTCCTTTGGATTGCACGATCTCCTCAGCGCATACAGAAGTGGGACAATCGACCGGGCTGTATAACAGGACTTCGTAAAGGAAGATCCACATTTGCAGGATCCAGACCTTCCGTCTAGCAGATTATTGGCTATTTCTAGCGGGCAATTCATAACTTGGACTAGAGCCACTCCGGGGTCACAGGGAATTGAGCTTGCGTAGGAAGTCAATAAGGAGGCTCCCGATCGATGTTTTTTTTTTGGCAAATTGGACCTACAAGGAGACTCTTTCTTATAAAGTGACACAGTCTGCAGGTTCCAGCCTCCGAAAGATGTCTTCTGTCTTGGTCCCCTCTGTGCAGACTGATTTTAGAATGAGAGAAATTTCGATGCGACTGTACCTCGGGTGAGAAGTGGCAGGACCATGAGAATAGTATTGTAGGGTAGGTTCGATTTTTTTGCAATTATGGTCTTAAGCAATGACGTTGGCTTCCCAAGGGACACTGTCTACTGCATCACAATATTTAATTAAGCCAATCAATGTTAATTTTGAGCCACACTTCATCGCATGCTTCTACGCCTGGTAAGTTTGGTCTTGAGCGCATAGTCAAGGTCTTGGGTAATGAAAGTGCCGATGTTTGTCTTGGTTCCGTCTATATATCGGGATTCTAGATACATGGACTATACATGGATCTGTCAGCAGGCTATGCTACATAGTAGGGTCATATTCATGTTGACTTACTTGGTTTCGCCTTTGAGCCGGGCTTCCTCAGAGAGATATTACCAGAGGAGCTAAAGTCCGGTACCTTCCATGCTGTTAGCTGGCAAGCCTTGTTATACAATCCCAAATCTTCGATCAGGAAATGTTGCACTCAACCGTAGTGTTTTTCTGCGGGCCAAAAGGCTCAGGGTGGATTGCAAGGCCGTATATCTAGCATCAAGGTTAGGATATCTAGGATAGCACATGAAGTAGGAATAATTACCAAGGTGGTTGCCAGTGCTAAGGTTATCCAAATTGCTGTTTTGGAGATCATGGTTTTCTGAATATCAGTGCCCAATCAGATTTGCTATGGTGACAAGAACTATCATTTCTAAGAGCTACAGAAATCCCCAAAAAGTTGATAAAAGAAACCATTCAATATTTAAAAGCAGTATCTGATCATATTTCATCTTTCGACGAAATCTAGGGAGAGGACCACCGTGCACCTCGCCACCCAGCTGCTGCAGAGCAGATACGAAGATCTTGTCGCGAGGGAGAACATTCAAGCAAATGCTTTGTTCGATTTTCATTTTGCACAGACACTGCCAGAGGGTAAGTGCCAGAAGTGTGCTGCTGCGGATGAAGAGCGACTGTATGATTAATAAACCGCTCGTTCTTCTTAAATCTGATTTTTGGCCATTTTGAATACCAGAGCTAGCCATTCTATTGGACTGGATATGTTATTTAGGCTTGATAGTTGGGAATCTTTTCAGCGACATATCGATAGGTCTGTAAAATATCAATATTCAGGCATGATAATGGGTTAAACAATTCAATGTGGATGACTTATGTCTCTCAGTTCATGTAGAGTGATCCAAGCACCAACTTAGTGCCTCATCATGGCCTGCCATGGCCTAATTACCGTTCCCGTTGTTAGATTGCCCTCCTGGCGCGCAATTTTGGGACTGCTGTGACGCCTTAGCGAAGTCAAGCATGGTCTAGACCGTCCGAGCTCGTGAGACGGTGTCTGGTTTACCCTTTACACCTTGTTTTGAGCCTCCCAGCAGACTCGACATGCTATTGAACGAGTCTCCCACTTACTTCATTACTTAGCTCCGCAAATCCACCAGCCTTTGACAGTCCACAAACACTTGACTGACTGTTTGTTACGCGCCGTAGTCGCAGTGGTCGTCGTCGCCATATCCAATTTTCTTGGCGGTAGGTGGACAGCCAACTGCGGCCTGTGCGCAGCTGCGTCAGCAGAAATATTGGCAGCGGGCAATCCGGTTCTACTGCCAAGTCACCATGTACACGGAAAATAATTATTCCGATCTGGACGTTTCGCCTACGACATCGCAGATTTTCCTACTCTTCTCTGAGACTTGGGTTGAGGTACTATATGCTCAAGTTCGTGTCGTGAAACTATGACTACCCCTTTTAACGAAATGACTGACGGTAAAACCCGTCAAACCATTGATAATATTGTCAATAACTTTGTCTCTTCACGTCATGAGAAAAGTCTGAATCCTCTCAGACTTGCCAGTGTGTCCGTTTCCGAATTTTTGACCGAACTGGCGAACCATCTGTCCACAATAAATGAGGGTGGCAGTATTGCTCTTGGCCGTGGAGAAAATTTGGCCAGCATTAGTTTGAGCAAGAGTCTAGAGAACCTTTTCTCAACCTCAATACCACGCGTGAGGGAAGGGCCGCCATTGACTTGGACGAGGATTGTTCTTTTTGCAGGTCCTAAGTTTGAGGGCCCAACACCGCTTCAGGTTGAAACTTCTAGCGTCGAGTTGTCCGAAGATGACCTCAAGCTCTTGCGCTCTGGTAGGCCTTGGCGTTTTCTTTCCCCTTGGCCAGATAGAAGCGATTGCACGAAGGAGCTCCAATCAAGCGAGACAGCACTAAAAGAACTTGTCAATACTCGGCAAACGATAAGCGAAGGTGAGTGTCTTGAAAATGTTGTTATATTATATAGAAAGCTAAACTCAATAGTGTTGGAACAAATCTCGTATGTTGAGCAACGTCTCCGGAATCATCGCGATTTAGTGTCTCGGCTCTGTGAAAGCGGGGATGACGCCACCCACCGAGGAGGGGATTCAACGTTCGATGGTGCTCAGCCCTTTGTTCCAATTCAAGGAACTCTTGGTCCAGAACACAGGTCACAAGATGGAAATCCAAATTCCCAAGATCCACCAACAATCCCTATGCCTATATGTTCTGCTGGCGAAGCCGAATCGGCTGAGCTTGTTAATGAATATCCGAATAATCAGACCATGTCAGCCATTGTGGAGATTACTACTCAACGCGATGATCCATGGCCTGCAAACAACGCAAGGCCAGGATTCAGACTACACACAGCTGACTTCATTCAAATTTTGAGCGAGTAAGTGAATTTGAGACACCGATTTGCTTATTTTATGAACTAATATGTCGAAGTATCCTTGATGATTCAAACAATTGGGAAGGAATGCACTGGTCAGAAGATGGTAAATCTATCTTGATCGCCCAAGAGAGCAAATTTCCTGCACACATACTAGCAAAACTGTCCACAAAAAGCTACCAATCTCTTATTCGGCGGCTCTACTACTATGGCTTTCACAAAACTGAAGGAGTCTACCACCACAATTCCTTTATTCGTGGTCAGCCCAGCTCTATTCGCCCGACTCGAGAGATGAGTCAAAGCCCTTCACTTCCTTCGCCTTTACACAAAAGCGCTTCTCAATGTGGGCCTCGGTATAAAGTGATCAAAAAAAAGCGGACATGAGAAAGTGCTTAAAAATTACCCAGTGGTGAGGTGGGCCATGCCAGCAGCTATTTCCCCATTTTGGATCAAGGCTTAAGCTCTCATGCCGCTCGGTAATATCTCACTGGTTTCACCCTTGATGAACATGACAGCAAGAGCCTGGCTTTACCCATCCGTACGCGCACCATATTACCGCTCCTACTGTATTAGTCTCTTCTGAAGTGGCACCCATTTCACACTTTTTGTCCGTGCACCCCATTGTAAAGAGTCCGGTCGACTGCAACGACCTGTCCCGCCATTACAGTCGATATCTATGCCCGTGTGCTTCCCAACCATGTATTTCTTCCATCCTATGTAATCATTACTATAGATCGTACCATGCTTTCTCCATACTTGAACATCAAAAAACATATCTCGTCTGCTATTGTTGAGACCTAATTTTTCATCAGAATCGGCAGCAATGCACAGTCATCTATGACGATTGGGTTGACGATTGGAGGTATGAGATAAAGCAAATTGCCTTCCCTGATCCGACATACGCGTGGTGTCGCGCTACCAAGAATTGGTACACAAAAAGAGGACCCTGGACTTCCTGCACTCTCTCCCCTCCTGGTCATCCTTTGTCATTTTCTCCTCCCTGTTTGTAATATTCAAATTTTGATCTGTTCTACCGTCATTCAATGTCACATCTAGCGCCCGTACCTTTTCGGTTTCCACGCGGGAATGGCCTTCACTCCCGCTGTGTCTGGATTGGGGGGAGCATGTTGCAATATGCAATCTGTGTTAGTATGCGAGTTCAACCGAAGGTGTACAAGCAAGCACTCATTTTCGAAAGAAGCATCAGATCTCGAAAAGTCATCGAGGTGGCGTTGACCAATACCTCCGCCGGCACGACTTTATCAATGGGGGTTTAGCCAAACCACGGCCAAACGGGTAACCTTCTCATCCTGCTCTTCAGGTTCATGCCGGATTTCAGTGTTTACACTGTCCGTATATCACCACAAGCATACATCTCATAAGCAGGCACGTACGGGATACTCACACTGCGGATGCATCCTCAGTTCGTCTAGATCTCGCTATGCTGTGCAAGCCAGTATCCGCAGTCCTGGACTCAGTCAACAGCAACCCAATCATTTTGGACTATTATGAATGTCTCGAGCGACTGGAACAAAGACTAGGCAAATAGGCCTCTGAACGACCAAACGTGCACCGCCAATATTACGTTATTGCGCAGCCTACGCAAACGAGGGGCTCACTGTCAGTCTGTCCAGAAACCACAGAGCGGCACTACGTGTACCGGGCAAGATACCTAGGAAGGAACTCGCCCTTGGCTCGATTGAACACAGTGGATTGTAACGTATCAGGATGTCCCGCGGAATTTTCTCAAGCCATTAATGCTTCTTCTCGCCAATTCCAGCCTCAAGAACGGCCCAGAGCTAGGTTTCATCCAGGACCAACCCATGATGAGTCCGCCGGCAGACGAAGCGCGAATCTATCATCTGCTTAGCGACCTTGACGGCGTACTTGATTCGGCAAGCAGAAGGGAACTGCGGCACATTTTCATTGAATTCCTGCCCTAGTATCGACCTGGATGCTATTCAGGATTCATTTGTTGACAACTGACCCGATCAGTCATTCATACGGAACCCTGCCAACAAACTTCAAGATCGATGTTTCCTGTTGGAAGAGCAGGCTGCTGCTAAACCCGGTCTGGGCCTGATTCGCGAGAGTGAGTGGCAGCCAAATGCCGTACATCGGTATATGCTCCAACATGAGCAACTTCTGGAATGCATCGCCGGCATCTTGCTGTAGAAGCTGCAGTTGAACCTACACTTCCCCCTATGCCCCTGATTCGGCGTGTTGTGACGTGCTCTGGGTGTGGGATTCAAGGGCATAGGTATTCTAAATGTCCTACGCGTGTTAGATAGTCAATTTATGTTAATTGTTGTTATTAAATGTGATGTTCAAAATTTTGATTTTTTGAAGTACCAAGAATGTGGCCGGAGTAACAGGGATCCACGTTAGGATCGGGGGACCATAAATAAGCCTCTCGGTAATAACTATATTAAGTAAGCTAATATCCATACTAGTAGTAGTCAGATATATATTACCGATCAGCGGTGAATATATATCCTACTAATAGCTAGTTATTGGCCGGTAACTAACCTATTAATCCTAGTATCCTTAGTTCGTACATCAATAGCCGCCATCCGAAGCCGGCCCGTATTGCTCTCGATAAACCGCTGCCTTTCGGGCCCCTCGTGTCGGACCCGATTCATCATCCATTCGCTACCGACTACCAGCCAAGGCGTACGGGTATCGCTCAAAAAGCTCCACCTGTGGGCACTCTCTGTGGGGTCGTCATAAATGGCCTGCCATAGGAGCGCGGGAACGGACCTAGTCCTACCGCTGAATAGTAGCTCCTCGTGGAGTGTCTGCCGCGCTGAGCTCACAAGCCCGTGGACAAACCCCCGGAAGTCACCCATCGAAAAGGTATACTGCTGGTATAACAGCTGATCCTGGTTCATCCATCCAACGTGGCCAGCGGTCGTGCTGTTATAATGGATCTTTAAGCAGTACGTACGGAGATCTAACAGCCACTGCATCGGGCTATTCATGCCGCGGACCATAAACTGACTGACCATCTCAGTCACCCACTCGCGGAATGATCGCTGGGTCTGCCGCTGGACCTGGCTGAATTGGATGAACTGGCTCGCCGGTGGCGGAGCTAGGTCGGTCTGCAAGTTCTCAAAATCGAAATAGTCATCTGATGCCTGCGATAAAAACGTAAAATCGGGGGAATCCAGTGGACTCTCGATCTCCCAATCGCCAGCCATTTGATGCTCCGTCAGCTGATATAGCATTTGCTCCGCCGTGGGGTCCAACTTTAATGCCTTGTGGACCACCATAAATCGACCCACCTTGATCAGCTTCGACAAAATGGGCGGGTAGCTCTGCGCCGTACGCCAGCCGCCCTCCCCTTGGCCGAGTACGGCCGTGGCACAAACGAGCGCGCTCTCGTAGTCTTCGAGCTTGATTCGGTGGTTTAATAGCTCAATACAGAAATCAAGACATGCCGAGTCAATGGGGGCGAGTTGAAACGGGGATTCGGTGCGGTTTCGTGCGGGATCCGGTCGAGATTCCCTACCGGTGCGCTGACGTAGCTCAGTATCACTCTCTGAATGCTCGCTGCTAGCTGATTGCTCGCTACTGCCGGCGGAACTAGCCCTGTCGGAGCGTCTAGGTGACGTATCGACCCCCGACTGAGCTAGTCGCCATAGCGAGTTCCACGCCGTACGTTGGCGTTTCGAAAATCGGTATTTCGGACTATTCCATCCGTGCGTAGCCTGCGTACCTGCGAAGAACATCAAAATCTGCTGCCACGGCAGCGTGTGACGGTTGATATTCTCGGCGTCCATATACGCTTGTAGTGGCTGATGCGGTAACCGGTCGCGCTCCGTACGGACTGCCTCGGTTCGAATCGAATGGCTAGTCTTCGTACAAATCAACTGGCTAATTCGGGCCACGATAGCCATCGAATCCCAGATAGCGGAAGCTGCCTTTTCAGCCGAAATCGCGGAATCAGCGTCGGGCGCTTGAACGCTGTCACGTAGATCTTGTGGGTTGATCCCCCGTAAGTAAACCGCCCACTGTGTACGGCGAAGCCATGGATTCGCTTCGTCCCGCTGACTAGCCTCGATGGTTTGGGGCTGACTCTGTCGCTCGGTGAATGCCTGCTCAATTTGGTCGAGTTGCTGGTTACCGAGTACGGTCGGGGCAATCGGCTCGAGAACTAGCTCAGCGCCGACCGTACGGACGCGAATGTAGTGGGAGCCTGGCCCCTGGCCGAATGCCCGCTGACAGCGTACGACTTGCGTAAACTGGTGAATCTGCTGCTCGGCTGCTGATGGTCCTGGCTGCTTCCTGCCACCGCCAACGTTATTAACTGGAGCAGTCCAGCTATGGTGATCCCGCCAATGCTGGCGTATAGTCTTTACCGTACGTCTGATAAATGAGCATAATGGGATTTTGGTACATAGTAAGCCGTCGGAGTAAATAGGCAAGTTAGGAATTAGGGTGCTTATAATACTAGGTGGCTCCTACTGTTCACATTCCTCTATACGATCCCAATTCTGAATAGTCTCACTGACTAAACGGGCCCTAGCGAGACTGAGTCGATGATGCGTGCCCTAGAGATGGGCGACCACTTGCTTCGGTCTAATACCATACTCGCATCGCTGACAAACGATAACTGGGTATATCGATGGCTGATGAAAAAGCTGATGTTCCATTGCAGATAGGAGATATATATATCAGCGCGTAGATAAATCAAGTAGATTGGAATAGATGTTCGGTACTGAATATGGAGTGAATTAGGTCCGAAATGATTCTGAGATTAAATGGGAATCGTCTTTACCCCCTGAATGATTCTCTACCCCTCCTGATCCTTGTAGACTAGATAATCGAGGTCATGCAATTCGTCGAGAACCCTAAGTGACGCCTCAGGCTCCGGTCGCAACCCTGAGTAGCCTAGTTGGCGGCACCCCATCAAAACTATCTCCGATTTTCAATCGCGAATTACTTAAAACTATTTGACTGCGTGATCTGAAAGTGAAATGGAGGGTATTTAACTTTGTCTATTATAACTTCCTAAATTTTCAGACCGATCGGAGCGAGAAAAGCAGCTGCAGTCAGGTCGGGAAAGTTCACTTGCAGTCAGCCCTGTGCCAAGCTTTTTCGCCCATAGTTAAGGAAAAACCCTCACCTGCAGTCAGGCTGACTGCACCACCCCTCGTGGGATAGGAGAGGTAAGCCAGACATCGTGTCGCGAGCTAGGACGGTCAAGGCCGTACTAGACTTTGCTGAGTCGTCCCAAAGATTCACAATTCCCGCGCAGCCTAATAACTTAAACGGCATCTGGGCCGCGATAGGCCTTGACTATCAATATTAGACAAAATAAGAAACGAAACAAGATTCAACAAAAGAACAAGAACATGAAGACACACGTAAAGAGAACTTGAAACAAGAAAAAAGAAACGTAACTGAAGTTACAAACACAAGTAGAACATAGCATAAAAACTCCAACACAAGTTGGAACAGAAAGACAAGCAAACACCATACATAAGAATTCTATGAAGACTCCAAAATAAGTAAGCATACAAAAAGGAACAAGACAACAGAAAATATGGAATATCAAAGGATTCCGAAGAAGAGCAAAGAACTACAGAAAAACATGGAAGAATTACGAACACAGAAAAATGCATGACAACCGCATTCAAGAAAACTACATCCAGAAATCCGAGGAAACCTCAAAACACAACTATAAGAACACAACCCTAGGATTCCTACGGATGCAGCAATATAAGCTAAATATAGCAAATAAGCCGAATGCATCAAAAGAAGAACAGAGAGATTTAACTTGAATTGAGCAGGATTACCTAGTAAAAGATAATTATCAATTGAAATTATCTATTTCTCTGATTTACCTACCTTCGGTCTTAATCTCACTTTGTTTCTATCATTTCTTTAAATGATCCCTACCCTAGTAGCCTAAAATTGACTAGGCCTCAAGTTCGTTCTCAAAAAGTGGGACATTACACATGTACATGCAAGAACATATATAGTTACTGTACTTTGTATATCGCAAAAGCGAGAACTTAGGGTAAGTGAAAACATCCATCCGTTTATCCATCCGCTGTACATAGTATACACATGACCCCTAGCTTAGGATGCAGTACGGCCACATTTTGCTAGCCAACAGCCAGTAAGAAGTCTTCACGAGACTCGACTTGTACCATGCTTCGGTACACTAGAGCCATTACTTTGTAAACCACCAAGCTCAGGATTTACCGAGGCGCAGCATAGTAGTTCTATTGGTGCTCATACATTTATTGGTGGGTTCCAGAGCAACTGGTAAAGTCCAGACGACCTGTGTCTGATGGATCACGAAATGATAATTTTAAGGCTGAGGCTAGTTACCCTATTATTAGAAATTTAGAGGCAGATTTATGCCGAGAAAAAGTGAAATCCTTATTACTGAGAACGTTTTCAAGGGTGACAAAATTACAAAAAAAGTAGAAAACGAACTTCGTGGTCAAGGTCAATCAAGCCAGCTTGAAAGCTCAGATTAAGGTGGAAACGAGCGAGAATCTAGCCATGAGAGGTCTTGATGATGCTGACATGCGCTATTAGGAAGCAAGTCACTCATTTTGATTTAGAGGTGCTGTATCTTATCAATATGCATAGAGCACTACGCTGTATTTTTTAAACCGAGACCGATGTCATTGTTCTTTCACCGCGACATCATTGGCCACTTTAATCTGCGAGAAGGTTTAAGATAAGATCCTGGACTAGGCTCTCACGCGACGTCAGATTCTGCAGGGCAATTTATAAGACACGCAAATGAAATGATTGTGCCATGTCCACTCCTGCTTGGGGTCTATTTTTTCGATGTCCAAATGCCAGAGCAACGTGGCAGCAAGCGTCGATACTTCACCGCTTGAGGATCACTGAAGTTGAGCATCGGAAACATAATGGCTGCCACCAGCGCATCGATACCCTGCATTTTGTTTGATCCATCGATATCCCACAGGACAAACGCCCATTGCCTTGAGCTTCTCCTGGCTAGCCTGATCCTTGCGACGAGCGTCAGCCAAAGCTTCACGCTGCTTTTCTAGCTCTCTGGCAATCTCCTCCTTTCTCCTTCGTTCCAATTCATGCAGTAATCGAGCTTTCTCATGATGTCTTCTTAAAGCCTCATCCGCATTTGCTTTTTCAGCTTCTTTTGCCGCTTGTTCCTCTTCTTCTTTGAGTTTCAGGACTTTATTATTCAGCTCTTCAATCTCTTTTATCACACGCAAATTCTCAATTTCCCTGGCGTCTGCTGCCGCTTTGTCTTTTTTTAGTTGATCCCAGACTTCATTTGAGACATTAGGGTCACGATCAGAGGTAGTGGGTTGCTGTTGTGTCTCTGGTTTCATGGCCGTATTTGGATTGACGTCTGCTGTCAGGCCCGCCTGAGGAGAAGCTTTGGTATCGACTTTAGTCACAGGTTGATCCATGGGTCTCGATTGTAAGGACAGCTTCGGCTCTCCCTGATGGATTCCAATTGAGGGGCGCTGCACCGAACAGTTTTCACGCTTGGAACGCTCTTGAATCATATTGTCAAGTTCTTCAATCACTACTTGTTTGCTCAATAGCAACTTCTTTCCATTGCAGGCCTTGAATGACTTTAGAGTCCTCCCAAAAATGGTCTGTTGCAAAGTCTCAACATCTCGTGCATTGGCCCATTTTGCTGTTTGTGAAAGCACATCGACGCGCTGGGAAATCTCCATCGTAAATTGAGAGTCCGGTATTTGCAGGCAAGTAATGTCGAATTCAACCTGTGCTTTCTCAAAAATATCGTCTCTTTCTTTCGATAGTAGTGCGTCCAACAACTGGATGCACTCCCTCGGTGAAAGAGGTTCAAACTGAATACACTCAGGGAAGCGGCTGGTTAGACCAGTGTTCATTGACATGAGTCGGTTTATATCGGCATCATAGCCAGCCAGAATTATGATCAACCTTTTGGCAAATTTGGGCTTCGTGATACAGTCCACGAGTTCGTCCATGGCCTCTTGAGCAAAATGCCCTTCTGTAAGACGATATGCTTCGTCTATAAAGAGAATTTTTCCAAGAGCGCTCTCCAGTAGCTTTTGAGTCTTTGGGCCGGTGTGCCCGATGTACTGACCAACCAAGTCCGTTGCTGATACGTCGACCACCTCGTCCGAAGCCAACAGACCCATATCGTAATATACTCGCCCCATCTTTCTGGCTGTAGTTGTTTTACCAGTTCCTATTCATTACAATGTTAAAACTGTAATATCAATAGGCTACCAAGCTTTAGGAGGAGTTGACGTACCTGGAGGTCCTCGAAAGACGAAGTTGAAAGGCAATCTCCCCCTAGGGTCCATATTCAGCTGCCTGAGACTCCTCACCATCTGCTGATACCCTTCTAACTTGGAAACGATGTTTTCACATCCCACAACCCCCTCAAACAATTTTAAAACGCTCGCTTCATCCTTGTCCGCGCGATCAAAGTTCTCATCAAAGTCAGCTGCGTCCAGGACGGCGTCGAAGGCTTGGGTGATGGATCCACCCGAAGAAAGCCTCTTTTGGTGGTGCATCTTTGCTGTGTCGAGCAAAATATCAATCTCGCCGGCATTTCCAAAGTGAGATCGATTTCGAGCTAGTTCTAACATCTCCGAGACCACTCGCCGAGCACGGTCGGTAACACTATACCCCTGTTCTTTAAGTTTAAGATCCAGAATAAGATCCAGCTCTTGCTTGGTGAAATCTTCAAAGACAAATGCCTGGTCCATGGGAAAGCGTCGGCTGAGGCCAGGGTTGACATTTTGGAACATTTGCTGCATGTGGTCTTTGTAACCCAGGAGGAGGACACATCTGTCATCTCCGGGTGTGCTCTGTACCTCAGCCACGATGGTATCAACAACAGCACTTCTGAATTGGTCACTTCTGGCTCCTGTGCCATCCGATGTTCCTCCAGCAAAGAGACCGTAGGCTTCGTCAATGACGAGAACCTTTCCTAATGTAGCAGCGAGAATTCCTTTCGTGTTTTTCTCGGACCCTCCTATGACGCTGTCCACAAAATCAGACGGATTCTTCACGACCACTACACGACTTGTTAATAATATGACACCAATGGTTAAGCTGTCCTGCTCACCTTCACCACAGGATAGAAACCCGATATCAACGAGTATCTGCCCATAGATCTTTGCGATTGACGTTTTTCCGGTTCCGGGATTCCCAAGGAAGACACGATTAAGACTGTACTCTACCAGGGGTTGTTCATCAAGCTCACGTCGATAGTTGAACTGCAGTGTGTTCACAAGAGCTTCGAGTGTCTTTTTCACAGTACCCAGTCCGATCATATCTTGCAGTCTTTGCCATGCTTTGGATGATTTTAGTGCTTGTGATGGGTCGGGGCCAATGATATCCTGCCCATCCAAGAAAAAGTCGTCAACTCGCGAGACACATTGCCGCCTCTGCTGGGCCAGCCGCTCGGACTGTCTCTCAGAAATCTTTGCCATAGCATTCTCAACAGCTCTTGCATTTGCGAAACCCTCACGTCCGCGTCCGCGTCCTATTCGGCTAGCGACAATGCGGCAGTAGAGACCCCCAAGGCCACCGTCAACTTTCATTTGCTTGTTGTATGTCTTTTCAATCCAACTCTGCAAGATTTGCATCAACTCCGTGTCGTCAAAGTCGTCAAATTGCAGCTCATGTGGAAAGCGACTGGGAAGTCCAGGATTGTAACTGAAAAACTTTTCCATCGGTCGCTGATATCCGGCAAGTATGAAGACGATTTTCCCAGTGAGATTCTCAGCCTCAGCAAGAAGGAAGTCGACGACCTGGCTCCCCCCAACGCTACTACCCTGAACGAGTTGGTAGGCTTCGTCGATAAAAATAGCCCCTCCACCATCCTTGAGGAGCTTTTCGATGATTTTCTCACATCCCGAGACACCATCATTCGCCAGTCTGGACCCAGTCGTTTCGATAAATACATGGCCAGGAATGACCCCTACCGCTGCCAAAAATTTGGCATAGAGGCGGGCTACCGTTGTTTTGCCTGTTCCAGGGTTCCCAAGCAGCACAGACCCAAATCGTTCCCGACTCAAATCGACCTTCTGCCGGACTGAAAGGTCGACTTTGGATTGTATGGCTAGAAACTTCTCTTTCACTGACTCTAGCCCGACCATGTCCATCAACGTGTCAATTTCTAGGCTTTGGGAATTGAGATATTTCTTTCGATAATCCCAGTCATTCTTAGCTTTGGAGGACTTTTGAGTCGGCATCGCTTGTCGAGGCGTTGGTGTAGCACTGGGCTCAAGCTTGCAACTTCGAGTTTCCTTCACCTTGTCCTCTCCAGCAGCGCTTCTGGAAGGAATCGAGCTGGCTACTACATCTCTGGCACCCTTGTGCTCGGTTTCAATTTGTGGGATTGTAAGAGGATTCTTCAAATCCTGAATTTCCTGGTAATGTTGTTCAAGAATCCTAGTGCGCTCTGCGTCATCAAGCTCATCGTGTCGCAGACGCCTCAAATGGGATACTTCGTGTTGGGCTTCTGCGAGCTGCTGGGCATAGGTAGCCTGCCGTCTCTGCCGTTCTGCTTCTAGTTTGAGGTCACGCTCACGCTTTCGCTCTTTTATAAGATCTTCTTGAGTGCAGAAGCGACATGAGCCTTTAACCTGGGCACACGGGAGCGATGAAAAATGACCGCGTGGGCATTTCCATTTCACGATTCTTGTGCATGTCATTTTGGAGTGGTCCACAAGCTGATGGCATTTGGACTGGCAATCGTGAAGTCCGCAGTTGAGTTTTACACCACTATCGAGAAGTAAGTATAAGTTAAAATTTTCATTTCGGAGCCGCATCGGGAGCATCTAAGATCCTCGTTGAAGTTCAATTTGAAAGACATACCACGGTGCAGAGCATCCTCCATCTGGGGTCTCACGGTCGAAATCCTCTGGGTTTTGAAGAATTGCGTTCTTTGCAGGGTGATTCTCACATCGCACTGGCAATCCATCGTATAGGTGCCCATTGAGCTTTAGCTGGTCGATAAGTGGCTTCCAAACCCTTTGTCCTTTTCGGCTAGACACGAATGTCTCCGAATTTCCCACCAGTATCAGAACGTTTCGAGCACGAGAAAGTAGAACATTCAGTCGCTCAGGGGCAGCCATGAATCCTATGTCACCGGTTTCGTTGCTTCGAGTAAGTGATGCTATTACAATATCGCTCTCTTCACCTTGATAATTGTCTATTTCAATAGTCAGATCCTTGTTTCTAATGCGAAATTCCCACACACTTTCCTTACCAATAGTCGAAAGCTTCAGCTGACGCTTGGAGTAATTTGCGCCCGCCTGCGATAAGAGCCCTGCTCGCACAAGATCGTAGGAGTCAAGATCGTTCAACACAGGATCATTCTTTTTGCTCAATATCTCCTTCAGAAGTAAGAGCTGGCCAAGATAAGGCGTTAGAACGACAAGCTTATCTGTTCCATACCCTTGCTGGCCAAGATACTTCACAATTTTCAAAACAACTTTCGCCTCGGAAATGTTCTGCTTGGATTGTTTCGATCCTTCATCTCGGCGATCAGATATTTCTGTGAAGTTTGCTTCGAGATTGGAATGGTTGAAGAATATCACCCGGTCTCGTAGACCTCGTGGCTCGGGACGGGACTTGGTTTTCTCATCATCTTCCAATCCAGGATACGTAAGACTTCGGACGAGACTTGATATTTCAGGACACATGCGGTGTTGCTTCAGCAATGTAGTATGTGGATATCCGGCACGTATGAGTCTCTCGAACAAAGATATATTCAGGTCATAGCCGTCTCCTTTTTCAGCACTTAAATTGTAGCTGTTGATCTTCGGTCGAAGCTGCAGATGATCTCCGATCAAGATCAAATGCTTGGTTTCTGGCGATATTGCTGTGAGGACATGAGATTCCAAAATTTCACCTGCTTCTTCAAGAAGTACGATCCCAGGAGACGCATGTTGGAGATCTTCGGAATACATGGCGGCAGCCGTTGTTGTACAGCCAATGATTCGCTTCCCTTTCAGGATGGTCCGGGTCTTCTCACCCAGGAAAGCGCTCAGCCTTTTCTGGCATTTGTCAAATAATGTCATTTTGACAGCCAGAGACGCAGCTTGCTCATCAAGTAAAGCTCGTTTCCAGGATTGGACCTTCTCATTTCGCGCGTGTTGCTGTAGTGCCCATGGGCCGTGACAGTGGTCAGGAATCAAGTCAGAAAAGTGCTTCGGACCTTTTCCTTTCATCCATCGGTCATAAAGATAGCCTTTCTTGGCTGCCTTTCCACGTTTATCCGCCAAAATCATTCCGTGCACGTTCTCGGGGATGGTTAACGCTTCAAAGTATCCGGGCTCCTCAAATTCCAGATAATCCAGGATAGATGCAGCATCGACTGCTAGCTGCTGGTACTCTCTGAAAGATGTCTTCAAGTTGTCGCCTTGTTCCGATCCCTCGCTCTTGAGCTTGTTAATAAGATTCCAGGTGGATTGGGGTCTTTTGAAGGCTGTGCTTTGTTCCTTTAGGCCCAGCGGCATAGTTCTTGGGGTCGACTTGAGGCCCAATCGAACAATGGCCGAGGGATCTATTCCGATGTCCAGCAAGTCTTCCAGAAACTGATCTAAAGCGTGATTGGTGTAGCACATAACCATTATTTTGTCTTGGGTTTGATCATGCAGGATTTTGGAAAGAATGGCACCTATGAATGATTTTCCAGTCCCTGAAGCTCATATCATCAGTCGAAAGAAATAAGGGAAGTCCGAAATTCGAATTCTACATACCTGGAGGCCCTTGAATTAGACTGACTCTCTGCGTCAATCCTGCCAGCAGAGACTCGAGCTGGGATGGATCCAATGTGATGGGTCGGGGGGTTTGGAGGATGTTTTGGATATTGCGCTTGTGCATTTTCTTTAACTCATTGACCACGCCCCAAGGAGTCAGGCTTGATTCCTTCACCGGCTGCTCTTTTTCATAAAGGAAAAGCTCTTCCGTGAGAGGAAAATCGACTCTTTCCTGTAGACATGTCAATATAGGCTCATAAGCAAATATTGGCGTGTCAACCATCAAGAAGTCCACATCGTTGTAAAGTTTGAGGGAAAGGAGAGACTTCTTCAGTGCATCCTCGCCAACAATTCGCAGCATGACTATAGGTGGATCTGACACCAGGGCATCAATATCTCTTTCGATTGAAGCAAAAGCCACGATTTCAGTGTTTCGAATCAAGCATCCAAACCCACGGTGCTTAACGAAGTATGGGGTGTCTTTGAGGAAAGCTTTTCGTTTTTCTTTTGGAAGCTTCCTGAGTTTCTCAAGCCCTGACTCGGCGGTAATGCCTAGGGTGCATGGCCGAAGATACTTTTGATCGCTCGAGCTGCAACAAACACGAGCGAGAGAGAGATTGCATATACGGAAGGCAGGCCGGCGCCCCTTTTTTGTGCCTTTTGCGACTTGGAAATCATCACGGAGCCCCGAGAGCATGTCATCCCGCAAAAGACGAAACTGATTGTCTACATGGCCAGCAATGCGCTGACTGCCGGATAGAAGTGTAATTTCGTGCGCGTTCCGATAAAAGGGTTTTTCGGTACAACCCATCTCATCGGCGGTGGGCAAGATGGCTGTCAAGCGGAAATCATGAAAGTCGTTGTCATGCCGACCGCCGGCTTTGTTTCCTGGGGCGGCTAGAGCAGTTGCAGAGGCCTTCATATCCAGGAGGTAGTTGATCTTATGCGCTTGATTTTTCAAACAAACCAAAGTCGAAGACGAAAGCAAACCGGTATCCACAATGGCCTGGGCATCAGCTCTGATGTCCACGGCGGACGAAGTGGGCAATGACAGTAGCTCTATGGTCAGCCAACAAAGGGCCTGGGTTGCATCGTTATCTAGCTTTCGGGCACAGAATGCTTCCACAAGCGAACTCCAAAGGGTGCGGGGCTCCGAAATAGTAAGGAGAAGTTTTTCGAGAAAAAGGCCGTTACCAATGAGCTTCACCCCCGGATAATTCAAGAACAGGATGAACTTCGCAGTATATCCGTTGATGAAGGCGGGTGTGAGGTTGAACCTCAATCCGATCTGAAGAGCACTGAGGGCGCTTGGGCTCAGGATGAGTTGCTCAACCGTACCGCAGGGATCTTTCTGGTCGAGAATGGCTGCGATGAGCCGCTTGAAGCTACTGAGATCCTGGACCTTCTGCGTTCCATGAAGGACAGCTCTAAAATATCTGGCTAGCCGGTCCGATCTCATACTTTGAGTCATTGTGAGAAAAGTATAAGATGTATGATACCCAGTGTTTGATGGTTGCAAGAAATGAAAGGAACTCCTACTATAAATCAACTGGAAGAGCGGGCAGGGGGGAAAAGCCTTGGGATCGAGCAGAACGGCAGCTGTGGATATTCTCCTCACTCAATTCTGACAACAAAAGAACTGCAACAAGTGAGAAGTCCAAATGCAGGCATCACTATTGCTGTCCAATTGTTGTTTCGTTGGGTCAGCCGGTTCGAAGTGCATGCATGGGTAGCTGCGCCCGTACGCACCCACGGACATAAGTCTAGGTGAACAGTGTGACCAGCCAATCCGGGAAACAAAGAGATGACGTGTTCAAACGACTCGTACCGTTTCTCAGTAAAGTAAGTGTTTGCCAGAAACGCTTGCAAAACTCCCAAAAGTGGCTCAGGTTGTATCTATTCCCACCATTTGCTTCTATTTCAACCACCACCACATCGCCCCAGATCTTTCGTGTTTTGCACGATTTGTGCCTTCATCCATTTTTCATCCATTATCATCCAGATACACATAATGAACCAACGGGGGCGTCCGTATGGGAGAGGTGGGGAGAGATGGAGAGCTCATGGGGGAACTCGAAGGCGTACTGTACTCGCAACTTTACCTCCACCGCTGGGCGAAATTGTTGCAACAGTTCAACCCGAGGACCTTGATGATTCAGCGAGTCAAGGGGATAATAGGGCCCACATTACGAACAGCCAGTATCTGACATCCTACAATTGGATCACTGGGGCAAATCATCATATCGTCGTTCCAGGTGAGGAAACCTACTGAACAGAAAAGTTTTCATGATCACTAATCAACAAGTTTCTGCAAGGTGAACCGCCGGCTTGGACACCTCTTCCTGAGCCTACTCAGTTGCGAGAGGATTCCGGCCAATATTATCGTGACGGTAACGCTGCACGATATCCCACCTACCCACTCGAGCCGATGATCCAAGCAATATTGACGGAAAGACCAGAATTCTGCCTGAGAAATGTTGATATAATTGGCTGCGGGAGTACATTGGGCAGTCTATTACGGTTTGCGCGTGGCAGAGCCCAGTCTTTCAGGTTGCTTGTCCAAGTAGTCGGCAACACAGTCTTCTTCATCAGAAGGGAAAACTCGCCCACTGAAACCATCCCAGATGTCCGGGGATACGGACATACATTTCCCAAGGCATACACTACGTGGAGTGCCCTCGTCCAAGGGTCCGTGTCCCATCAGCGGTTGGTCAATTACGATTTCGCTGGCATAAATTGCTTAGTGCGCTTTGAGGTCGACGGTTTCCTACCCGACTTGATCCCCGAAGACTCAAAGGTCCAGCAATATCACACTTCTGAGACTGGAGATATTGAAGTTAATGATATTTTGTCATCTATTCAAGAAGTAACGATTTCAGGCGTGCGTTTAACCACTAAAGATACCGAATTAACGACACTCAAGGTCTCTAAGGGAGGTCACCATGTCCCACAACGGGCGGTGTTTGACCTAAAAACGCGTTCTGTCAAGAAGATGGACGTTCAAACGGTTGAAGAAGAGCTGCCTCGGCTATGGGTCCGGCAAATCCCCAATTTTGTTCTCGCTTATCACACGTTCGGCAAGTTCAAAGACGTTCGGATTCAGGACATGCGTGAAGAATTGAAGCTCTGGGAAGAATCTCAACAGCCAGCTTTGGCCAGATTTGCCAGCTTGCTACACATGATAGTATCCTTTGCTCGTAGTGTGGATAATGGCAGGTTTGAAATCGAGCACGAGGAGGGCGAGAAGTGCCTCAATTTCCGAGAGCCAGGTGGAAATGTCAACAGTGTTTTGCCAACGAGCCTAGCAAGCAGATGGGATTCGGACAACACGTCCGAGGTAAACTCTTGACCAGTGAGATGAAGTGCATATGATTCCAATAAGCGACCATATTCATTCAATTATTGGGGTCTCGAAACGCAGAACCAAAGCCAAAACAGATGTCCCAAACTCAAGTAAATCAATCCCTTGTAGATATCATTACAATGTGTCCTAGCAACAACCATTTCAATGTAGAACATGGTATCCTTCACTGTAGGATGCACAATGATCAGATGAATATCAGACTCCTGATATCCATTCGCTCTCACTTTTCTCACTTTTCACAATACTACTCTCTGGGGTCGCAGAGGGAATATGGTCGAAGAGCTCACTCATGTGGCATCGGGCTCGTGTAAAGACAAGATCCATATAGTAGGCTGGAGGGCAGATAATAACCACCCTGTTCGCACGGGCAAATAGATAGTGCATTTTTTGAGTGAATTTCTGCAGTGTCTACTGTCCCAGCTGCCCCAGTTGGCGCTGATTTACAGGCGGAGAAAATCCCCCACAGTAAAGTAGTGGGCAGGACAAGTTGTTTCCTCAAGAGCCGAGTGAGCTTGGAGAGAACAGTCCCGGTGTCAGGTCTTGGAAATACGAAAGTCAAACACGGTGCCGGGCATTGGGTTTGCGGAGCGATTTGCGTCAGCGCCGGCGGTAGCATAGAAACGAGTGTCGTGACGCCTGCCGACCACGAGAGTGGCCATGCGCGGGAGGCCAAGATTCTTGGCCCTAGCTGATTAATTAGTTGTACAAGCTGGTTTCGGAAGAGGAAGCTGTTTCTCAATAATAAATTTATATTGGATTCCCGAGACACCTGGTCCACCATCTGAATGGTAATTTTCTACCTACTTAAGAGGAAATAACGCTTTTCCCACCATCCTCTGTAAGCCTGTCCCTAATTTTGATTGTCATATAGCCCGAACCGAGCCTGATTACGTCAAGCGATCTGTCTCGCTTAGCTGCAACACTGATCACCGCACTAGGTGAGAAGAGCAAGGCCTCACCCACTTGAAGATGTACAATTCGGTGGAAGATGGAATGCTTTGTGGGAGTCCCAAGCGGCTCCTGCTCATGATGTGCTTGGTTCTCCTTTGTTGACTGCAAACTCAAGGCTGCCGCAGCCACATGAGCTTGCAGTGTGTGTGCCCATGCCGGCGATGAGAATCGATGAACAATGGCGACGGAGCACAGACTGAGTAGGTCACTGGAAATCGTTGGCTCTTGCGTCGAGACCAAAATTCGGGCACCGAGGTGACGTTGTAATCGAACGGTTGAGAGCAGAGTATCTGTGAACCCTTGCGCCTCGACAGAATCCTTCATGTACTGAAAGCCAATTAATGTCAACATAACTACGATCTCAGTTGTAAGTCGCACCTTATGAGCCTCATCAAGTGCTACAATCCTACCAATCTTGGTTTCCTGTTCCATAAAAATCCCAAAACAGACGTTGAAGAGGCTGCATGCCGTGTCGGGTGAGATGCACGGACAGGAAAGGTCAACGATCGTCAATTGTGAGGCCTATTTTATAGTGAGACTTTGAGAGGACTGGAATAATACTGAAGGAAATTACCTTTGGGGTCCAGCTGGAGCCTGCGTTCTTCTTCGCGGACTTCCCTTTCATCTGGTAGCTTGCGCCTGCTTGTTGGGGTGCCATGAAGCTCTCCAGTGTATCTAGCCTTTGTTTCAAAGGCTCAAGCTGACCCTGCAGAAGTCCTGAAGAAAGAATTCGGCTCTTGAAATCTTGATAGTTAAACTGAGACCCTGCGCTTTGCTGTAATAGCCTCATTTCTCGCAAGATTCGCTGTACCGTATGCAAGTATAATGGAACTGCACCATTATCTCGATCGACTGCCATAAGATCCAGCATACGTTTAGTATTTAAGTCGGACTGATCTATCTGTAGAGGCTCTACCTTGATGTTAAATCTTGAGTAGGTTCCCTATGGCATCATGAGCAATGTAAAAGGTAGGCGATGGGGACACTTTACCTGTATGGTCCGGAGATTGGTCGGAGCACAGAGGACTCTGACCTTGATGTTTGGATTAGACGCCAGGAAAGCAGCTTCGCAGGGTGAGCCACCATTATCACAGATAAATGTGTCATAATGAAAAACAACCGCTGTGAGTGGATTTAAAAGCCTCCCAGCTCTGGAGGAGATCAAACATCCTTCAAGTAGACAGGAAAGTGTGTGACTCTTTCCAGAACCCTGAGATCCGCAGATAAACACACTAGATGGAGATGAGACATTGAAAAACAACCGGGGATCGTCTTTCAGTTCTTGGATCTCTGTGCCAACCTGATAAGGTGTCTCAATTTCCTTCACACCCCCCAGAAGCCCATATTGCAATGGAGCCAGTGCAGGTTGATTGAGCACTACGCTTGTCAACATGGGAGCGAGGAGAGCTTCTTCGCATTCATCATTTGATTTGTCAAATTTCAGCAAACTTAAATGATATGTCAAGTCCTGATCTTGAAGTCATTAGAATTTTCTCAGATATTTTTCAATGAGCTGTGGGAGGAAGAAAGTTTGCTTCCTCAGAGACATACCAAGTCGGTTCTCGTGACAGATAGATGAGGACATTTTGAAGTTATGCTCTCAAGGAATATTTTCTCAGTATAGTTTCTATGACTTGCTTTTATAGCGAGTCACTAATTCTAACAGCTGTGGTCTTCTAGTTTGTAATTGCGGTGAGTAAAATACAGCGCTTTGTTGGAAGGCCTGTAATCACAGGTTAAAATCTTGACATGATGAAATTACAATGGTTTTTTTTAGCTTCACTCGACTAGATCAATAGAAAGCTAGCCTGTATTAAGTCTGCCGGCCAGAAGCAAGAAATTTTGCTTTACACCAAATGGTTACTAAGTAATTTTCACTGCTTGACTTCAAAAGTATCGCACAATTGCCTAGCTGCATGGATGGCCTCCCGCATGAGTGGCCTCCTGCATGAATTGCGATTCAACTAGTACTTATGGCTACCTCAATGCCGTAGGTAATGTTCTAAAGCCGAAATGTTGAATTTGATACAGACGATTTCGGTATAGCACTGATTCAGCAATAGATTTCACCACTACGTACAGTGCTGGTCATAGCGGTACTATTGACAACAGTGTCAGCGCGCAGAAGTTTTTAGCTCATCATCGCCGATCCAGTCATACATTAGCATCTCTCATGATGGTCATGGTTTAGAGGAAAGATATTTTCTTGAGAGAAGCTTATCACAGCCATAGCAAACCCAAAGATGATTGGCCATTTATAAAGTTTATTTTCCGCCCCCCGAAAGGCCTACCAGACGCCCACAGATAGCCCCGAGATTGCCCGACCCTACCATGGCCCCCATCGTTTCAGGAGAGTTTGACTTATTAGTGCCGATCATAATGAAAAAGCACCCTCCGGAGGTTGCTCTATTCTTTTTCTCTATGCTTATGCAGATCTACAACCCGTGTCCGGCAGGCCTAATACCAAAAGAAAATACACATTTAGCTATTCCAAAAGATATTTGTAGGAAAATACCGATGGTTCAGGCTGAAATATTATTCAGATATGCCTGAAAAAAAAGTGGCGGTATCCTAACTATCCGGCATTGCATTATGATGCGGTCAATTCCGCTTATGTCGGTGCTTCTAAGCCGCTACCAGTATCATATGAAACCTTATATTTCAATAATGCATGGTTAGCATCACTAGAACTTCTGGTTGAAGAGGGAAGAGAAATCATATTTCGTTCAGTCCTCCTTGTCTCTTCTCTTTCTATTATAAGAACTAGAACATTCAACCCTAAATTGGGTGAAGCGTTAGTGAGGTCTGCCATTTCTAAGCCGGTGAAGCTCATGTGCGCTCACTAGAAAAGGTATTAAAAGTTCAACTGAATCAGGACGGTGAGCTAAATACTAACAGGCTTACAATGCAGGAGACCCGCGATGCGGGAGGCCCACGATGCAGGAAGCACATGATGCAGGAGGCCTATTATATAACGTCGCACTTTGTTACCTGGGTCAGTGGACCCGCTTTGGACCCGGTTTCAGCCAACCACAGGCCTAGAATGGCGTTTCCTGCCCAGGTAACGGCTCCGGAATAGAGTTAGATTCAGATTCCACAGAGATACCAAAATAGGTCGAAAAGCTTTTGCCGTCAAAGAAGGTGCACATTGCCGTCACCAATCTCTCAACAAAAGCCTCTCTCACAACCCTCTGCGATGAGCCCGTGAATTTTTCAATGCGAACGATACTCCGCCCACCATAGCACGCTTTGTTGCTTCTATCATCATTGGCAATGAGTTTCTGAGATATGAAGAGCACGGTTTTGGCTTCTGCCTCCGATGCCTTGGCGTTTTATGCACGGTTCAGACATTTTTGTATGTTTTCTAAAACACTCTTGTCAGCTCGAGCCGGAGCCTGACTTTCATGCTCACAAGCAGTTTTGATGACGATTGCCTTCTGGTGGGACTTCTTAGGCGACATTCTGGGTCTAGAAGTTAAATAGAAAGACATGCAAAATCGACTGACTCGTCGTTGTGCAGAGGAGATGCAAAGCTATCTTTCTGGCTCCTTAACACCGTAGTTTATATGAACCTCTCAATACACCACTCTCCCTTTCACTTGGTAGACCCCTAGCTTTTTTGTTGTCTGCTCTAAGAGATATGAAGAGACTCCCTCAACTGATCTGTCAAGGTGTAGTTAGTTAATCATGATTCATACATTTCCCCTTTGAATAGCCCTTGAAAGTATTAGTTAAAAAGTTGCATAGAGGGGCGCGAAATTTCCGAGTAAACTTTCATTTGCCACATTACCGGTCTACCCTCACAATTTGATTTATATGGTAGTCTTGAGATCTTTAAATTATCTGGCGCCTAAAAAGACTAAAATCAATCAACTGTTTTTCACTTCGAACGTTGGACGAGGGGATTGCTCTGCTCAAGGGACTGGGCATATACTTGAGTCCAAGACGAACTGAGATGTAGCACTCTGTAGAGGCCGATTCTCGGCGTGGTTCTCATTGGGTAGCAAGTAATCCAAGAAAGCAGTATCTATAAAGTCAAAGTTATCGTTTGCCTATTTAAAAACATATGATGTTGCGTCGGAAGAAAGTTTGGTTCCTCCTGCATCGAAGCTCATTGGAAGATAAGCTGTTTCAGGTTAGTCAAATCAAAGTGTAAACCGGATCGGTCCAAAAATCGAGGGCAAAACTTAAATTGCACTCCTCATCATCTTCATTATGGTCAGGAAGTGTGGCTTCCATATTTATTGATCGAAGTGCGGATGAAGGCTGAAGAGTGAAGGAACGGTAAAATTATCCAATTTATAAGGAAATAACGGTGGTCTGCTTGGCTAGATCATGCCCGCATGCATCATTCTCAAGACCTGGTAGAAGACGAAAGAAGAATTTCCGGCAATCGCTTGGAGGTCGATATCAATATGCGCTTACAATTTGTATAGGCACGTGAAAACGTTCATCATCATTCACCGCCACTTGATAATATAAATCGAATACGAACTGAAATGTCTAAAGCCTAAGCGTCTGGGTTGTTCCACATATGCACTCTTTCACTACTGATGCTGTGGGCCTTTTCTTAGTCTCGACCATTGGGACGAGTTCGCGCTGGGGCAAAATGTTGATTGATCATCCGTATTTTCCAATGCATGGCGCCTTTTACGAGCTGACAACTGCACAACGCATTCCTCTGTCTAATGGGATGCGAAGAAGTTGTAGAAAGAAGGGCTGACTGGCTCAACAATTTATTATTGGTATTGGAGTTGGGCTGAAGCTCAGTGCAGTAAAAAGCCACCTCCTTCGGGGAATACACATGCTGGGACCTCCCACTATGCAGGTTGCGCCCGGAGATAGACTGTTTACATTACTTTATTATCTTGGTAAATCCATATTCACTACTATAATGAAAGCTTACACAGCCCTAAGGCCAAAACCCCGTTACTTCCATAAATCCCAGAGGCGCAGTCGGAATCAAAGATTTACCGATGATATTTTCTATCACAAGTTTATTCAAAGCCATTTATGCGCCTCGCAATTTGTTTCTGCATGTCTCATTGTGTGGAGCATTTCATAGACGACCAGCTAGATCCGCCGACGCTGACGGCCTCCCGCATTGGAGGCATCAGCATTGCCTTGCAGTGGGTTTATCTCCACTTGTACTTTGTTGATTGTCGTTGCATTTCTCCGTAAAGTCCCACTCGTGCCATGTGCCTCGTCCGGATCTCAAATTATTACTACAGTAAACGCTCGTTCTATTGGACTTCAGCCAGATATTGATATTCAACGCTTTCAATAATCTTCTGTGTGCCTCAATCTGTACGAACTATGTCGCTCATGCTCAATATGCCATTGTCTGATTGTGAAGTTCTGAACACCGGCTACAGTCACCAGCTCCCTATCAAGTCCGGCAGCCCTAGGTCCCGAGGACTGAATCCTTATCAAAAGCTACTCAGACGATTTTACGAGCCATTGTTCCTCTTGGAGACCCTAGGTCAAGCACGTGGAGAACACGTCACTGCCGTCCCTGTGATGGATCCGCGGATAGCACATCGGCGGAAGTTCTTGCAGAACCTCTCATATATTTGTGACTTTGAAAAGGGCGGCAATTCATGCACTGCAATCGGGGTTGAAGAAAAAGACACATACTACAAATTTTGGGTCGCTTCAAATTCAGTCAATCGGAAGGTTGTTGAGTTTCTAGAGTCTGCTCTGAGCACTTTGAAAATCGCTGGCTCGCATGGCCCAACCGAGTCGGAGCGCGATAAGATAGATTTCGTGGAATTCTGCATACGGTTTGCATCCAGTCGCGTGAAGAAAGAGACTCAAAGTCTATTTCGGGCAGTCAAAGCATGCTATTCCAGACAGAATCAGTGGAATACAGACCCATGTTAGTACCTTCTCCTTGAAAGCAAGCATAAAAAGTTACTAATGGAGGTTATAGCATTAGACATATGGCTTGACTCAATCTTGGCTCATAAAGACAGCTTTAGCCTATGCAAATTTGCCTACGAAAATCGTCATTCCAAATTTGTGGATATTTTGACATTTAGTGCCCAGAATGAGGAGAAAAAAATAGGCCCACAAGGGAGGATGACATCTTTTGCCCTAGCAAAACATTACTTGGGACGCTTAGCGGCCCATATTCGAGCACCTCAACAGCTTTTTGAGGATGCTGAGACTTTGGACTATATGCTTGAGTCGTGCAAAGTTGATTACATTGAACCAATTCCTTCTGTACCACAGCCAATATTTGACTCGCAAACCACGCTGGAGGGAATCCTTAACCGAATGCTCAAGGAGAATGACCCGGAACGGCTGGAAATTGAAAGAAAACTTCTCTACATGAATATGGGAAACGGCATCCTTGAAAAGCTCAACGAACAGTACCAGCGCTGCGTGCCACAGGTTCATGCTGAGGTGCAGGTTCTCGAGCACTTTTACAAGAAGAAATTGCACTTTGTGGATGCTGACCGTTACATTGCTTGCAGTAAGCCTTCTTGTGTTTGCTGTGAAATGTATTTCAAGTACCACCCAGCTCGCATGGTCGCGCCTGAGTGTCATCGCAAGGTGTGGATCAAGTGGAGTCCACCTTTAGTGAAGGTTTTCACAAAGAATCTTCCGGACTTTAAGCAGCAGCAACAAATCATAAATAAGATGACTGAAGACATACGAAGTGATGTTATCGCACAAGTTTTGGAACAATCGTCACCAAGTCGCTGGCATCCAGATTCTCGAACAGGAATCACCGAGAACCGGCTCTCAAGTTCGAACCAAGGCCCATTTCCAGAAAAAGAAGACTTGAGCATCAGGGCTTTGGGGCGACAGGTAGCCAAAAGTGCTGCAAAGCTAGCTATTGAGGTTTTAGGTCAGCCTGATGGTATCGAGAATCTAGAGAAAGATTCCGATTCGGATGATGGGGGAGTTCCGATTCACGTTTAAAAATGCATGTTGTTTTATTTCGTCTAGAAGGCAAAAAAAATGATGCGCTGTCAGAGCATGATGTAGTAACTTACCGCTAAATGCTGATTGATTACCTATGATATCGACTTGCTTATGTTTTATATGTAATTAATGGTCCGTTACGGTCTCATCGCCCCCTCGTAATTTTGAACGGGCCGGGTATTTATGATTAAGTCCCGTCATATCGTAAGATAACGATGACAACGATAGTTGGCCATTATCTCTCATTATCTTCATTGTCGTTGCAGATTTCCGCAAACTATCCGCACTAGCACATAATCCGCTAGATATCCTTTTCCGGAGCATCAGATGATACTTATGAAGCTGACAAAACACTATTTTATGTCGGAATCTTTACACTTTTAGTCATAACAGTACTCAATGCTATTTCTTCACTTCTTCTAGGAAACAATAGGAAACTGTATTTCGTTCGTAAATAAATTCCTTCTGCATAGAAACATGGTCTAAGTATAGCAAGCGAGTTATAGTCGCCTGTAATTTTATAATTTCAACCAAGGGTGCTGGCTTGGCAAGGATATGTATTTGATGTCGGAGGAATGGGATTGGCGAACGGTCTCGAGTGGGCAATGATATGTATCAGGAAATGCAAGAAACTGGCGTCATCAATCTGGAGAGAGAGTCCAAGGTGACCTTGATCTTTGGCCAGATGAATAAGCCCACGGTACGCGGGCCAGAGTCATTCTGGCGGGACTTACAGTGGCAGAGTACTTCCGAGAAGACGGTCAAGACGATCAGTGTATCGAAGCCTGAAGTCTATATTACTTGCTAACAGATGACAGTGGTTCTATTCACCGACATCTTCCGCCTCACACAGACAGGATCAGAAGTATCTGCTCTGCGCAGTTGATTACCAATCGACCGTGGCAGTTGACAGGGTGCCTTCAGGAATGTATCACCAGTACACCGAAAGAATCCATTACCTCAGTTTAGGCGGTTTATGTGCCCGCTGACGATCTTATGTATCCCACGCCGACGAGCTGTCCGAGGAGGATAAGATCAAGGTCAGGCGCGCTCGGAAGATTGCGACGGTCAGCCTTTTGCCGTCGCAGAGCTTATCACTGGGATCAAAGGCAAATTACTACCATCGGAGGAGACTTTCGAGCTCCGCCAATGCTATCCTAGATCGACAGGCGACGAGTTGACTTAAAGTCAGTGCTTGCCTGTCATATGCTAAAGGTATTACTAGGGTGATAGATGCTTTGTGTTGTGACATGAGACTGACGCAGATGAGAAACCAAGCCGAGCCATCGGAATTAATCCCGAACACTTCTTCCTCTGAATGGATAATACAATTCATACCTCTGAACCACAACACTGTCTACATAGTCTGAAGGTTTGAATCAGCCAAGACTAAAAATGACCGGATTATCGCGAAGCTGGAGAAGCGTTCATAATGGTCTGGGCGTGTGTCTCAGTATTTCGGGGCTGTGTGAATGAGCAGGCTATTGTGGCGCGATCTGGGTTGCAACTCTTCGCGTCAATGTTGAAACACTACCTCAGCCATAGGGAAGAGGGGATTTTTTGAGAACAGCGTTTCGACTAGTTTCCATGACTATAATTGTAATGATATCAGATCGATTGTTTAGCATCGGGTAATAACATTGTTGGGTGACTAACGTAGAGTATTCATAGAATTCTTATGCTGAAATCCATATGCGGACCTTATCGTTTCGAAATACGCTAGTATAGAAGCTACCAATTTGTTTTAAATTTACCACGACGGAGTTAAACCAAGGAAGGGAATCATGATATAGTATCATGATCTTGCATATAACTAATCAAGGTGCACGGTGTTGAACAGTCTATGTCCAGTATCAGTGCTCCCTTTGCCAGTGAACTGATTATCCGACAGGCGGAGAGCAACGAAAGATAAACGCCGGAATCGCGAGAGCTCTTGCGCAACTCTGCTAGTAGAAACCGATTTAGCCTGGATGACACCAGCGACCACAACAATGCGGATAGAAGCATTAAGTTGTCGAATGTGTCGCACGAACTCCAAAATTGACTGGCCGGTGTTGACCACCGAGTCAACAAGGAAGATTGTCACTCGATCCTGAAGATGCTCATGCTGAATGTCGCTTGGGTTTTTTGCATGAACAAACATGGCAAGTGGCAAAGCCCTGTTCACGCCCAATGCCATTGGTTCACCACCTCGCATCAGAGGCACAATCAAGGTCTCTTTCTCTCTGAGAATCCGGTAACCATCTGTTTGGTGACCTTGAACATGTGTCACATGGTATGTCTCAACGCCTAGGATCTGCGTACAGAACTCGGTGGCAAGATACCATCCAACTAGGGAATGTGCATCCCGTAGCGCTGGCCCAGAAACATTTGCATCACGCATTGGCGTCATAAGCAATTTGGCCGCAGAACGATCAGTAGCATGAAGAACATGAAGACTTTGGCGTCGGACAAATATCGACTCAACAAAAAATTGATCCGTCAGTTGTACCAAAGGCAGCTGAGACGCATCAAGGCGAGCGGTTGCAGTTGCCGGGAGCACAGCCTGGCGCGGCCGAAACCCGGATTTTCCGATAGATTTTGTCAAAGCCTCGTCCATGCTACCACTTCTCAATTTTTTGTCGCCCGTCACAACAATTGCTTGGTTGGCCGCTTGGAGCATTTCCAGATCCAGTGGACTATCACCAAAGGCCCAAACATAAGAGTCGTGCACATCACGCAAACGTCTCACAAGTGCCGCTTTTAGTGCGGGTGTCATAACAAGAGCGTCGGACAAGCGCCCCCCGCCAATAATTATGACTGTTTTCGCCAGACCCTCCCTCTTCAGAACCTTTTCCCAGACTCTGCGAAGCCCACAAGTCAACACCAGCGCACGGACATGGGTATGACCTGACACCAGGTGCAAAAGATCCAAAATTTCAGAACGAACATTGACCATGGAGGCCACTTTCTCGCAGAGATCGTCATATTCTTCATTGTCGCCGATGACTTCTTCGCAGAGTAAGGCCGCTTGACGGAAGGCAGTATATGAGTAATGCAAAGGGCTGCTAAATAGAGTCTTCAAGGGAAATCTCTCGTCCTTCTCAACCAAAGATGGAGAAGCCAGCTCCCAAAACAATTCACCACTATCCTGTGGTGCTAGTGTCTTGTCGGCGTCAAAAACCAACACGGTCTCCGGCCGCTCGGATCCGGTCATTATGAAGTCATCCATGCGTTGCTGGGCCAGTATGTCATTCAAGTCGTCTGTATGGCTTCTTAGATCCCGAATTAGAGGTACAATTTTCCCCATGGATACCTGGCGTTGGGTAATGGTCGTGAAAATGATGTCGTGAGACCTGCAAAGGTGACGCAGTTGTTTTTTCTCCTCTTGCTGCCATTTGAGCAAGTGAGTAGTTGACACCGCTGGACGGCTTCGTTTCTGGTCACTTGATCGATACTCTGCGATTTTCTCAGCCGGCACATCGAGATATAAAATGTGAGTGTAGGTGTCTAGATCAGCTGGTGTGCACACCAGTTGACCGGCACTTTCTTCTTCAGCCCAAAACATGGCATGTCCAGTGACTAAAGCACCTTTCCCACTCTGGGAACTCTCTTGCTTGACTCTTCCAATCGCACTCTCGCGAACCCTTTCTTTGGCATCTTCGTTCAAGTTCTGGAATGCCTCAAGACCCCCAGGCGTGCCCGCTGCAATGACCTGGCTGCCATCATAGAAGGAAAAATCGGCATGACTCAAGCCACATTTGAGAATATTCAGCAAAAACGATTTGCCAGATCCAGGGAGGCCATAAAGGCCAATGATGACTGGTTTTGGACAATGAGCTGACGCCGGCTTGGTAGATGTGATTTCTTGGCTTTTAGAACCATTAAGACAGGACACAGTTGGAGGCTGCATGACTGATGTTTTGGTAAAGCAGAAGTGGATTTCAAACAAAGTAAATGTGAAAGTTGAATTCTCGGTGGAGAAGACGAGTACACCCTGTACTAGTAAGATTTATATCAAGACCTTCTATAGGAAGTAGCGGTCTGGGGGCATACGTCGACTGGTAGGCAGAGTAGTTGCTGGAAAAGGAGAAAATACGGTAGTCGGAAAAAGCGAGCTAAAACAAAGCGAGCGAACCACAATCAGAAGGTACCACGCATCAACAGCAAGCCATACAAATCAATGGAGTATATAGCGCAATGGATATTCCTGAGCTGCAATGCGGTGATCAAGGTAGAAGAGGCCAGACACGTCGGAGGCCACGACTGACTCGCTGGAATATCTCGGGGTCCATTTGATGGCGACACGCCACAGAAGCGACCTTTTCATCCTTGCTCGGGTTCACCACCTCATGTATCGAGTTCCAACGTTTTTGTTTGCATATAAGAGCAGCAACTTTGAAAAAAAACCAACGCGAGGTGAATTTTGCCACCATATAAAAACAGATTGGGACAATTTGGTACCCAGAGAGGAACGAAATCTGGCGAGATGCAAACCCATCATGTTCAGCCCGTATAATTGAAAATATGACGTCTGAAGCTTCACTCAGTCGAGAGAAACGTGTTTTTGCAAATCGGAGCTCCTGAAGCTCCTCGCGAAGTCTGTCTCGGTGCCAGGACGCTTGTGGCTGCCGAGGAAGGTTCAGTCTCTTGAGCCAAAGCCGTAGTGTTGCTCGCCCTGCTCGTAGTGTTACTTCCGCCACTGAATGCATCTTTGAGGTCAATGGTAAGAATGTGCGGTCATCCAATCATCAGGTTGACGATGAGGTACCTTCATCGATAGGCAGAAAGGAGCTTCTCGGATACGGAAAATCTCTATTTCCGAGTCTTCTTGCTGCGGCACGCGCGCCAGGCCGGCTACTAAGCATCTTTCGATGATGTCCCCAGGTCCGAAACTTACGATTCTCCACCCTGCTTACTACATGCGTTCCGCATTGTGAGCGTTTCGTATTTCGAGCTTCCCGCATCGTAGGCCTCCCGCGTCGTAGGCCTCCCGCGTCGTAGGCCTCCCGCGTCGTAGGCCTCCCGCGTCGTAGGCCTCCCGCGTCGTAGGCCTCCCGCGTCTTATGGCTCTTGCAGAGCGGCCTCCTGCACGGTGGCTTCCTGCATGGCGACATCGTGTACTTGGACCTTTTGTAAACATGGCAGCCAATCTTTGACTTGGAAATATCTTTTGGGTCAAAAGCTGGAATGTGCGACTATAAAATCAAGTCCTCCGCCACCAATCCCCTTGACAGGAAGTTCCAGTTTGTGCTCAAGCAGGAGAGACTAAATATTAAAGCATAGGCTCGGCAGATGTAAAGATCGAGATACCGATCTAAAACGTGTCGGTCACCCCAGACTTGACACATAAGTACTTTACATGCTTGGCGCACAGGACGACACATGGGATTGTCTTCAATGTTGAAGCATCTACATATTCACAAGGATCCGGCCCCGCTCAACTGAATGTGCTAGTGTTTTCTTATCATGAAAAGAAATAAATCGAAGAACAGCTCTCTCTGCCTTGTGTTGAGCAGACTCTGACCATACGTTTAGCGATGTTTTTATAAAAGAGTGCTGAGATTCCCTACGAGGCAAAAGGAGGGGGAAGAGGTTGTCGGCATGTCGGAAAATTCTACTCAACTTACCTCAACAGCTAAGATCTAAACATAGTCTAAAAGACCCATTAGTGCCGAAATTAAGTATCAAGGATAATCCAACTTTCCAATCTGATAAAATTGCCCCATCATTTTGGAAAAACAAGTGCCACGCTCACGTTCTTGAGAAGTGACAATATCAGGGATACAGATAGATCTTGTTAATTAATGGAGGCTTCATGAATATGTACTGCAGCGGCTACCGAAATGAGCCCTGAACCCAGCTCCCAGGGTGAACAATATCTACTTACGTATACTCATGTGTTGTTTGAAGAAGGAAACGTAGATAGCGAATCTTTCATCATATATGTGCAACAATCAGCACAGATCCTCCTCTTTAGAGGGTGGAAACTCATTTGGGGGCTTTGAGCGGAGTCTGAGCCGCGCGAGATAAAAAGAGCGCTGGCTACTATGTTGCAAACAGCTTTCGTCTGGATCCGAACCTGAAGCTGACGACGGAACCAACTGCCATCTTGTTCAGGCTTAACTATACTATTGCGTGCCTTTAGGACAATCAGAAATGATGAATCGTGAGTACTCTTGCCTTGAGGATTCAAGCTAACTACCTTTCTAGTAATGCTAAAAGGTAACATGCTATGCGAGAGCCGCCGCGATTATATCTTATGTCTAGATACGTCTACTCGCGACACTAAGCACTACCATCTTGGTACTATTACCTTGAGGCTCTACCGGCCTTTGACACGTGTAAGACCGTTGCCTTCTCGAGCTTCTTCATAACAGGAAGTGTTTTGTAAGGAAATATAGGATTATTCTGCTAGGAAAAACCTATGTATTATAGGCCATCTCAGAAATATCTTACACGTCATTACTCACAAATATGAATTATACAGAAAAAAAAGGAGCAAATGGCTTTTTTTTTGAGCTAAAAACCTCTTCTTTGTTTATCCGGGAGCAACCCCAACTATAACCTCACCCGTACCTTTGAATGTTTTTTTAGGCTTCTGAAATAATAACGATCGGTTACTACTCACTAGGAAGATGACAAAATGGACAAACACAAGCAGAGATATAAATTGAAAAAAATTGTCTCAATTCGGAAGTACCGTCATTTTTATGCGCCACGTCTCTTTGCTCAACAATCAAATTTCTCATGCCATTGTTTGTTACGGTCGCCTTCGTAATTATGCAGTATCTCTATAAGAAGCAATCGAGGCAGCCCGCCCTCGTAGTCTTCCTCGGGGAAGAATTTATGCTTTCTGATTGTACAGACTCTTAAATTTTCTTCTGTGTAAAACCGCTCCGGTGGCTCTCCGGTCCGGATGGATTCTAGCAGATCAACTAGATTGACATAAGTGCGGACTGTCTATCTGAATGAGCGCTACATAGTCACTTGGCAAATGTGGACATATCATCCCTGTCGTGCATTATGAAGATTGTCTGGGATAGGGCGTACCCCTAGACAGCGACAGATACATTGCCATGATTCCAAGCTCTCGGGATCTGATCCGAATGTTGGATTGAATGCTTGCATAATGGCAATGCGAAATAATCCCCAGGCTTTTTCACGTGCGACTGAAAATTGACCATTTGACTGTCCTTCCCACACAAAGACATACATACATACATACGATAGAACTAAGTATACACAGGTTACCCTCTCTGATAAGCGAACCCGAGCTATTGAGTAAAACATTCATCAATCTCATCCGTCTTGTCGTTTTGCAGATTGCACATCATAGATCGTTTGACTATGAAAATGCTATTTGGAAAATGTAGAATCGAAATTGTCCATCGCTGATAGTAGAGGCTGCCTTTGCCTTTATAGATGGTCTAGATGCATAGTTTTCTTTCTGAATGCCTGTCTATTCTGATTAGCAGAAGTGTCTCCCTGTTTTTCTTGTATGACATCAACCCCTTAGTCGATCATGACGAGAAGTCAATCTATTGCCGTTATCTGAAGAACACGATGTAATAACGGCCTCCTGCACGAGCCCCCCGCATTGAAATGGCCTCCCACACGGAAATCATAGCACGAAAAGACTTTAGTCTCCTATTAAATGTGCCACGTAGTTTTCCTTATGCAGTGATTCCTTGGCTTTTCTGCTATACGTAACCTTTAGCGACACTTGGTCACTGAACTGTAAGCTTCTTGTATAAACCAAAGTACATTTAGCTTAGTTCAATGCGGAAATCTATCAAGTCTCAGCATTTTGAAAACTCCACAAAAGGAATGAAGAAATAGAAAGTAGTCCGTGATTCATATAATAGGCGCGCATGAGCAATACAGATCTTGGTACCGGACTGCTTGATTCTGAAAATTCCAAGCTGTCTTTGTGAAACGAACTCCGGTATGTCATTCTTTGATTTGTCTGAAAGAACCGGATCTTCAGATGGCACCAATACCGAGAGACCGCCAACAGAGTAATGAAGGCAGGTCATATAGATAACCGGTAGGCCCTTCTAGACCTGCGGCATTGGGCTGCGCTCTCAAATGCTTCACCCGGTCGTGGTTTTCTGGTGAGCGACCATGAAGAAATAGTGAATAGAATCAATGAACCACCTGGTATTGTTATTGCGGTATTATATCATTGCCACTATCTTGCATGGGCGTTAATACGCTTGCTTGAGGCCTGCTCTGTGTTGAGAAATATATGTTTCGTAGTCAGGTATGTGACAAGAATGCCAGCGCCGCATCAGCACCTCTCACAAGTGCTTCGCTCTTTGTAAAACAATTGTTGATGGATGCAATATTCTCGTCCTCTAACCAGACAGTGATGTTGTAAAGTCCATCATCTGTTTGCGCAAAATGAAAATCTGACCTCCGGGTGCCCAGAATGCGATCCAGAGCGTTTTTGGGGTGCCCTAACAGTACCGCCTGACCCACAAAACGCTCAAGATAAGCTATCAGATTGACTTTTTCCAAGAACTGCTCGCATGCGTCTATACGACCTCCACTATCTATGAAAATTGCTCCGATAGTGCTTTCGATAAGATCGGAGTAGAACTTGGGTGGTGCTAGTTGAGCGAGCGTGGCCCAGGGATATGAAAGATCGTGCTTCAACTTCTCTTTGATCCTATCACCGAGTAACTGATACCGCTCGCTGCATGAAGCCTGGATCTTGATTAAGTCTTGAGCATCGTGACGCATGAACATCCACAAAGAAATAGTTTTCGATAGATTGTTTGGTTCGCAACCTTCTGGTGTCGAAATTGGCTTGAAACAGCATGGCTCGGTCAATGTGAGTTCCATGCAAAGAAAGGCTAAGAAGTCGGCGTTGACTAAAGCAGCTCGAAGTTCCGTCATTCGACCTTCAGCAAGCTTGGGACACCGACTGTACAGATTCTTCGAAACACAAAAGTCAAGAATCGCATCTCCCAGAAATTCGAGCCGCTGGTAAGAGCCAGTTGTGCTGTCTCTTTGCCATGATGGGTGTGTGAGTGCCTCCCAAATCAGAGCCCGGTCCCGGAATTTGAAGCCAAGCAGCAGGTCAATCTTCCCTTCTAAGTGGACCGGAAACGTAAGGTCTTGTTTTCGTGTGCGTTGTGGTTCGGAACTTGAGGTGTTGGAAAGTTCTGGGAGGAAAATGCCAAGAAGATGCCTGGCGAGCGAGATTCCACCAGATTCGTAGGCAGCCGCCGTGAGGGCTTCGACCACGTCCGCCAAAACCTTTCTAGGAAGCGTTCTATTCTGAAGTTCGTCCACAACAGGTGAAAATATTGGATGCTTTTGTGAGATAAAATCAGCACAGATAAACCTTTCTAGATGTGCACTTGCGGCTGCGCACGTCAGCCTCTCATTCGAGACGATTTGGTCCTTGAACTTTGATAGATAACCTTCATGCCATAAAGGATACTTCAAAAAGGCATGTACGGCAACAACAAATTTGAGGATCGAATCACCAAAAAATTCCATTCGTTGGTAATTGCTAGGCCATTGAGAAGAAGGCGCGGTGATTGCTTCTCTGACATAACTGGAGTCAATCGTGGGTAGATCTTTGAAGATCTTGACTTGTATCTCATTTGCCATCAGATGTTGATGCAGAAGCTGTAAGATCGGTGGAATCGCGAGGCTGGCTAGGCTCAGCTCCCAAGGCAGGAAGTCAAGAATGCAGTTCGTCGCCGCTACACGAGTTGTTCTGGAGGAATCCGATTCGTGTGAATTTTGGTGGGATAATGACACTCGCTCAAGTAGGTTTTTCCTCTTTCCAAATCTTCGGCATTCAATCAAAAGATCTTTCGGATTTGGGCCTTGAATCCATCTCACAAAAATATGGGGAGCAAAATGAAGGCCAGGGCTGCGGATAAAGCCGGAGGGGGCAAGAATTGGAATTTTAGTTTGCCCTTCACGGATAGAGACGGATCCTTGATTGACGCTGAGCCAGTCTTCTAACTCGTGCAACGGAAGGTCTGGGGTAAAAAAGGGCAGAAAGTCTGGATATTGTTCTTGTACCGAACTTGAGCGCGTCGATTGGAAGAGTACGGTCGTGATCTTCCTCATCAGGCGTCTGGAGGATGTTGAAATTGCAGTTTCGACATTAAAAGGTTGCAAGCTAACAGTGAATGTGGTTTTATTATCCCAATGAAGATGCAAATCGTCATTCATCGTTAATTCGATAGGGGTGAAGATCGCCATTGCAAGTTCTGGTCGGTCAATCCCGTTTGCGCAGAAGTTGATGCGGCACTTATAAAGCTTTCGTTCTGTCCAAAGTCCCGGGATGCATTTCCAAAAGTTGATCAAACTTTCCGCTTGGGGGAGCTCTGCGACAATATTTCCTTCATGAATCTCACTGGTCCATGGATTGTCCAAAAACAAAGGGAGAAGATGGTCATTTATGAGCTTCTGACCATGCAAGGCACGCACAGCCTGAAAGGCAGCATCTTTTCGGGCGGACTGCTTTGCCCCCCACCAATAGTGGCCATCCACAATTCGCAAAGAAGGGTCGATCCCGCTCGGTAGATAAACCGTTGATCGCGTAAGGCCTTCACAATTCTTCTTGTATGAGAACGTGGGATGGGTTTCGCCAAGATTTTCACTTCGCAAAGTTGTGCAAAAATGATACAGATGGGATATGGCGTTATCGCTAGTCAACAGGGCACTGCGAAGAAAGTTTCCTTTCGTCAGCTAGCACAAAAGAGGGGTTTGGAGGTGACAAGCAAACCCCGTGTGTAGTCGTAGTTGTAGAAAACGCTTGTCCGATTGGATGTCGTCAGTCTCTAGCTCCTGACGGCTTCGTTGATGGTCCAAGCATATAACCTGCATCTGCCTTTCAAGATTGCTATACTGTTTTGAAGATGCGGAAATGAACTCAGCATCTTTTGCTTCCATCACAGCAAATTCCGAAACGCCCTGTCGTGCTCGACCTCGACGCTGGATGAAAGATGTTATATTGTCCGGAAAGTCAAATGAAATAACAACGTGGCACGCTGGAAGGTCAATACCTTCTTCCAACACGCTGGTCGCAACAATCAAATTTTTCAGGCCGCTACGGAACTGTAGAATCACGTCCTCATTCCTTTCAGTAAACAAATTGTCATCTTTTGCCCAAGACTCAGACCTAACAGAGCTCACACAGGGCGCGCATCGAAAAATTTTCTTAGTCAATGGGTGGGTATCAAGCAGCGCCGAAAGAACATAAGCGGTTACCCTTTCTCGAACGAAAACGACACCCGAAAAATCTGGGTGGCTCCTTTCTTTCAAAAAGTAGAGGAGTCGTTTCACTTTATCGGAGATGCTGCTGGGCGACTGTAAGTGGACGACAGCACCTTCCACAGTACTGTCCAGCACGCTTCTCAAAGCCGTAAATCTGTGATTATATGACTGATTAGAGGCGGTAGTCTCGATTTTAGTAATGTGCTGAGCAAACTGTTGAAGAATCCTTGTCAGGAAGTATCGTAAAGCCCATGCCCCTAAATGATGTTGAATAGCTCGTGCCTTCGAAGGAACCTTGAAGAGTTCACCAGGGATGCTATAACCTTCGCGTTTGCTGTGTTCACGTAGCTCTATGACTGTCTCTTCCAGCATGTCTAGATAAGAAGGCGAGTTCACCGTGCCATAGCAGTTTTGGGTGTAGTAGATTTTTGTGAGGCTACGATGAGGAACATACTCTGTCAGCTCGTGGCGTTCAACTAATGGGGCTCGACAGGTTGCATCCAGGTTTCGTTCCAGCTCCCTTGAGACTGATCAGTCACATTATTGTACCGCATAGCACAGATTTTCACGCACGGGATTTTGGCTGCATCAACTGAGGCTGTAAGCCCAAGGATGCTGGGAAGGGCCGAGTTTTCTAGCCTAGCCACATGATAGAAATCGCGCATGATGCGGTTTCCTGGATGGGATTTCATGCAATGATGGGCTTGTGTATTGTCAGCTTGTTGACTCAAGATTCGGTCTTCTCAGCTCCTACCCTCATCGAATACTATCAAAGCCAGTCGATTCAGTAACATAAAGCCGTGTGTGAGTGCATCGGCAAGGACGGCATGAGTCGAAAAAATGACTTTCATTCCCTGCAGAGCATTGTCCCAAATACTTTGATTACGCCAACAGTCAACTCCATCATCTCCCGTCAGCATTCTCATACTGACTGCAGGCATATATTGCGATAGGTATTCCAACTGTTGGCTACACAAGACCTTGGTTGGTACCAAGAACCACACCATCTGAAGGTAACAATGTCAAATAGTGTTTCATGTTCAGCATCGGGGGTTTTTCATACCTGATGTCCCTGACAGCGATTTAGTTCGGCCATGATTCGCATACTAGCTCTACTGAAACGTCATTCTCAAGCCATTTGATCACCGATATTGCAGTACGCACATATAAGTTTTCCCGCTTCCCGTCGGCAACTATGCGGTCAGCTTTGGATATTGGATATGACGCTGACCTAATGAGGCACAAATATTACCACAGCAATTATGTTTTTTTTCATGCTCATGTCAAACATCTCAAGTTGGTAGGCGCGGGGCTGAACGCGGGGCTGAATGTTGCTCATAATGGCGGCCAACTCGGTAAGGGAATATTGTATTGTACGCAACTGAGTTATATACGAGTCAAGCCTGATTAAAGCCTATCTCTTTCTTATACTTGAATGAAAATCACCACCCTCCATATGCGAAGCAAAGCATATGATGTATCGAGTAAGCCAGAGCGTTATCTCCCAAGCTAATCACATCGTGCGACGTGGATGTGAAACAACATGCAGAAGCATGAGTCAGTCAAATGCACGGTCCTCCTTGGGCAGCAGTTTTAGTCTTTCTCTGCCAGGTGTGTTCTCTATTTTTTTCTCCTTATCTCAATAGATTGTTCATCATTTCGAACGTTATCATATTTTCATGGGCGCGGATTTGGCTTATTCATCTCTTCACCATGAGCGAAGCTTCCGAGCGGTCCATATCATACAATATCACATTTATTGAGCTCGTAAATCAACCAGACAGTTGAAAGAAGAGTATCTGTAAAGCTATGTGCGTCTTGTCAGCGGAGAGCGGCTCCTGTCAGACCCATACTTAACGGGCCATCGTTTTTGGCCTAAGCAAAAGGTTAAAACTCCCCCCGCGGGAAGACCCTACATCAGCAGGAGAGATGCCCGTCTACTCTCCCCCCAAAATCCTGCGGAATCGTCGCACTCCAACGCTGTGACTTCCACCCCCGTAGGCTCAGGTTTCATGATGTAGGTGTAGATGGCATCCCGACTGGGATAGGTCTGCCTCAGGATTGACAGAGAGCCAATACTATTCTCACATATGTGCCTTCCGACATACTGAACTCAAGGTTTCTCAGCCTCCTGTTTTAGCAAACGTATGCGTGGAAAACCGCCGCATGGCTGCTCGTTCACTTCAATGAAGCCGGGGAATTCGGCGTGGACGCGACCAGCATGATCTCGAACCACTTGTAGCAGTTCTTGTACCACAATCCACCCTTGTGGGCTGAGTTCGACAGAACGTTGAGATCCCATGTCATAGATCAATTCAAACTTGACGTTAAAGTTTTCATCACTGTTGTCCACAATTTTCCGAGATTTGTGCTGGAAAAACTGCAATGTGCGAAGTAGAGAACGGCCCACGGCGCATTTACCAGCAATAAAACACTCCACGGCCCTTGGATCCAAGGGGCAAAAACTATCACTATTTGTTTTCACACTTGATCAAAAAGGAGCGAGACCCAGCATGGGTAGGGCACATATTGTCACACCCCCATGGGTTTTCCACCACAAGATATGATCCAATGGGATTCCCTTACATGAAAATGTTCCCGCATCATGGGCCTCCCGCATCATGGGCCTCCCGCATCATGGGCCTCCCGCATCATGGGCCTCCCGCATCATGGGCCTCCTGCAGTAATAAAAAATCCATCTCCACTTTTGAATAATTGAGCAGTCAGCCAGAAGCGCACCATGAGGCGTTGACTAACCAAGCTTTAGTACGATGGCTGATTGAATGCCTACCGTGGATTTCAGAGGGACTCGAACGATGGTAAGGCTGATCATATGGTCGAGTACTAATAATTACTTCCGGTTCAGTGACATTACGAAAGTTTGTTCATGTCGAGACCAGGGGCCGTAGAAGCTACCAATGCTGTACGTTGAACAGTTACTGTACGTCAGGATGACTCAATATCAAGTATACCTCAAGAAGTCTTAAAGAGGCTACCCGAATGAGTTGATAGGAGAAAGAGTGAATCAGTAAAGGAAGAACGCCAAGATTTAGGCTAAGAGCGCTCACGCTAGCTTAGAAAGAGGACAAAATTGGAACTATAGCTTCGATGACACTTGGTACAGTCTAAGGGGGGATTAGACACATGGTAAAGGAATTCTAGAGGTAGAGGCTGTAGTATTCAACAACGACGAGCTTTTCTCATGCTCAAATATTTTGGTCTTTCAAAAGGTCTTGAAACTCCCACAGAGATTGTAAATACCTCTCTGTCTGTCTCTCTTCCTGCCAAACCCGCAGTCCTGTTCTTTGCTCTAAATAGTCCGGCCATTCCTTCGGAAAATATCCTTTAATTTCCAGTTTCTGTAACTTTGAAAATTTCCCAAGCGTTCGCACAAAATCAGCATCCACAGCTGGACCCCAGTGGTTGACACTCGGTTCTGAATCAAGGTATAACACCATCTCTTCAAGACATTCTGCTTCTGTGAGCAGTTTTCCGAGAAGCTCGCGCCATCGTGGGCCATTGGGAGGATTGTTTGTTAGGAAATCTGGGTGCGGCCCCGGGTTGTATACAGCATGAACAGAGATCCAAAGTCTGCGAAGGTTTCGAACATTCGACGCTTTAATCGCATTGAGCCAGTCTATACCAGTATCGGGGTTGTGGATTTGGAACATGTTTTGGATATAGAATTCTGGTGGATTTTTCGAAAGAGTAGTTTCAGGATCAGTAATGTGGATTCTTGGTTCCGACATGACGGATATATGTGATCGAATGAAATGGCGTTATGTCTGTCTAACATGGAACGTGTGGGGAGTTTGGAGGCTTTTTTGGAACGATGAATTTTCGAAGCTTGACCATATTACGAATGCTCGAACAGCTTGTCTATATATACTGATTACATGGATTCTCAACCCGACAATTCCAGTTTGAAACAACATGGATACTATGGCTTTTGCTTGCATACTTTTCCTTGCAAGCCCTGTATGCAGGCTCGTATGCAACTGTCCCAACTGTTTTCCCTATTCTATTTCCAAGTATTTTGAAAGGCTTTTTTGTAGATGCATGAACTTGCAGTAAGGGCTTTTGACTCATGACACATGTTCTAGTCCACCTCCTGCATAATGCTCATCGACCCTTTGTTTTAGTTCGTCATGGACTTTGACTCATGTGTTGGCCAAGTAGAAAATACCCCTCTCAAATCAAGTACGTACAGCCTTCCGCGTGCCGCCCCTCTGATCTCAAGTTAAGAGTAGCTCGGGTCATTATCCAATAATACGGAGGAAAAGAGATCTTTGTCAGCACTCACTTTTCCATTTTTGTGTTTTCATGTTTCTTTGGATTTTTCTTTCAAAGATAGCATATTGCAATAATTTTATCACAAGGTTTCCTCGCGAAGCCAAATCGACCGAGAATAGCACATTCTCATCAAGATCTGACTTCAAACCCAAAACTGTCGGTCGCCCGAGGCTCGACCCGAATATAAGGTTCTCAGCAGATTTTATGAACCATTGGTGCTGCTGCGACTGCTTGGACAGAGCGGTGGGAATCACCAGCCGAAACCGCGCGACTTAAGTGCAGGCCAAGCTGTGCGTCGGAATTTCTTGCGGAACCTTTCCTACATTCGTGACTTTGAAAAAGGCGGAGATACCTGCACCGCGATTGGACATCTACAAATGCTAACATTTACATTTCGCTTCACATAAAGAACAAGCTAAAATTACCAACTTTCTTACGGCTGTTCTTGGGCTACTGCATGATATAAATGAGTTGCAAGGTCCAGAGCTACCGCAAACAAAAGCAGAGTTCCTGAAGTTTTGTGTTGATTCTGCGGGAAAGCGCGTCAGAAAGCAAAAGAACTGGTTGTTCAGGGCCGTGGATAGTTGTAGCTGAAAGCCTTCACTTCACCCACAATTGAAGGTGTACACCACGAGTAAGGCTCTATAACATCGTTGATGCTAATGCCTTGCTAGCCGAAGAACTAGGCAAGTGGTTAAGATCACTCTTGGGCCATGATGATAATCTCACACTTTGCAGGTTTGCATACAAATCCCAGCATTGTCCCTATCTCTCACGGTGGCAGTCTATACGGCAAGAAAACTTACTCAGCCCAGATACAGAATGCGATCCTTTTGGGCTTGTGAGACATTTCCTCGGACGGCTAGCTCATTATACCCTAGCATCAAAGGATCTTGTGAAAGCTGTCACTGATATGAGCCAAACACTAAAAGGTTGCGAACTTTGCGCGGTAGATCGCATGACATCTGTGCCCCCTCCCGCACCTGACAGTCATTGAACTTGGACTGTCAAAACTCAACGCTGCGGATCAACTCTTCGAAAAATTTCCGGTCCAATATCGGAACCTAGAACAACGACTTCATGCAGAGGTTCAAACACTTGAGCATTTTCATCGATATCAAATAAAATTTACCGAAAATGATCTTTTGCTCGATTGCAGTAAGGCCGCCTGTCTATGTTGCGAAATGGATTTCAAACACCACCCAGCACGAATGATTGTCCCTGAATCGCATCGAAATGTGTGGACAAATTGGGGACCACCTATGATGGAGAATTTCTCGAAATCCCACGCAGGAAAACAGCAGTTACATATACTGAACAAAGTGACTCACGAGATTCGTGATCTTGTCATCAGTCAAACCCTTGGACAATTCTCGGTCGGCCTGAGACGTCCTGATTCGGAAACAGAAATTACAGATCTTCTACACTCAGCTACAGCCCAGCAGCTATCAACGTCCCGGAAAAGAGTTCAATAGCTATAACCCAAGAAAGTCCCGTTGAAAATCCGAACCAAAAACAGGAAATATAGCTGGAGGTCCATCGACTATCCCCAAATCATTGCCTTATAACAACCAAGACTCGGATGGTGAGGGCGGAGGCGTTCCCTTCATGCCTGCATGCATTGAGAGAAACTAAAATATCGCTCAATTAAAGCGAATGGTGTCTTTGACTCATACTATATTGACTTGATATGTTTCTACTGTTGTTTAAAGCACAATGAACCTTTAATTGGAGAAAGAAGCATAAGGTCAAGTGTTATTCAACTCTGCACTACCCCTGACACGTGTTCCTTCGGTGCTTTTG